AATGTTGGGAAAGAAAAGACAGTATTTCTTAAGCCTCATCAGTGAAATCCTATCTTGTTTGTTTACCGAAATAAAATAATCAAAGACCACAGTCTGCCCCTATGACAATCACTTCGAGGAAAATAGGCACTTAAAAGTTCAAGACAGTGATATTTGTCCAGCATTCTTTTCATCACAATTTTAATCATTTTTTTGTAAGTGATCAAAGGCATCACTGCATCATTTCTGATTCACTTATATTTTTTTCTCATTACTTGTGATTTTTTTTTTATTAGACTTTAGTTCTAGTGTAAAGAACTAGCTTACATGTGAAGACATACTGGAAAACATCAAGTTTATCTTTAAATTTTGTGCAAGAAATTTGAGTTGTTATCAAATACTGTAAAGTCATTTTAATTCGTGGGGGTTAATGTTCATGAGTAAGCAAAATTAAGATGCAATGCCAAGTAGCTTTAAACCAAAAATTCTGGGAAGAAAGGGCCACAGACGACTTCATGACTGTCTTACAAAATTCATATTGTCAATGAGTACCTGGTAGTTTATAGTTTTAATATTGCTTGATCACAAAAATATGTTTCTGGAAATACTCTTTTATTTACTTATTACTGCAGTCATGTAGTTACTAGTATCATAGGAAGGTATGTTTATGGCCAAGCATTGACTTCCACATTTATCACTTTTATCAGGTGAAAACTATTTTGAAATGGATCACAAGATGATAGAATTATTTTTTTTTTTACATTTATTTATTTATCTATTATTTATTATTATTATTTTATTTATTTATTATTATTATTATTTTTTTTTTTTTTTGCTGACAGAAAAAAAAGAATTTTATTAATTTACAAGGTGTTCAAAGAAATTTTTTGCAAACTATTTGATTTCAAAACAATCCCGATTTATCATGTTTATGGTAAACATGTACAGCCACGGGGAAAAACGTCTGTGGCTTGCTAGTTTAAATCTCGTGCATTCGTGTTTAAATGTAGACAGGGTAAGGTATGTCTACTTACAAAATATCTACTTACTAAATAAACATTTAATAACCACCGTATGTCCAAAATATAAAACATTGTAGAGCATTTTTAGTGCTCTTAGTAGCATGTGCAATCTACTTTCGTTTTTACAGGAAGAATTTTCAAAGGTTAAGGTCAAGTCAAGTTGGGCAGATATTTCTGCTAGAATATCGATAATTTTTAAATAATTTTTTGTCTCTAAACAAAAATCTATTAGAATTATTGGTATCTTACTATCTTTTGGATTTTTTTCTCCATTTTTCTACGTATGAGAGCAAGTCAGTTGATATTCATTACAGGCGCGTTTTTCCCGTTTCCAAAAATAGCGGACTGACTTTCATCGTAACAAAAGCCAACAACTTCACTTTAAATCAATATTTCACGAACAATTCACATATTTTCATATCTTTATTACCTATTTTTATTGTATTGTAGTTGTATAATACATTAAAATACATTTTAAACAATTAATTACTTATCTATACGGTTTTAGGCCAGGTAAAATTAATCTTTAGATTCTCATCCCCGCCCGCCCCTCTCAAAGTGCCCCGGGGTAGACTTTACTTTACCGGTCCCCAGATCCGCAAGATCCGCGCGCTCATTGCACTATGACGTAAGATTTACGTCACTCAACTGATTAGGGTTGGTTTTGCACATTTTTCGACTGGTTAGGGTTAGTCTTGCACCCACCTGAAAGATTAGGGTTAGTCCTTGCATAAGTTTTCGACTGATTAGGGTTAGTCTCGCATATATCCGAGAGATTAGGGTTAGTCCTCGCACATGGGTTAGTCTAGCATGGTCTAGCATCCGCCTGGGAGATTTGGGTTAGTCCTCGCATACCATCCGAGAGATTAGGGTTAGTGTCTTGTTCTTTTAGATTAATTAAGAAATTCAGTTGCATCTGTATTTTTTGCAAGATCTTAATTCAGCTTCAACGACATCTCGTTGGTTTGTTTACATGAAAAAAATGGCTAAGTACGAAAGAAACGGCACTAAGCATGCGCCGCACGCGCTTCGTTCACAATTATTTTTTTGTCTCCTTTTCACTGAATAAACAACATTTATTACTTTTTTTCAGAAAACGAGGTTAAAAACTTCGTTTATAAACGAAGTTTTAAACTAAACTTTTAACCGTAGAATTCGAATGTGGGGTCAAAAAGGCTTAAAATCTCATATTTTTTATTTTTTTCGATCGCTCACGCGATCTCATATATATTGAAGTCGCCTACGGCGACACTATATTTTAGCGCGTTTTTCTGGGGACCGGTAAAGTAAAGTCGTTCCGTGCCCCGCCCCGTTGTTTTTTATTTTGCTTTTTGGGTGCCAAACGTATTATTTTCATGTATTTTTATTCAGCAAGAATCTGGGTCAAAATTTAAGAGTTATCTCCCGTGTGTATTAAAAGTCGCGTGGCGCTATTTATAGCCAAAAAAACTATGTGAAGAATGGAGAAAAATCGGCAATAAAAGCAGTTTAAATATGTAAGGAAAAGATAATTTGTCAGTAGAGAGAAGGCAGAAAAGCAAAAATAACATATAAACACATCTAGATACCATCACTGGCATGGGCAAGTTTTTAAAGAGATTTTAACCAAGTAAAAACAGACGAAGAAAATACACATGGTCAAGACTCAAGTTTTAAATAACGATCTCCAGTTGTATGTGATTTTGCATTAAAAAAAAATAAAACATCGTCCAAAGACTTTAGAGAATAATAGTGCTAAGGAAATGTTAAATCTTAAAACTGTTTAGGCCTAGGCTTTTCAGTAGAATATTTTACAGATTTACACAATCCTGTTTTGCAAATATGATATATTTTAATGTCGAACATGTCAAGTCTCAAGAACGATTGAATGTATCAGGACAGTGTAAATCTGTGATATCTGTATATCACATAGAACAGGAGTTGTTGGTAAAACTATAAGGTATTTGGGAAAAGGTCGATGAGAAAACATGCATATGCAATTTATTAGGATCAGCACCTCATTTTGTTTGGCGTGAGCCGTATCCGTGTACTTGATAATTTGTTAATAAAACTAACGTTATATATATTTTTAATTTTCTATAACAAGAATCTTCTGTAGATATTTAAAAGAATATGAAAACAATAAAATCTATTCATATTGGCATTAACATATGTTAAATTTACGTGTACGAATGTTTTGTTGATACTTTCAATTATAAAAAATAAAAAATAAAATCCGCCCACCCGCCCCAATTTTTTAGCAAATTAGGATGAGAATCTAAATTTTAAATTTATATGGCCTTATATGACGTTTTATATGATGAAGCGCTACTTGCAAACTCAGACCCAATATATTGGGTTCCCGCACGCAAGCATTTGTGACGTCAGACCCAATATATTGGGTCCCCGCACACAAAGGGTTAAGATATACAACCATTTTTCTAATTGTAACTTGACGATGTTTCATAACAAATTGCTCAACTAAGGACACATCTTTTCCCCGGCTTGCTTTCGCTGGGCAACAGAACAAACATCATTTTTAACCATTTCCCTGTCTTTACTTAAACAATCAATCCACTTAATGATTGAACTTCTGGTAAGTCTTTTGTCTTCATAAACCTTGTACAAATTATCATATTCTACTGTAAAGGAATTTCCAAGATATACGTTAAACTTTACAGCAGTTCGTTGCTCGAGTACAACTGAGTCAACCATTTTTTGTCACAAGTGACCTACATATTGACGTCATTTTCACATTGATGTCACAAACATGGAGCAAAACATTATTTAACATATGTTATTTATAGAACATGTGTATGACTATATGTGTGCCAAATTTCATTCTGATCTGAATTGTGGTTTTGTAAATATAGAGATAGTTTGCGAACTTTTTGATCACCCCTCGTAATAGCCAGTTATGGATATAATATCCCAAAAGGGATATAAATTTATAGTGCAAAAAATGAAAAAAAAATATTTTGGCTATAAATATCATAAATCTGCATCAAAATACCTTTAAAAAGGGATAACTTGGGCAAGCAACAGGTCCAGCACAATCTCTTGATTTAGCTATATAGCATGAAATAGCTATATAGCTTTATTAAGCTATTCAAAATAGCTTGATAAAGCTATTTATATGCAGTTTTTCAGAAAAATGTTTTTTGTAAGAAATAGACAAAAAGTCGCATTTATTTGACTATTCATATATGTACCATGGGTTATCAAGAAAACAAGCAAAATCAAAGATAGTTCTAACATTACAGCATTTGAATTCTTTTCAGCAAAAGATGAATTTCCATTGTTTGGGTAACTGTACACTACCTTGTGTGCGTTGAGGCGTGGATAAGTATGATTGCTTCTCATTGTACTGAATTATTACCAATCAATTACCTTGTTGACCGTAATTGGCCTCTTTTAGAATTTCATTGAAGAAGTAACTGTATCAATTGCTTTATATAGCCCCAAAACTTTAAGAACATTGAGTACAAAGTCTCTTAAGGAGATGCAATTTGATGACTGATTTTTACACACAGTATTTTCAGAAGAGTTCAAGGTTGAATATTATCACTGCACTAAGGTGCAACTTTTTGTGCATGCTGAGAAAATAACACATTTAGGAAAAAGATGTGATAAAATAGCTAAATCAAGCTATTTTGAATAGCTTAATAAAGCTATATAGCTAAATCAAGAGATTGTGCCGGAACTGAGCAAGTTTTTCTGCAACCCTATACAGTTTGTTAGATTTTTCCCCAAGAATTTAAGGATTTTCCGAGGGATCAACCTCCTAAAGTGGGCATACAGAAAAACTTGTTAACAAAAAGTTATTCCTTTATAGTATCTTGATGCTTATTTCTGATATTTATAGCCAAATAAAAATTGGTCCCAACCTCTCTAACATTAAACCTGTTAGCCATAACATGTCATCAGAAGTCTCTGACAGCGTTTATCGATGACACTCTAGAAACTGTTCTGAAATGGGCTGTCGTTTCTTAAAGTAGATTTTATCATGTTTACATTTACCAAAAATGATCCCTCTAACTCATCAATAAGATGAGGGTTCTGTGAGTCTTTCACAGCCGCCATCTTGATGGTCTTACTAAAAACCATGAAATAAAATAAATAAATAAATAAAAAAATAAGGCGCTTTTAAAAATTATCACTGATACTTGTTAAAAAGTAATTTTGATGAATATTTATTTGTATATAATAAATACTCCACAACATCTTCTCAAATAATTATAATACATATGTTTCTGTTTATTTCAAGACTTTTAGCAGTTCAAGACATTGTTTCGATCCCGATCAAATTTCATATTTTTATGCATAATTCTTATCTTTCGGTTGTTCAGTGTCAGTGTTAACATTTCTTGTTACTTTCCTAGCAATTATGCAAACATAGAAAAACGTAAAAAATACAAAATACACAACCTCTGTGATTTTTTTATTTATTTTTTTTTTAATGCAAGCGGTACCTATCGTTCAACTTAGAGCCGAACTCCGATCGCCTTAATATACTGACATCCCCGTGTTCTAACATAATATCTAGTAAACAAAAACATGACGAGTTTAGATAGTAGCCAGTATTCAGTTTTCGTAATAAACTGTTCCAAAGTAACACAATGAATAAGGAAACGGATTAGTATTAGTTTTATGACTTGTTTCTGAATCCCCCTTTTTTATTTTCCTCATTACTTGCCTATATTTTCAGCTTAAAACTTTAATTTTCAAATACACGTATGGTTTAAACTAAACTATTTAAAATATCACGTCTTGTACCTTATTACAGGTGTACAAGTGCACAGGTAGTACCAAGGGTGGAGCTAAAGTTTTATTTGATTGTTTATTGCGTTTCAATTAGTTTATATTCGATTTAGAGATTCAGTGGTTTATTTTATTTGATGAAATATTTCAAATTATTTTATCAATATTAATTGACTTACAAATTATCAGTTTAGTCAATATTGACACACAGATATATGTTTTTGATTTTGTTTCATCTTCATTAATGTTTATTTAATAAATTATAGATTTGAATATCATAATAAATAAACATCATTAAACTATCACTATTACAATCGGACACTTCAGTTGTTGGACATGGGTTGTCAAAAAAAAAAAAAAAAAAAAAAAAAGAGCTTTGTCAGTAGTTGATAACTGACAGAGTTTTCAAATTTCCCTGTTTACAACTCAGACCCCCCTGCCTCATGAAAATAACCCCTGAAAAAAAAATATTGAACAAAAAATAGAGGATTATTTTTTCTTTAATGAATTCTTGCCAATGGTTTATTATTACATGTGCCATCCAAAGTCTTAATATTAGGGCAAAAACTGGGTTCTTGGTTGATGGGGGATACCTTTCACAAAAAGTCAGAAAATAATGTGTTCCATACTTATTGAGATTTTTATCAATAGTTTTTAATTCAATTTTAATTTCGAAAAAAAATTGTTTCCCCTCCCTCCTAGGTCTGAAAACCCCCAGGCGGCAATTCCAAACAAACAATTTTTAGCTCTACTGGTCAGAGACCAGAAGAGGTTATGCGATAGTAAGGTATTCGTCGTCCGTCCGTCTAGCTGTCTGTCTGTCTGTCCGTCCGTCTGTAAACAATTTTTCAAAACGCTACTCCTACAGTTTTGGTCTGATATCAATATTACTTGGCACACAAGAAGACTGTACAAAAATACATAATTCTGTGTATCAGTTTTTGATTTTAATGAACGGTGTTGCCATGGTTACTAAAAATAGAGATTTCTGTGAAATACATTCAAAACGTTACTCCTCCCTCAGTTTTGGTCCGATTTCAGTATACCTTGACACACAAGTAGACTACACTAAGATACATTATTTAGTATATTAGTTTTTGATTTCGATGAACGGTGTTGCTATGGTTATTAAAAATAGAAATTTCTGTGAAAAACTTTCAAAACGCTACTCCTTCTACAGTTTTGGTCCGATTTCAGTATTACTTGGCACACAAGGAGAATACACCAAGATACATAATTCTGTATATCGGTTTTTGATTTCAATGGACGGTGTTGCCATGGTTACTAAAAATAGGATTTATGGGAAATACTTTCAAAACGCTACTCCTCTTACAGTTTTGATCCGATTTCAATATAATTTGGCACACAAGTAGACTACACTAAGATACATAATTCTTTTTATCGGTTTTTTGATTTCAATGAACGGTGTTTCCATGGTTACTAAAAATAGAAATTTCCTTGAAATACTTTCAAAATGCCACTCCTCCTACAGTTTGGGTCCGATTTTAGTATATCTTGGCACACAAGTAGATACACTAAGATACATAATTCTGTACCAGTTTTGGATTTCGATGAACAGTTTTGCCATGGTTACCAAAAATAGAATTTCTGTGAAAAAAATTTCAAAACGCTACTCCTTTTGTCTGATTTCAGTATAACTTGGCATACAAGTAGACTACACTGAGATACATAATTGTCCTTATTGTTTTTTGATGATTTTGTTGAATGATCATGCCATGGTTACTTAAATCGAAATTTCTGTAAACGTTTGAAAAGGCTACTCCTCCTACAGTTTTAGTCTGATTGCAATAAATCTTGCCACAAAAAGAGACAAAACCAAGGATCATTAGGCCTATTCTATTTATTGCTGTTGCAAAGTTTCAAGTCCAAGAGCTACTTTTATCTTCCTTTATAAGTACAACCAGTAGAGCTACAATCTCGTCAAAGACTTCTGGTTAAAGGATAACCTCATAAACCTTGGAAGCGTTTGCAACACTTTTTTTTCTTTCGGCACGTTATCGCACTACATTTACCCCATGTCCAATTACCAGATTTACCCAGAGCACATTGTAGGCTATACATAAACAAAACTGATCAGGAAGGGAGAACTGAAAGAAAAGGAAGTTTATGTGAGGTGTTTTAACCTCATTTTAAATGTCTATTGTAAGTGACCTATAAACATGGGCGGATACAGGATTTCTGATTAGGGGGGGCGTGGATAACTTCATTAAGGCAGGGGGTCTGGGAGCCGCCTTAAGGCCCCCAGTGGGTCCAGGGCGAAGCCCTGTTGGGGGCCCAGGGGGCGAAGCCCTCGGAAGCTCCGGAGTTTTCGTGTATTTTAAGAGTAAAACCAGGCACAATAATAGGTATTGGTTAGTTTATGTGTACCAAAGTTTGGCATTATTAATACTAGTCATATCATACTTTGAATAGAGGGGGCCCAGGGGGCGAAGCCCCCGGAAGCTCCTGGGTTTTCATGTATTTTAAGAGTAAAACCAGGCACAATAATAATGGTATCGGTTAGTTTATATGTACCAAAGTTTGGCAGTATTAATACTAGTCATATCATACTTTGAATAGAGGGGGCCCAGGGGGCGAAGCCCCCGGAAGCTCCTGGGTTTTCGTGTATTTTAAGAGAAAAACCAGGCACAATAATAGTGGTATTGGTTAGTTTATATGTACCAAAGTTTGGCATTGTTAATACTAGTCATATCATACTTTGAATAGAGGGGTTTTCGTGTATTTTAAGAGTAAAATCAGGCACAAAAATAGCGGTATTGGTTAGTTATATACCAAAGTATGGCATTATTGATATTAGTCATATCATACTTTGAAAATTTTAGGGTGTGTGTGCGCCCCCATGCCCCCCCCCCCCTCCTTAAATCTGCAGTGATAAATCTACATATTTTTTCTGTATTTGGATTTATGCATTGATCAGAAACTTTTGTTAAGAGGTAAATCAAGCTATGTCAACTGTATGCCATGAACATATAGGTCAACTTGGTCAAAGTCACGATTTTTCAGCTTCTTTAGATACAGGTAGACCATTGAAGACTTCATGATTTGTCAGGATCCCAGCTTCATGTTTTCTCAAAATTTTACGTAAATCCCTGGAAACTGTCAGCATGATAAGCTCTGAAATGAAATTGACAAAAAAAAGGTCCAATCCTTCACTGCTAATGGAGTTTTGTACATAAGTATAGTAACCTAATCCCTTTTTACACTCTTATTTTAACTGCTAAAGAAGTTTTCTACATAAGAATAGTAGCCTGGTCCCTTTTTACACCCTTATTTTACCAGTAATATTAACATACATAAGAAAAGTATTTTGTTTGTTCATACATGCCAACTTTCCCGATTTTTTCGGGAGTCTACCGATTTTTAACCCTACCTACCGCTTGTCTACCGATATATTTTTTTAATCCAATTTCTACCGATTTTTAGGAATTCCGGATTTTTTACCGATCCGCTTTGAATAATACCGCATTTCCGTGTGAAAAAAGATGGCAGTTCGAATGTTTATCGGTAGATATCTGTTTATTGCCGCTGATAACAGGTAATCAACAAGGTGTCAACTGTGCTACCAGTCATTACTGTGGTTTTAATTGCTCCCGATTCTCATTAACAGTGTATACTAACCTAGACAATCATGCCAGATGTGGAAATTTTAGAAATACACACGACAGGATACAAACTTGTGACGAGTTCACACTTTACAGCAAAATTTGACTGTCACAATATACGTATAAGCTATAAGGTTTTCAAGTTTAGGAAATACGGCATTTCTCACTATAATTACGAACTACGTCATTGATCATGGAAAAGACACTGCCAAAATCCAACTTGAAAAGATGCGTCTGCAAGTACAAACCATTAGTTTTTTTTAGCAGAATTCCAGGAGTGGTTCACAAAAAGTTAGAAAGGAGAAGACGTACCATGCCTTTTACAGACTAATCTGACTTTGTATGAAAACATTAAAAGTGACTTCTTAGTATTCCCTTTGATTAAAAAAAAATTACAAATTTGAAATTATTTGTCTGTGACTTAGTAGCTTTATAAAATGTGTAATTTACCAATAGACAAAAACAGTAACTGCATGAACTCTTTTAGTAACTTGCTTTAGCTTATTTGTAGTTAAGTTTAACATCCTTATCCATGTAATAATCTGTATGTGTATGACATTGCATATGGCAGGGGGGTTATGTTTATATTAACATATTAAATAATTTTGATTAAAATTTTCTTTTTTAAATTTTAAATAATATTGTGTTTTTGTTTAAGTTGATAGAGAAGAAATCACTTTATGAAGTAGTGATAATATATGATACAAGGTATTAGACTGATATTTGAAAAAACCCAACAAATACTTATTTTCACGACAAAATGCCGCGAATTTAGAATTTTGAAAAATGTCGTTACGCGCAATCTCCCCCAAGGAAATTTTCAAAAGTTGGCATGTATGTTTGTTTTCATTGTGTTTAACAATGTATTTCTAATTAAAGCATTGTATATTTAAAGTGAATAATTTAACATATCAAAAAAATACTAACCAATTTGTAAGACCTATCACAATTTTTAAATAGTCAGAATATTTTCCTCACACAGACTGCAGTTTCTCTATCGATGACATGAAAATGGGCGGAGGCATATAAAATTAGATACTTTAAGAAGAAGCTAAAGATGATTGACAGTACACACTACAGAGAATTATATTGATAAATAAATTAATTTTACAATCAAAATTTTAAAAAAAAGGTAGTTTATGATTGTGTATCAGATTTTCATTTCTTAATTGTATTCTTTAATATTCATGTATGACTTATTTACATTCTTTTTTAATGGAAAAAAAGTGGGTGCAGTGTTTCTAGGGGGAATGGCATAATTTTTGCATGTATTATATGATTAAGTGTTTTATCATGGTGGAATTAAAAGTTTATGAAATTAACAATTTTCACTTAAATGAAAAATACAAGGTTTAATGAAAATTATGTGACAAAAACAAACAACCTGCAGACTTTTATTCTGGAAAAAAAAAATATGGCTCCAAAGCAAAAATTTTTTACCTCAAAACATTATAATATTAAAACAAAATTTGTTCCCTAAAATTTCAATTTCACATATGATGTGATATCACCATAATATAATACAGATAAATTTAATTTGGAATTATATGAAGAAACTATAAACAATTCTGCATAATGTGCATTTTATGATGTTATAAAAAATGAGCCACAAATAATGTTGCAATATTTGTCGTTTTAAAAAAGCATTTTGTAATAAAATATGTAGTAAAAAACAATGATGACTCACTGATGGCCACATACTGTAAGGAAGCAGGTAAACATGTCCGCTAATTAGTTTGTTATACAATGATGCCTGTTCAGTAAAACTATAAATTAGTTACTGGTAGTACATGCATATTTTTTTTTGTTATCTGATTTTTATTATAGTGCAATAATATAATGTACACTATAATTTATTTTATTGTTTACATAGAAAAGAGGTGTGAAATTATGCCTAGATCTAACAGAAGTCGAAGTAGTGGAAGAGAGTCGCACAGAAGCAGGACTCGTAGTCGACATAGATCTTCTTCACGCAGGATAAGTAGAAGAAAACTAAAAGAGAAAAACTTCTGGTCTGCATTATGTAGTATGGTTGCTATAGTTATAATGTGTACATCCCTAGCGGAGCCCCGATGGATCTCCTTACACGGGGGAGGATGCAGATTGAGGGACTGTGTCCCCCTTGATCACATAGGAGCTTATCAGTTCTTCTACTCCGGGCACTTCCTGAAAACATATGATTTAAACTGTCCAAATGGCAATGCTGTGACACATATACTCTACCAGTATGGAGATGATACGTCAAGTAGTAAGCATTTTTCTTGGGTAGTTAATTGTGCATGTTTCTATGTAGGTGTGGAATTGTGCAGGGAGTGTTCAATCATATACACATTATGTCCTTGTAAATGAATGCATGAATTTCTATGATATAAAATGTTAAGCTCACCTCAAAGTTTTGGGAGCTTATGTAATACCCTCAGCATCGGAGTTGGCATCTCAGGTTAAATGTTTTTGGAGCAGTTTTCTTTCTTATATTTCTGTGTGCTCTATATTGATCCTAATTGCATGAATGATACATCTAGTTATGTTTCACTGTACCATTCAGGTTTCAGATGCTGCATTTTCAGCCAGTATTTTCCATAAGAATGACCAGGTTAGGCCAAAAAAAACAAGAGGCCCAAGGGCCACATCGCTCACCTGAGCACTGTGGCTAGGAAAAAAGGAAAAATCAGTTTAGTATTGAAAAGCTTAAATGCATAAGTGGTCCCAACCTACCCCTAAAAAGGGAGTGGGGGGGGGGGGGGGTCATGATTTGAACAAACTTGAATCTACACTATATGAGGATGCTTCCGTATAAATATGACAAACCGTGGCTCTGCTGTTCTTGAGATTTTTAAAGATTTTTCCTATATATTCCTATGTAAAACTTTGATCGTTCATTGTGGCCCCGCCCTACCCCTGGGGATCAGTTTGAACAAACTTGAATCTACACCACCTGAGGATGCTTCCATATAAATATGACCAATCATAGCTTTGCTGTTCTTGAGAAGAAGATTTTTGAAGATTTTTCCTGTATATTCCTATGTAAAACTTTGATCGTCCAATGTGGCCCCACCCAACCCCCGGGGGTCATGATTTGAAAAAACTTGAATCTACACCACGTGAGGATGCTTCCAAATAAATATGACCAATCATAGCTTTGCTGTTCTTGAGAGGAAGATTTTTCCTATGTACACCTACATGTATGTTAAACTGATCGTCCATTTTGGCCCCACCCTACCCCCGGGGGTCATGATTTGAACAAACTTGAATATACACCACCTGATGATGCTTCCATATAAACATGACCAATCATAGCTTTGCTGTTCTTGAGAAGAAGATTTTTGAAGATTTTTCCTATATATTCCTATGTAAAACTTTGATCGTCCATTGTGGCCCCACCCTATCCCCAGGGGTCAAGATTTGTACAAAGCTGAATCTACACTATATGAGGATGCTTCCAAATAAATATGACCAATCATAGCTTTGCTGTTCTTGAGAAGAAGATTTTTGAAGATTTTTCGTATGTACACCTATGTAAAACTTTGATCGTCCATTGTGGCCCCACCCTACCCCTGGGGGTCATGATTTGAACAAACTTGAATCTACACCACCTGAGGATGCTTCCATATAAATATGACCAATCATAGCTTTGCTGTTCTTGAGAAGAAGATTTTTGAAGATTTTTCCTATATATTCCAGACCTATGTAAAACTTTGATCGTCCAATGTGGCCCCACCCTACCCCCGGGGGTCATGATTTGTACAAACTTGAATCTACACCACCTGTGGATGCTTCCAAATAAATATGACCAATCATAGCTTTGCTGTTCTTGAGAAGAAGATTTTTGAAGATTTTTCCTATATATTCCTATGTAAAACTTTGATCGTCCATTGTGGCCCCACCCTATCCCCGGGGGTCATGATTTGAACAAACTTGAATCTACACTACCTGACAATAATTCCACATGAGTTTCATCTTTCCTGGCCCACTGGTTCTTGAGAAGAAGATTTTTCAATAATGCCATTAATTTTTTGCTATTTCGTAATTATCTCCCCTTGGAGGAGGGCGTGGCCCTTCATTTGAACAAACTTGAAACCCCTTCACCCAAGGATACTTTGTGCCAAGTTTGATTGAAATTGGCCCAGTAGTTCTGGAGAAGAAGATGAAAATGTGAAAAGTTTACGACAACAACGACGCCGACGACGACGCCGACGACGACAGACAACGGACAAATTTTGATCAGAAAAGCTCACTTGAGCCTTCGGCTCAGGTGAGCTAAAAATATGTATGGTTCCGGTTACACTTCCAAAAAAATTAGGGTGGGTAGGTAGGGAATTTTTTTTTTTTAACAGAATGATTTTCTTAATTTTTCTGAATAATATCTATCACTGCTTTGCAAATGGCATTTAGATGTGATGTGATAATATACTAGTCAATATTGGTAGAGGACACCTACATGCTAGCTTGCTTTGGACTTAATACTATTAAACACTTGCACTTTGTTTTGCAAGGAGGCCGTCATTGCTGAAACTAAAACTTAAACCGAAGCCATTGATGGAAATTGGGGAAAATTCTAGAAAAAAAATGAAAATTGCCAAAAAAAAATTTAGGGTCGGGGTATAAAATAGGGAAGGTCGGGTAACCGGAACCACACATATTTTTTATTTGGCCTTAATGTTTTTGGAGCAGGTTAAAGCTTTTGGAGCAGGGCTCTTTTCCAAGTAACTATATGCCCAACCAGGTCCAAACTTGCAGGGATGATGCATTTAGGGATGCATACTTGCTTAAGATGCTGGATCTGATGTACATTTTCTAAATGAGTGACCAGGTTGAAGTTTTTGGAGCAGGTTCATTCTGAAGTAACTGTAAACCTTATGTGATGACCAGTTTTGCATGGATGATGCATCTAGGGATGCACACTACAAGGCTAGCTTCAGATGCTGGATCCAGTCTACATTTTCTAGATGAGTGAACAGGTTAAATTTTTTTAATCAAGTTCATTCCCAAGTAACTATAAGCCCTACCTGGACCAAACTTCTATGGATTATTCATGTGGGGATGAAAGCTACCATACTTGCTTTGGATTCTGGATCTGACCTACATTTTCTGGATGAGTGATCAGGTTTAAGTTTTTGGAACAGGTCCATTCCCAAGTAAATTTAATCTCTAGTTAGACCAATCTTGCAGGAATGATTCATGTAGGAAGGAGAATGCCAGACTTGCTTTGGATTCTGGATATGACCTAGATTTTTGGGGCAAAAGACCAGATTGAAGTTTATTCCAAGGTTACTATAAGCCCTATGCTGACCAAAGTTGCATTGAAGATGCATCTAGGGATGCACACTATCAGACCTCCATCAGATGCTGAGTTTTGCTCACATTTTCTAGATGATTTAACAGAAAAAGTTTCTGGAGCAAGTCCATTCCCAAGTAACTTAAAATCCTACCCAGAACAAACTTGCATAAGGGATGCACACTACCAGAATGTTTGGTGTGAAACTTAACCTTACCTAAAGATAACATTCATTTAGGTGAGCTCTGTAATCTTTGATTACCTATGGTTATGTTTAGGGATGTCAACGAATATTCAAACATTCGAATATTCATTCGATGGGTTGATATTCGAATATAAATTTAAGATTCGAATATTCGGTGTTTTACAGATTTCATAAAAAGAAGTACTGTGATTAATAAATTTTGATTAATTGAAAACCTTCTTTGAATGTCTAAAAGGTGTGAAGTGTATACTCATCAAAATAAATTTAATTGATCATTGAATGAATTTATGATAGAATTAGTCTGTAATTAATATTGTAAAGGGCTCAATTTCAGAATAAATGTGTAAATTACTTGATTATCTCGGGTTGTACATAATCCTGAATTTTATATTCATTATCGGTAAATTAATTAATTACCTAGGAAAATTGTCTATGAAAATATTTGTTTTTATTTTTAAAATATTTTATCAAAGATTATTATCATATTCCTTATTAGGCTGATAATTGTAATGATTTACTCGTATTGAAATCTCAAAAGTATACGACTATCCTGCCCTTGGTAAGACGACTGGTTCCTCAATTGGAGCTACTATAAATTTATTAAATTTGTTAAAATCATATTTAAATCAATTACTTGTTTCAAACATTGACAAATATCAAATGGAATTCCTTATTGTACACCTACAAAACCTTCACAAAATTTTACTTCCAATATAAGAATACCTACGCTACACCTTTCATGAGAGTAGGATGATCGATGCATATTTATAATAAACCAGATTTTGTTTACTTTATCGAATATTCGAATATATTCGAATACTTTCATTGAATATTCGAATATGAATTATTGACAAAATTGACATCCCTAGTTATGTTATATGAGCTACAGATATTGCATACTGCTTTGTAAATTTGGTAATGATGCTTGGTTTACAGGGTTTCGTATTTGCACAATACATATATCTACAAAGTAATAGACCTTTGAACAATTACCCATAATCTATAAAAATTTAGTTTCCTGAATACCTTTTTTCATGCTTTGATCTTAACAGTTTGATTATGATAGTTTGGGTTTAGTGTAGCCTTGTTTAATTTTCAAAGGTGCAGTCAAGTGACAAACTACTTATAAGAAATAGGTAAAACTTTCTGCAAGTTTGGGTATAACGTTAGATAAAGCTGTCTTTTCCTGTTATACTGTGCACTCCTGCCTAGGGCTGAACATACATGTATCACTGTGCTATACCACCTATCCCTAATCACACATTTACAAAACATTCCTGATTCACATATATAGCTGCAGTAAAATTGAAATACATCGAACCTGCTGCCTGCAGGTTCTAATTGTCCATCCTAAATTTTTCAGTTAGGTTAGCTATAGATCTGCAACTAGTTGATTACATACAGTTGAACTTTGCTATCTCAAACTTTGATATCTTGATTACCTTGGATGTGTTGAAGTGAGTTTGAAATCTCAACCACTTTTCTCTATCTGAAATCTTCAGACATCTCAAAACTTTTTGGGGGGGCCATCAAGTTTGAGACAATGAGATTTGTCTGTACTTCAATAAATTTACATGTTTACATTCTCTAATTAGTAATTACACTGTATGCTCTAAAATGAACAGCTATCGTGAATGGCAGAAAAAAAGGCATACAAAAATGAAGTCTACCTTGAGTATTGATTGCACTGAACAAGAAAATTAAGATATATGTTGGCATACCAAACCATGAAAACAAATCTGTTCAACTGATAAATATATTTATTATGTTTATTGTATTAATTAAAATTTTTTTTTTTTACGGTTTTTCAGCCATGGACAACTGTGTTACCCATAAAGCAGTGAGTCTAATGAAGACCATTATATCCTTCACATTCCTGGCTCTGTTGTGTACGTTGTGTGCTTTCATATTAGATCTTGTGGGTCCTACACAGCGTTCACTGAAGATAATACACAGAAACGCCATCTTTAATATCATAGCAGGTACATAGTTATGTAGGAAGATAGAAAATGCAGTATGAGATAAAACCCAGTATATTAAGTTGAAAGTTTAAGATGAACAAAACTTATTTGACATGCTAAATAGATACAGTGTGGAACCACATGCTGTAAAAGGCACAGGAGAGATTGTAGCAAAAAAACTGAATTCAAAAATATTTAAACTATTCAGACCTTCAAACTGTGAGAGTCTGTGTTAATGTATGATTGTTGTATTTTTCAGTGATTCTATGTGTGATTACAGACCTGTTCTGCTACTGGCTTGTGACAGAGGTCCTCTTCCTGCAGAAAATGACAAAACTTCACACAGGAAGTAAAGTAACAGTGACCTTTGACATCAGTTTCTACTTGATAGCAGCAGCAGGTGGCATGGGAGTGTTTGCTACTGCATTAAACTGTTTGCGGAGATACCCAGTGTATGAGGACGATCAGTCAAATGCTCTTTTAGAAGAACACGCTTATGACTGTGTACATCCAGACCCAGGAAGTGGTCTCCCAGAAAACCACCCCCCTCCCCCTCCATACTCTGCATAATTAACTCGTATACAGCTGTTTTGCATAAATTTATTTATTTAAATTAGTACACATATAATTCCTTGGAGGATCTATGTTCTCTCAATAGCATTTTAAAAAAAATATGCAAGTTTACACAACATTTTTTTATCTGGATTCCACTAATCCAGTCTTTTCACTCTTGAGATGAAAATTTATGAAAAGTACCGGTAATGTGTTGAATGTTATACAAGGTTTTTCAGATAAGCTTTTGACTGATCCAGTTGTTCTTTTCCTTCAGATTTAGGTCAAAACCACCGAGGCATCACTGTTTGTGTTTCAGCAAAATGACTACATGTATGTATTATTGATACACTTACGAAACTTTTTTATGCAAGGAACATTAAATTTTTGTTATACGTTTATATAAGATGTTTAAAATCTATTATTGTATTTTATCTTTGAAATGGAAATCTATTGAACTCACTTGAGCCCAAGGATCAAGTGAACTTCCTTAATTGAGGTTTGCAGTGTATTCTGTCCCTTGTCATTAATTTTTCGCAATTTTCATGATTTCTGCTTGCTTTTTCTTTCTCCAGAACCCCTTGTCCAGTTTTGCATAGGTTCATTGAATAAATAATGTTTAGGTCTGTTCAAATCAATGGATTTATGGATATATAACATAATTTTGTACATATATGTACAGTTGAACTTCTATATCTCAAACACTGATATCTCGAATACCCTTGATATCTCCAATCGTCAGATATCTTTTGAGTTTTTTCTTGGTCTTATCAAGGTCAATATAATGAGGTTTGACTGTTTATCTAAATAAATTCATCTTCAGATCAGCAAGATTACATGTACAGTTAAGTAGTATCTAAGTGTCAATATGTAAAGGAAATCTGTTCAAAATTTGGCTCGATAGGGTCCAAAGCTGGATATTAAACTCTATATGTTCATGTACAATATTGTAAAATAAAAAAACAAAAGAGTTAAGTCCCATGCTTCACCAAGCAATGCATGTAATAAATGCAAATACAGTATATATAGACATGTAGATGCTCTGTTGTAGAATTAAAATTGCGAAACCTTTGGCTTAGTTTGGGATACCAATAAACAGTTTTATGACATTTTTGTTTTAGAAAAAGTCATTTTACTCAAGCTAAGTTTATGGCCTGATGGGCATTTTCTGCATTTATATAAAGATCTGTGATGCTATATTAAGTACTGATTCATTTGATTACGTGTACTCCAGTATCTAATTTTAACAATATTAATTATATGTCAAGTTTTACTTGTTACTTTCTTTTTTGTAACAAGAACTGTTAAGGAATTATTACAGTCATTGTGAATGATTGTACACTTTGTAAACTGTGATTAAAAGTATTTTGTAACATTACTGTGTTTAGTTAATTAGCATTTTTAGAACACTCACTACAGATGACCTATTGCTATCTATACTCTTGGGACATGTTCAGCTTCGTCTCTGAAATGGCTGACATACTTTATTCCATCTCTCCACATGAAGAATCAAACCAGTTTCAGCTCGTATGAGAAACCAAAAATTTTGTATTTCAGTTCATGCCCCCCCCCCCCCCCCAACTAGCTTGAGGAGTGATGTTATACCCAATCAAAAGAACAAGGTTCTCTTAGGGCCTTTTATGGCCCTGTGAATTTCTGAAAATTAAAAGTGCTCAGTTTTAGTGGAAAATACATAAAATTTTGCTTGGATCCTTGTTGACGGCATACCTATTAAAAATGACGTAATTTTCTCACTAGTTTATGCATTACGACGTCATAAATTGCATCAAATCATCAAAATTTCTTCAAAAATGTATTCACTAAGCAGTTTTTCAATATTTTGCATAGACCCCAACCTCTGATCTAAAATGTTTAATTCTATAATGAAGTATTGCTTTAGAAGATTATAATCCATGTTTTATTTTTTGGATCACAGGGTGGGCTCATATTTTTGTTCTTTGTTGAAGGTGCTCAATACACCAATTTTCTTCAAAATTCAATAACATTTCAATTTCACAAAGCCTGTATTTCAATACCTGGACTCTCAGAGGAAACTTTTTTTTATAGGAAATGAAAGCACCAAGTCTCTACTTTATATTGATGTTTGAAATAGGACTTTTGGACATGGTCAGTTAATTTGTATATGGACAGGGCCATTTTATAGCTAAAGTGAACCTTGCTCTTTGTGCAATCATCAAAAATATCTTTCTATACTCTTGAACATTTATGTGACACACTGTTTGTGTGAATATCAAGAACAGTCCTCTACAAAAACAGAAATTCTTCACCTCTTAGTTTTAGGCCCGAGTTGGTCATACATGTATATTCAAATTACATGTATATTATACTGGTACTTTCAAAAAACCTTTAGTTATTACCATCCAGGTGGTTAACTCTGCAGCTAGCCCTCTACCAGAATTGTTGAATTCATGTCTCCTGGGTCTAGGATTCGGGCCCCAAGGTGGAGTTACCATATATACTCGCCTATAAGTCTTTTTTTTTGGAGTAAAACTTTGGTCCAAAACTCTTTTTCCGACTTATACGCGAGTTATAAAAAGATTGGTATTTTAGTTGTTCAATCCCTCTAATTTAAGCTTAAAAATACAACCGACTTATAGGCGGACCGACTTATAGGCAAGTATATACAGTAAGTCATATATATACTGATAATGTAAAGCACCATCCTTTTTGCTCATGGACAGGAAAACTAGAAAGCTCAGCTAGCCCTCTATCAGAATGATGAAATTCCTTGAGTTCAGCCCAAGGGATATTTGTTATACATTACTTAAGAATTTATTAAAGTGTACCTTTAAAAGATGTATTATATGTATCATCCCCCCATATACACACATATATACTTGATTCAACATATCCATATTTTATTTCAAAATTAACAAATTGAAATTGTACAATTTTTTTTATGAACTTCAAGGTATAATCTCCAACTTTACTGGCATGGTTTTTATTATAATATCAAAACTGGAAATGTAAATATATATTTCTATTTTAAATAAGGTATGTATTAGAAGTCGATTAATAATAAATATATGTGCAGAACAGACAGTCTGAGACATATACTATAAATAGAATACAGTGTAACCATGGTAACAATCATTGCTCTAAATCTGCTTTGCTGATCATGACATAATTAAGTCCTTGTTCAATCTGGTCCTCCTCAACCATGAAATATGACATGGATGGAACATGATGTAACTTTTCTATTTTCTTACTTTGGCAGATCTTTAAATGTTTCAAATATAACAAAATTGCCACAAAAACAATCACAAAACACACAACTATCACATATTCATTGTCTACAAATCTAGTTTTCTTTATCCAAGGTGGTGGACTGTGTTGATTTTCAAAACTATTCATCTCCCTGGAAGAAAAAAAAGAAAATGTTAATTACCATGAAATAGAACTACAGTTGCACATTCATTTGAATATTTCACTATATAACATGGACATTTTTAAAAATGCATAGTTTCAATACACAACAATGGACCAATTTCAGCCAAACTTGGCATAGCTAGAGTATATCCTTGGCTAAAAAGGGATTCTAAGTAGTTCAAATGAAGGACCATGCCCTCTTCCAAGGAAAGGTAATTAAGAAAATGTAAAAATTGGGTGTGTCATTAAAAATCTTTTACTCAAGAACCACTGGGCCAGAAAAGATACCGTTACACTTTTTAATGTAATGCTTCCTGACTAAGTGTAGATTATAAACTGTTCAAATTATAGCCCCCTGGAGATATTGTGTGGCCGCAATATCTAGTGCTTATCACTGACCTGGGTAGAAGGTATCTAGTGCTTATCACTAACCTGAGTGGAAGGTATCTAGTGCTTGCCACTGATCTGAGTGGAAAGTATGGAGTGCTTATCACTAACCTGAGTAGAAGTATCTAGTGCTTATAACTAACCTGAGTGGAAGGTATCTAGTGCTTATCACTGACCTGAGTGGAAGGTATGGAGTGCTTATCACTGACCTGAATAGAAGGTATCTAGTGCTTATCACTGTCCTGAGTGGAAGGTATCGAGTGCTTATCACTAACCTGAGTGGAAGGTATCTAGTGCTTATCACTGACCTGAGTAGAAGGTATCTAGTGCTTATCACTGACCTGAGTGGAAGGTATCTAGTGCTTATCACTGACCTGAGTAGAAGGTATCTAGTGCTCGTCACTAACCTGAGTGGAAGGTATGGAGTGCTTATCACTAACCTGAGTAGAAAGTATCGGGTGCTTATCACTGACCTGAGTGGAAGGTATCTAGTGCTTATCACTGACCTGATTGGAAGGTATGGAGTGCTTATCACTAACCTGAGTGGAAGGTATCTAGTGCTTATCACTGACCTGATTGGAAGGTATCGAGTACTTATCACTGACCTGAGTAGAAGGTATCTAGCGCTTATCACTAGCCTGAGTGGAAGGTATCTAGTGCTCGTCACTGACCTGAGTGGAAGGTATGGAGTGCTTATCACTAAGCTGAGTAGAAGGTATCTAGTGCTTATAACTAACCTGAGTGGAAGGTATCTAGTGCTTATCACTGACCTGAGTGGAAGGTATCTAGTGCTTATCACTGACCTGAGTGGAAGGTATCGAGTGCTTATCACTGACCTGAGTGGAAGGTATCGAGTGCTTATCACTGACCTGAATAGAAGGTATCTAGTGCTTATCACTGTCCTGAGTGGAAGGTATCGAGTGCTTATCACTAACCTGAGTGGAAGGTATTTAGTGCTTATCACTGACCTGAGTAGAAGGTATCTAGTGCTTATCACTGACCTGAGTGGAAGGTATCTAGTGCTTATCACTGACCTGAGTGGAAGGTATCAAGTGCTTATCACTGACCTGAGTGGAAGGTATCAAGTGCTCATCACTGAACTGAGTGGAAGGTTTTAGTGCTTATCACTGACCTGAGTGGAAGGTATGGAGTGCTTTTCACTAACCTGAGTGGAAGGTATCTAGTGCTTATCACTGACCTGAGTTGAAGGTATCGAGTGCTTATCACTTACCTGAGTGGAAGGTATCGAGTGCTTATCACTGACCTGAGTGGAAGGTATCTAATGCTTTTGACTGACCTGAGTGGAAGGTATCTAGTGCTTATCACTGACCTGAGTGGAAGGTATCTAGTGCTTATCACTAACCGAGTGGAAGGTATTGAGTGCGTATCACTGACATGAGCAGAAGGTATCAAATACTTATCATTGACTTCCGGTATCGAGTGCTTATCACTGACCTAAGTGGAAGGTATCGAGTGCGGTGCAGAAGAGCTCCCAGTGTCCACTGTACTTCTCGCTGATTAATCTGGTGAACTGATCTCAACATCTTATAACTGTGTGGAAATTTTAATCCTTTATGTAAAACAGTTGACATCCAGGCTGACTTGAAACACTGAAATCTAAAAAAAGCATTTGTTTATATTATTTTCTAAACACTAGTGATGTAACAGAAGGCCAAATGGATGGGCTTAATTGAGTCACCATTCTGATGTTGATAATGAATCAAAAATCAAAGCCTTCATCCCAATCTAAGCTATTTAAATACATTTGACCTGCATACCTTATGGCTGACTGTAATTTTGCTGTTGTTGAGAAAAGGTTTTCTTGAGATTTTTAATGTTTTTCATTAATAACAAGTGGTCAATGGGCCATTATGCTCACCTCAAAAACCCTGGCCCTGTTGTTCTGCAGAATATGATTTTTTAATTTTTTCCCCTCTTCTTTATTTACAACAGAAATTTTGACCATATTGTGACCCCATCCTAGGGGTCTAAATTTGAATCTGCACCACCTGACTATGCTTGCGTATTAATACATCTTATAATCAACCTGGTATTCTTAAGAGGTAGATTTTTAAAATATTTTCTTTATATATATTTCTTTGTAAAACTTTTGTTGACTGGCCTATCCCAAAGGGCCATAATTTGAACAAACATAAATATGACCTACCTGATGATGCTTGCATAATGATAGCCTAGACAGTTCTTGAGAAGATTTTTTCTTACATTTCATACATTCCAATGTAAAACTTTGATCCCCTATTGCTGTCCCACCCTACCCTCTGGGTGATATAATTGAACAAATTTGCATCTGCACTATCTAAAGATGCTTGCATATTCATATGACAAAGAATTTACTGACCGAAATCTGCTCTCGTCTGCCTTTGGGAAAAGTTTCTCATCATACCAAGAGAGAAGAGTGGACCATCTTGTGCTGCAAAATTTCTGTGAAAGAAAAAAAAAACTACCCCGGTATATACATGGAAAATTTGTCATCAATCAATATGTACCATATGTAAAAAAAACTTAAGAAAAAAGTAATAACGTATACAATTTAATTATTTCAAATAAAGTGCACTGCATTTCAACCTAGAAACCAGAAAATAATTTACATGTATAACCTTCAAAGAAAGACAAAAATTACCACTAAGAGTGCTAACACACTAATGATGAATGAAAAAACATAAAATATAACCTTCCCCAGTAAAATCTAAGTACATCACTCACCTTTGCCTCATAATCAAATTTTTCATTGTTGTAAATCCCCCCTATCCTGTACACATCATCCATTGTGTACCAAAACTCCGAAAAGGCATAAAATTCACTGTTATGAAAAGAGATGATTGGCTGGTGAACTCCATTCATTGAACAAGGAGCTTGTTCACATTTAACTGTGGAATTCCAATTTATCAGTCTCACAAGGGATGCACGACAGGCTTCATAATCTCCTAGTCCATTCAGGAAGTGGGTGTGTCCCTGAGCATCCTTTACTTCCTGTGTGAGACCCACGGGCAGACATGGGTCGGAGATGTTAGGATGAGTCCTCTGTCTGTAGATACAAGTAGAATGTTAGATTTAAGGTATAAATTAATTTTTTACCAAAAAAAAAAAAAAATTTCTCGCTTTTATTTTTATGATGATGAAATCAATGTAAAATTCCTTGATCAACTGTCCACTCGCGAATTATTGTTCTCGCGATTTGACGTGAAAGAGCCATTTCACGATAATAAGTACTCACGAAAAATAAGGAATCTACAGTATTTAAAAAAAAAAATTTTAAGCACTTAAAACTAAATTTGTTGGCAACAAAGGAAAAAATTTAGATTCAGAAGATTTTGTTGTGATGTGTTTAGATGGCTTTATCACAAATTTGAAATAAAGTACATTACACAACTTGTCCCTTACATGATGGGTATGTTGCTTATACGATAGGTACAATATGTTGCTTATATTTGATGAGAATCTAAAACTTTTTCCTCCCTTACATAGGTATTTTTGCTTATATTTGGTGAAAATCTAAGCCTTTTTCTTTCCTTACATGATTGGTATGTTGCTTATATTTGTTGTGGCAAAGTTAATCTGGTGAGCCTTGGATAAAAGCACCTGCTCTTCATACCGTTCTCTGGCTTCGTTTGCCCCGAATCCCAGGAATGTTGTCACGTAAACTCTGTATGTGTGATCTATATCATTATTTTGACATCCAAGGTTAAACTCAGCCACTCTATGCTTTGGAATGTTACTATACTGAAAAAGAAGTTCAAAGGCATGCTAAATGCAACATCTAAAGGCATTTTTTTTATAATTATTTAAATAATTTTGATATAATATTAAGTTTTACCTCTAAAAAGTTTCAACTTTTTCAACATCTTGAAACTAGATGTGTCAGGGCTACACAAATACTCCCGCTGACATGCAAGTTTTAAATACATGAAAGTCAATTAAAGTGTGTGAAAATAAAATCGGTGGAAATGGCACAAAAATAAAATATCATATTTGCTGCTTTTGTTTTTCTTTCATCAATTACTTATACCAACACAATTTACTTGAGCTGCATGAAATGGTAATCACTTACAAGCAATTAGCAATAAAAAAAGGCAAAAAATGTGAATAATTACAAATTTTGAAAAGTTAAAGAGCCATATTTTTTTTTAATGGATCAATCAATATAAAACTCATTTTATGTATTAATTGATTTGTAAGTCGATCATCAATATAAAGACACAAACCAGAGATCATTATCTACAGGGATAGCAAAAAAAAAAAGTACAGAAAAACAGAGCCATGACTTTCATAAAAATAGGTCAATCATCATGAAACTCTAACTTGATCTGTCATCATAGTCAAGAGACATTCTCTACAAGCAAAGAAAAAAAAAAGAAAAATGGAAAACAGTGAATAATTAGAATTTTTCTCAGACTAAGGGCCTCAACATTCATAAAAATTGGGTCAATTAACACATAACTGAAATGATCTGTACCGGTAAGTCATCAATATCAAGGAATACCAAAAATGAAGACATTATCTTTAGTTAACTCTTAAACATCTCTAGCACATAGCCAAAAAAAGTCTGAAAAAGGTGAATTATTAGAATTTTTCAGTCTCAGGCATAACTTTTGTACAAATGGGTCAAGCATCAAGAAACTCAAACTTGATCTATAAGTCATCAACATCAAGACATACCAAAAACCAGGGCATTGTCTACATGCAATTTAGCTAGAAAAATTCTGGAAGACTATGATGGAATGATTGAATTATGGAATAATGGATAGAAAGGGATAACACTGTATGCCAGGGCCATTTCATGGTGGGGGCATGATAACATTTAATCAGTTGTTAATTCCATCATGTTGCTTGGTGAAGCTTCCATTGTGGGGCTAAGATGGTTTTGCAAATACATGTACATTGTAAGGTCATTAATCCGGATACTTGCGTTCCCGAGCAAATTGTCCAGATTAATGAAGCATCCGGATTACTAAAACATACACTTGGTATATGCAAAAATTATTTGTACCCCACAAATTCAGGGGTTGAAATATACGGTAGCCCGATGCCCAGGGCTAGTCATTTTAAGTCTAGGGCTAGCTAATTTAAATGTAACAATAGTCCATCGGACTAGCAGAATTGAAAACAAAAAAATCTCGTCATTTTACTTTTCGCTTTTCTACGTAGATTAGTTTCTTTTGACTTAGAACTAATTTGATTTGTTACCAAAGCATTTGAAACTTTCATTTGTTATGTTTTCATTTTAATTAAAAAAAAAAATTGTTGGGCTAGTTAGTTTGAGATATGGGCTAGTAATTTTTTACTGATCAGTAGCCCCTGGGCTAGTGGGTTTTCAAGGAAAATTTCAACCCCTGACAAATTTCATCTGAAAGGTGAAACTTATGGATTTTTGGCATCTAGTGGATTAAAGAAGCTCCACTATACCATGTCCCTTTTTATACTGAACATGAACATTGTTGCAAATTCCTCTTATATAGGCAGTTACCATGATTAAATAGTGATTAATTGCAGTGTACTGACCTTTGAGGTAATTTCGAATGCTATCTGCATGGATCCCCCTCCCATATCCAGCATGCCCACTGTTCTCCTTCGAATGTGTGTTTTCTTTTCTTTGTTTGTGTTGCCAGGAATTTCTACAGCCACCAGCGGATGTTCTAAATAATTAAGAAACTAATCATTTTAATGGAATAACTAACTATTAATTAAGTAACAACTTGGTCAATGTAAAATAAATTCTTATTGAGGAAAGCAATACCAAATCAACACTATAACAAACTAATCACAAAGTCCTACCATCTGCCCCATGATCAAATTTATGGAGTACGTAATTGACGGCAATCCAGGCGTACACACCCTCCTGTTTCCCCGTTATCACCTCTAAGTTACTCTCAGATATCACAAAGGGAAACATCTTAGGGATTTCTTTGTACAGATTCTGAAAAATGGCTTTCTGTGATCTGAAAATTGGATTCCCTCTCTCATTATAAAACAAAAATTCAATCATCCTAAGTTACATGAACTAAAATATAAATATGCATATGAACAGTACATAAAATTCCAATTAAAATTTTTGAACGAAATTATTCAATGCACTTTCATCACATGTATGTCAAATGCAACAAGAGGCCCATGGGCCATATTGCTCACCTGGGCACATTGGCTAGGAAAAAAAAGCAAAAATCAGTTCAGTATTGAAAAGTTTACAAGGGGGGGGGGAGGAGGGGGGGTTGAATTTTAAACTACCTGATGATGCTTTCATATCAATATAACAAATGGCTTTGCTGTTCTTGAGCAGAAGATTTTTTCCCATATATTCATTTGTAAAAATTTGATCCCCCATTGTGGCCCCACCCTACCCCCGGGGGCCCTCATTTGAACAAATTTCATTCTACACTACCCAAGGATGCCTCATATCAATTTGACTAATCATGGCTTTTCTTTTCTTGAGAAAAAGATTTTTTCCTAAAAATTCCTCTGTAAACTTTGATCACCCATTGTGGCCTCACCCTACCTCCGGGGTCATGACTTGAACAAACTTGAATCTACACTATCTGAGGATGCTTCCATAGAAATATGACCAATCATGGATTTGCTGATCTTGAGAAGAAGATTTTAAAAGATTTTTCTATAAACTCTTATGAAAAACTTTTTGTGACCCCATCCTATCCTGGGGGGTCATGACTTGAACTAACTTGAATCTACACTACCTGAGGATGCTTCCATATAAATATGACTAATCATGGCTTTGCTATTCTTAAGAAGAAGATTTTTAAAGATATTTTCCTATATATTTCTATGTAAAACTTTGATCCCCCATTGTGGCTCCACCCTACACCCAGGGGACATGATTTGAACAAAATTGAATCTACACTACCTGAGGATGCTTCCATATAAATATGACCAATCAAGGCTTTGCTGTTCTTAAGAAGAAGATTTTTAAAGATATTTTCCTATATATTTCTATGTAAAACTTTGATCCCCCATTGTGGCCCCATCCTATCCCCGGGGGTCATGATTTGAACAAACTTGAATCTACACTACCTGAGGATGCTTCCATATAAATATGACCCATCATGGCTTTGCTGTTCTTAAGAAGAAGATTTTTAAAGATATTTTCCTATATATTTCTATGTAAAACTTTGATCCCCCATTGTGGCCCCATCCTACCCTCGGAGGTCATGATTTGAACAAACTTGAATCTACACTACCTGAGGATGTTTCCACATAAGTTTCATCTTTCCTGGCCCAGTGGTTCTTGAGAAGAAGATTTTTAAATGATGCCATTAATTTTTCACGAATTCCTAATTATCTCCCCTTGAAAGAGGGCGTGGCCCTTCATTTGAACAAACTTGAATCCCCTTCACCCAAGGATACTTTGTGGCAAGTTTGGTTGAATTTGGCCCAGTGGTTCTTGAGAAGAAGTCAAAAATGTGAAAAGTTTACAGACAGACAGACGGACAGACAGACAGACAGATGGACGGACGCCGGACAAAATGTGATCAGAAAAGCTCACTTGAGCCTTCGGCTCAGGTGAGCTAAAAAGTATACAACTACATGACCATTGCAAAATTTAAAAACATGATTGTGGAAAAATGTTAAGCAGGCCATACATTTGAATAATTATAACTGCTGATCATAGTGATTAGAATCTTACATTTCTGAGATCATACGCATGCCTGCTGTTGCTAGAATAAACAAAAGTGTCTCTTTCTGTTGTTCCTTTGGTATATAGCCTGATACATATTGTAGTAAAGGCTTGATATAGTCACTGGCAGCCTCAGGGTTATCTTTAAATGTATCTAAACCTAGAAATAGAAATAAATATCAATCATAGTAAATCAGTTGTTCGGTCTACTAGAGCTTGAAAAAAATTAATGTGTTATGAATAATACACTAAAAAATCCAAAGTCTCTGATGAGAATGTAGCTGTTTGTACTTAAAAATAGCATGACCTATTAATAAATAGAATAATGATCCTTGTTTAGTGTGAAAAGTTTTGTTGCAATCAAACTAAAACTGTAGGAGAAGTAACCTTTTGAAAGAAATGTAGTCTACTTGAGTACCAAGTTTTATTGAAATTCGACTAAAATTGAAGGGGGAGTAGTATTTTGAAGGAATTTCACAGAAATTTATTAATTTTTACTAACCAACAGATGACCATGGAAACAACTTTTATCAAAATCAAAACCTGACATACAGAATTATGAATTTTAGTGTAGATCTGGGCAAGTGAACTCAAACTTTGTCTTGTCTGAATGTAAAAATTGGTTGTAAGAATTTTAAAAGAAAGTAACTAAATTTTTTGTTTTAATAACTCAAGAAAGATCGAGGTTTGGTACACTGAAAAGTGATTTGTCTAGAACTATTTTGTAAAATAAATGATTTGTATTAAAGAAAGTAAATTTACTAACTTTACTAACTTAATTTAATACAATTCATTTATTATGAGAATATGTCTAGACAATGTCAGTTTCAGTAGGCCTACTAGGATTCCATGGTTTATCTTGAATGTGTCCCCTCCCATGCTTGTAATAGCAGAGATGACTATGTGAAGTATGAGATATCTACCACTTATACATATTATGATCAGAATAATGTATTTTTTTAGTAAGTAAATAAACTATATCATAAGCCATCGAGAGTCACCTGTATTTAGATTCAAAACAAGACAGTAACAAAACTGTCATACTGAGAGCTTAAGTTTTTGAACTAGCATGAATGAAAACAGCATAACAAATCCAATTATAAAACAAATGTTGCTTGAAAATGACTTATCTAGTAACAGAAGTCAAGCATTCAATTTATTATTTCATTTACAAGTGAGCGTAAGATAAAGATATACATGTATATATGTTTCTAACAGAAATATCCATGTGTTCAATCAGACAAGTACATAGGTACTTTCACTTGCTTGAACTGAGATTTTACTTGCCACAGGCAATCGGACAGATCTGTTACTGTCTGTACCTGATGAGAGTCTACTTTGATGAAGCATAAATTTCTTCTGCTTTAATGATTTTGACAGAATTATGGAGGGAAATGACAAAAAAGATGTAAACAATACCTGGTTTAATTTTCTTAATGACTGGCTTTCCATCTTTACCCATGAACTGTTGAATGTTGAGAAGATCTTTAGTATTTCCTGAGTGCGGTGGCCAGAAATACAGGAACACCCGACTACCGCTGCTACCACAGTCTATAACAATTCCGTAATGTACCGCAGGACCCAGTCCTTTACTTTTTACAAAAACATGCTTGTGATGTGATTTGTTGATAACTGGCTGACTCAGAAGTACTGTTTCCAATATTACAAAGATAATCACTAGTACAACAAAGGACAAAACAGTCACTATGGCTATTTGTCGTGTAGTCCATCTTTGTAATGCTGTATGCCATCCTATATGTCTGACATTGTGAAGACATTGTGGTATATTGAAATAAATCCTGAAAAATTATATATGTATTGTAAATTTGTTAAGGGATACAAACATGTTTATATATTAAATTAATGATATCAAGTTCTGTTACTTTTTAGAATTAATTTAATATATGGATCTCCTATGAATTATTGTTACATATGCTTGAGATTGAAAATTACATTCTTGCTTCAATGGGACTTTAAATGTCATCTAAACTCTTTTCAGGTACTCAACAAACAAAGCTTTATCTGTAACTGAAATTCCCTCACCCCACCAGAGACTCTGATATACTAAGGGGATCTTTAAATACTTCCATATTTAAAATGGGACATAGAGTGTTAGTCAGTTTGTATTTCTACAGGGCTATCTTATGCATAAAGTGAATCTAGCTCTGTATAAAGAGTCTATCCCCACAGACAATATGAGAACATATTATAATTGAATTCAACAAACACCAAGTTTTTTTACTTGGAATAAATGCAGTTTGAAAAACTAAGGCTGTGTGTGATGTTTTGAGCAAATAAACATGTATATGCTGAAGAAGTTGCTATCTCTTAAGTATAATTATGCCCTGGTCCCCTCAACGTCTAGATACATATCATACAACATGCACAGCCTCTATAATGTACATGTCCATGCAGTGACATATTAAAGATTTTCATAAAAATACAAAGTATATAACATTCTATAGAAACTGAAGGATGGATTTTCCCTTTCCTCAACACACAAACTTAATGACAAAAATTAAGAACATCAAAATTGAATTACATTTATTTTTTTAAAGCACACCCCCTTTCAAATAAAAAGATAATATCTATAAAAAATGAAATAAGACCACACCACAACTACAGCAGCACAAAAAAGAAAAATAAAAATCACAGGGATTTTGAGAAAAAATTTGAGTAGTCTTTCCTTTTTTTTCATCATCAGGGTGTACGTAACTTTTTTGGTCTCAGTCAAGACATATGGTACATCAATCATCAGATATTTTACATGGTTAGGGCGTTTCACTCCCAAATATAACACTCGCATAACAAAGAAATACATTTGCACCGATATATGGTGTAATTTTATACCAGTTTTTGCACACTCAAATAGTGTCAAACTCCTATTTCCTCAACAGGATGATCAATGTCTGATGTTGACAGCAATCACATTATGATTATTCACAATATCCGTGATTACTTTAAGCATAAATGTATGAAACTGTGAATAATAAACGATAACCTATCACAATAATGTTAATCGGGATTGAAATAAACATAAATAAATAAAGTACAATTACCTGGCCATTGAATACAGAACTATGCCATTTTATACACGTTGTTCCATCGGGCTCGACATTTCAATGTCGAAATGAAAGTAGGCCGTCGGTAAAAACGGTTACGGTAAGCACTACAGTAATTGAGTAAAGCCAAGATTTTGAGATTCTGATAAAGAAATATAGTGGTGCTGTACTGGTATAAAATTTTTTATTTGCCGCGTTCAATGTACAAATAATGAAAGAAATGGAGAATAAATGTGAAGCAGAGGATACATTGAGCAGTGACAAGGCAACCCAAGAGAGTTTGGAACCTGCATTATCTAACGTTACGTTCACAAGCGAGCTCAGTAAAGATGACAAAAATACATCCAGTGGTCATGAAAATGTTGATGATGTACTTGTGGGGTTGGGAGATGTTACCTCAAGTTTTGTAGCTGAATCTTCTTGTGATGCACCTCTCCTTACTTCTGAGAGTATGGATGTGGAAGTTAGCAAAAATATCATTGGACTGAAACCCGCAAGTGAATCTCATAATGTAAACACAGAAAGTGTAGAAATTAATTGTTTAAATAAACAAATTTCCACATCAGTTCCTACAGAAAACACAGCTTCAAGGTATAGTATATAACACAGTTGTGTATTAATTTATGATAAATTGAAGGCATTAATTATGCACCAATTATATTGTTGTATCATTAAAAGTACATCTTCTATAATTTATTGGCAAAAAAAACCTTTTTAAAAATGGAAACTCATTAACTTTTGATACAGAGTGTATTTGAAATGTTGGCTATCAAAATACAGAATGTAAATAATTCCTCATTAAAAAGCTGCATTGGACAAATGTGCATGATTATCATATTGAAAAAATTCTGTATAATGAGTCCTTCATGTCACAGGAACTTGAAGGGTGTCTCAATAATTATGATAAACACATACCTGATGTAAATGAAAAGTTTATAACTGTATGATGTAAATGAAAAATTTATAACTGTTTCAGTGACTGCCAAGGCTCCCTGATCCAGAAGCATACACTACTAACAAGGACAGAGTTTGACAGGGACCAGTATCTTAGGGGATGTAAATGGTGAGGTTTTAGGTCTATTATAGGGGATGTAAATGATGAGGATTTAGGTCTATCACAGCTGATATAAATGATGAGGTTTTAGTTCTATCACAGCTGATATAAATGATGAGGTTTTAGTTCTATCACAGCTGATATAAATGGTGAGGATTTAGTTCTATCACAGCTGATATAAATGATGAGGTTTTAGTTCTATCACAGCTGATATAAAAGAAGAGGTTTTAGTTCTATCACAGCTGATATAAATGGTGAGGTTTTAGGTCTATCACAGCTGATATAAATGATGAGGTTTTAGGTCTATCACAGCTGATATAAATGATGAGGTTTTAGGTCTATCACAGCTGATATAAATGATGAGGTTTTAGGTCTATCACAGCTGATATAAATGGTGAGGTTTTAGTTCTATCACAGCTGATATAAATGGTGAGGTTTTAGTTCTATCACAGCTGATATAAATGATGAGGTTTTAGGTCTATCACAGCTGATATAAATGGTGAGGTTTTAGGTCTATCACAGCTGATATAAATGGTGAGGTTTTAGTTCTATCACAGCTGATATAAATGGTGAGGTTTTAGTTCTATCACAGCTGATATAAATGGTGAGGTTTTAGGTCTATCACAGCTGATATAAATGGTGAGGTTTTAGGTCTATCACAGCTGATATAAATGGTGAGGTTTTAGGTCTATTATAGGGGATGTTAATGGTGAGGTTTTAGTTCTATCACAGCTGATATAAATGATGAGGTTTTAGGTCTATCACAGCTGATATAAATGGTGAGGTTTTAGGTCTATCACAGCTGATATAAATGGTGAGGTTTTAGGTCTATTATAGGGGATGTTAATGGTGAGGTTTTAGTTCTATCACAGCTGATATAAATGATGAGGTTTTAGGTCTATCACAGCTGATATAAATGGTGAGGTTTTAGTTCTATCACAGCTGATATAAATGGTGAGGTTTTAGGTCTATCACAGCTGATATAAATGATGAGGTTTTAGGTCTATCACAGCTGATATAAATGATGAGGTTTTAGGTCTATCACAGCTGATATAAATGATGAGGTTTTAGTTCTATCACAGCTGATATAAATGGTGAGGTTTTAGTTCTATCACAGCTGATATAAATGGTGAGGTTTTAGGTCTATCACAGCTGATATAAATGATGAGGTTTTAGGTCTATCACAGCTGATATAAATGGTGAAGTTTTAGTTCTATCACAGCTGATATAAATGGTGAGGTTTTAGTTCTATCACAGCTGATATAAATGATGAGGTTTTAGTTCTATCACAGCTGATATAAATGGTGAAGTTTTAGTTCTATCACAGCTGATATAAATGGTGAGGTTTTAGTTCTATCACAGCTGATATAAATGATGAGGTTTTAGGTCTATTATAGGGGATGTTAATGGTGAGGTTTTAGTTCTATCACAGCTGATATAAATGGTGAGGTTTTAGTTCTATCACAGCTGATATAAATGATGAGGTTTTAGGTCTATTACAGGGGATGTAAATGGTGAGGTTTTAGGTCTATTACAGGGGATGTAAATGGTGAGGTTTTAGGTCTATTACAGGGGATGTAAATGGTGAGGTTTTTAGGTCTATTACAGGGGATGTAAATGGTGAGGTCTTAGGTCTATCACCTTTTAACATTGACCATCTGTTTGAAACTGAATGTGTATGGTAATTGTTGGTAATGGTTTTTTGTTATATTGTAACAGGTCTGTTGATGGGAACATGATTTTGACAACAACCAGTGATAACAAGTTTTACACATACAACTTTGCACAGGAACAGATTTGTACCAAACAAGGTTTTTCTGAACATGGTGAATGGGTAAATATTGTTTTATCCTTTTGTTTTAAGCTTTTCTGTACTTTTGTGCAGAGGATCTATATACAATGCTATATATGTGTTTATATACATGCAGCATTCAATTACAAATCAATAATACTGGATAAGTGGAACTTTTAGTGAGACACAAATTTAGCAATTTATCCAAAAAAATTGGTACGGTATATATTTGTAGCGATCGAGAAGTAATGTTAGCAATTTATAATGCCTGGAAAAATAGCTGTAATCATCGTTACGGAATGAATTGTTAGCGATATTCAATTTTAGTGATATCAAAATCCTTGTTAATAATGCCAAAATTAAATCCTCACTAAAAATTCTGCTTATACGGTATTGATATGCCGACAAGTTTGTATGTGTTAGGTTATAAATTGGTTAATATACAGTTACTGTCATAGAGACTAGGCTATATCCATCACTTCAAAATTATGAAAAGTTTAAAAATGTTTTCTTACATACTTAGTAATAAATACATTTTTTTTTAGATGTGTGATATGTCTGACATCACATTAGCCATATATTATTGTAATTGAGAACACATGATCATCAAAACTTGCTAAATTTTTTTTTTGGAAAATGAAAGATCAAGGCTCACATTTGACCTATAGGTTTATCTGGACCATAACCAAATGTCATCCTGGCAAATGCAAGGTCAATAATGGATCTTGACCTTAAAAAATCATTTGGTAATTAAGTTCAAAGTCAGTGGTAGATAGAACATAAATATGTAGGCCTTAATATTGTAATTGAGAAAAGTCTTGTTTGACACAAATTCTGCTTTTTTTCATATAACCTATCAATTAAATCAGCCCAAATTTATTTTTAAGTCCAAACCTGAACAGATGTTGCTCGTAAAGAGAATCTGATTTGAAGTTAAGGTCACTGTGGAAAACCATAATGTACTGTAGCAGGGGATATCCTTCTCATAGCTTGTTCACAAATACTGTTTGATTTTTTACATGATAAATAACTGACAGACCATGGCAGAGTCAATGAAGTAATTACAGCTTTTTATTTTTGTATGTATGTCTGGATTCCAAAGAATGTTAAGATTTTCATTACACCTAGAAAGTCTTAAAATTTGTAAAATTTCATATGCATAGATCCTTATATAGCCTAGGTAAAAAATTTTAGCTCACCCAAGATGAATCTTCAACGAGCTGTTCTGTTAAAATAAAATTTGAAAGACATCTTTTGTCTGCCATCTATCTGTCTCTAACACATCTGTTAAAGATGTAATAGTATCAATGTATTGTATCTTTATTTGTATTAAATAAGAAAATCTCTTCTTTTTTTCAGAAGCCTACAACAGTTATTAGTGAAACAGGAACTGTTTATGACTATTGTTGGTTTAATCAGACCACAGATCCAAGCTTGTGAGTTTCTTAGAATCCTTCAAAAATATTCACTGTTGAGTGTAGTGATTGCATTCAAGTATTAATATACAAAGTTGTCAAAATTTTATTCCTGTTTTCTCTGTGGAACGTGTGTTAATTCTTTCCAGATTACATTGTCAGGGTTTTAATTGACACCCACGGTTTATACAGTCATCTTTGGAATTATTTATCCTTCAGTGTAATGAGATAAAATCACTATTCACTCAGTAGCATAAAAAATGTTATCATCCAGAGCAAATATGCCTTCTATTTGCATTTGGCCCTGACAGGGTCACTGAAGCGTTTTTTCTTTTAAATCATGCTGAAAACTTTTTCAAAAAAGTTTTGGGATTATATAGAAAAAAATCTTTAAAATTCTTCTGAAGTACAGTAGAGCCATGTCTTAATGTGCAGGCATCCTAAGGAAGTGTAGATACAAGTTACAAGTTTGTTTATATCAGGGCCCCCAACATGTAGAGTGGGCCTACAGTAGGGGATCAGAGTTCTACAAGGAAATATGCAGGAACAAATCTCTTTCAAAAGTCTTCCTCCGAAGAACAACAGAGCCAAGCTAGGTTACTCAGATGAGCATTGTGGCTCATAGGCCTCTTGTTTTTATTATTTTGTAATGCAATAAAAAATTGTAAGTTAATGAAATTAATGTATATTAATTAATATTGATTTTTGTTACCATGCAAACACAATGATTATCCATTATCATTTTGTCTATTGTTTAATATTACATCAATTTAAGTTGTTTTATCTGTAGTTGTTACTTAATTATTATTAATTTGTTCACAGTTTAATAAACCAGGATCTCTTTGTTATGATAAAACAGGTATTAAATGGGACTTTGGGTGATAGTCATTTTATCATCCTCTTGGGCAACAAGTCTTACCTTGAGGCTGACAAAATGACCTTTGCCCTCATAACCATTTAATAACCCAAATCTGATGACTGTTGAACTTTTTACTGAATGTATACAATCTAAAATGGTTATATATTTGGTACATGTAATACTTTACGAAAGATTGAATAAATGTTGTCATAAATATCAAGTGGTATATTTTAAGTTTCCTGACCACCAGTAAGGACAATCCAATCCATAACTGGGATGCTAACACAGGACAGCTGGTGTCTTCCTACAGGGCATACAATCAAATGGTTTGTCTGATTACGTCTGATTCAGTCTTAATGTAACAATGATACAGTTACCTCCCTTTTCTGCCAAGTGATTATATACAAATTATACAGATACATGTATTTGTGTACAGGATGAGCTGTCAGCAGCCTATAGCCTGTGTTATAGCTTGGATGGGAGAAAGATATATTGTGGCTTCAACAAGATGATACGCGTGTTTGACACTGACAGACCAGGGAGAGAATGTGAGAGTAGACCAACATATGGTACGTACATGTAAATGGACTAACTTACAGTAGTATAATTATTGATATCTTGGCTATTAGCACTGTGAGCCCCGTGCCACAAGAAGTGAATTCATTTCAATTTTTTTGTCAAGAAGAGTAAATGACTAAGGTTTTGCAAAGATGAAACTAAAAGATCTAGACCAGTACCAGTTTCGCAGGTGAGTTAAGGCTGGGTATAGGCATTTCTATGCAAATAAACTAATTAAAATGCCTAAGGACTATATCTGTTATACAGAGAAAGTTAAAACTTATTGTCTAATACATACTTGGTACCCACGACATAAGATAGCCAATATACATTAATTATAACGTCATTGTTCTTTACTACACAAGATTATAATGGACATCAACAAAAATGCTTTGTCGCAAGGACATGCTCTATTTTATTTAATTGAAACAAGGCATATTTAGAAGCAAAATATTTCACAGATTGCTGTTATTGCTGCACAAATATCAACAGCTCAGTTGTATAATTTCTATTTGTAAAGTTTTAAGTTGAACCTGGGTAAAAATGTACAGTCCTGTATAAGTTTCCTCAAATTCCGATCAAATGAGAAAATGCCTAGGATTTGTGCAGCAGTTTTATTAATCTATAGAATATTCTTCTTACCATTATGCAATTTTTATGTAAAATCATATAGGGTAATCCCTTGTGCCAAAGCTGTTTTGTGGATGTGTTTTATTACCTCCAGTAGGTAAGAACAATGACATCATAATATAATGTGTACTGTCTATAACATATCGTGGGTACTTAGTATGCATAAGGAAATAATCAAAACTTTCTCTGAAAATAAATATACCTTTTATGCTTTTTTTTTTAGCTCATTTGCACAGAAACGCCCATACCTAGCCTTAACTCTCATGCGTAAATTTTAATCTTCATCTTTCTCTATTAAGACAAGTATTCATCAGCAATTCTTTGTGTAATTAATTCATCAAAAGAACCTCAGAAAATGTTACAACTACATGAATGGTGTATCTTGATTTGAGTATGTCCTGATCTGTTTCTATTTTATAGTTGGTAAAGTGGGAGGACAGTATGGGATAATCTCCTGTCTGGCACCGAGTCCGCAGGGAGGAATGTATGCAGCAGGATCATATTCCAGAAGCAGTGTGTATCTTTGTACTATCATATATTTACATCCACTGAATATCTTCCCCTTTATTTCTTAAGAAAACCATCGCTGTTTATCAGTCAGTAAACAGCAATAAGCATAACACCTGTAAAGATTTCTTGAGCAGTGGCTCTTCCATCAATGAAACTTCCAATGACACCCATATCAATAATACAATATTTAATCTACATAATCCTAATTTAGACAATTTTTTGAAAAGGTATAAATATAAGCAATAAAATGTCTTTCTTTGTTTGTTAGTATGAGAATTAACATTGCAGCTATTGCAGAAAAAAATTATTTTTTTATGCATTTTTTCCTGCAACAACTGCAACATTAATCTCCATACTAACAACCAAAGAAAGCATTTTATTGTTTAAATATATTTACATTTCCACACATTTTTCCTTAAGATTCTTTGCAAATTAGAAAAAGTTCATGTTCTCATGAACTACCGTGGGATGAGTAAGAATATTTCCATTCTGATGTAACTGAAATGAAAAAATAGTGCAAACTTTTTTTTTCAAAAATGATCATTGAATTGCAAAAATATGTGGCAAGTCATCAGAAAATTAATGTAAATATAAGATATGAATTGAATTTTTGAGAATTTATGAGGTACATTAACTACAACGCTTCATGCCTGCATATTTATCATGAAGCGTTAATGCACTTCATGAAATATGCCGCCGTCCTCATGAATTCTCAAAAATTAATTTCCTCTCTTAAATGAATATATGTATAAAAGTACAAATGACTAAATCCTGTTTCAGTTGAATCCACAATTTAAAAAAGTATATGTGAATCTGAATGTAGTAAATTTACTTGTGCACAACAGAAGCAAATAAGAATGATAGACATGCAAATAAAATATGCAGTCAAACTTCCTTATCTTGAACTTGATTGTATCAAATAAAAAACTTTTTGATTAGATTTTCAAGGTTTCAAGCTATTGAGGTAAAGATACATTATCAAAAGGGAGTTCCAACTCAGTTTGACATACCAGGGTATTTGATATATATCGATGTTTGAGATTACAATTGTTTAAATGTTTGGGTTTTTTATTTAAACGACGTTGTCAGATTAATTTTGTTTTCAGCTTCAAGCATTTTTTAAGTTATGATTTTAGTCCCTAACATTGTGCAGTTAACTTTTTTTCTGATTATTTAGTTGGACTGTACTATGAGCCACAAGGAGAAGCAGTGTGTGTATTTGAAGGACAACAAGGGGGAGTAACTCATGTGGCATTCTCCAGGGATGGTACAAAGTTATTCAGTGGAGGAAGAAAGGTGATCTTATTGGCAGTACATACTGTCTTAAGATTCTTACACATTAAATTTTCAGTTACAAGTTATAGCAGACTGAATTTTCCTTTTATTTTTATGATAGGATCCGGAGATTTTATGCTGGGATTTGCGAAATCCTGGACAAATTCTATTTGTGGCAGTAAGGAAAGTGGAAACAAACCAGAGGATTTATTTTGATCAAGACAGGTTGTCAATTTATCTGTTAAAGCTTTGATTTACACTGTTTACTTTTGATATACATATACTGTAGATCACCAAGTTTTTGTGATTCCTTATTTTCGCAATATTGGTTTATAAGCGAGACAAAATTTTCATGAATGCAGGTTATTGCTGTAAATATATATGCTAATAAAATATATGAGAATATAATTTTCGTGAGCAGACCCTCTTGCATAATTACCAAAAAATAAAGTTCTCACAAATAAAGTGTGATTTACAGTAGTATAAACATGTATCAAAATCAATATGATGTAGTAAGCTATTTCATATGATACTATATGGGAGCTCAGAAATCAAATTTGGATTGTATTCTTAATGATAAATGTGGTATTTAAATATTACAGGTACATGTATATTTAAAGAAGAAAAAAATAGCACATTTATAAAGCAAAATGAGGTTATAGTATTGTTCAACTAACCTGAATGAAATGTTTACACGAGTTTTCCCAAGTTTGTCATCTGTCTGTGTCTTCCTCTTAAATATATGCATTTAAATTCTTTAAAATGGGTGAGGTGGATTCAAGCTTGTAAAATGCCTGCCAGTACAATGCCTGATCTTTTGATAAAATTGTTTACAACAGCACAGGAAGATACCTGATCTCTGGTAACCATGATGGAATGGTGACACTTTGGGACACACTTCAAAGTCCTGTCCAAGCACGACCAGACACAGACTTTGTACTACACTCCTGTCAACAGTTCAAAGCCCATGATGATACAGTGAATGGAATCTGGTATGTATTACAGTCCTGTCAACAGTTCAAAGGTCACAATGACATAGTGAATGGAATCTGGTGAGTATGTATTACAGTCCTGTCAACAGTTCAAAGGTCACAATGACACAGTGAATGGAATCTGGTATGTATTACAGTCCTGTCAACAGTTCAAAGTTCAAAGGTTACGATGACACAGTGAATGGGATCTGGTGAGTATGTATTACAGTCCTGTCAACAGTTCAAAGGTCACAATGACACAGTGAATGGAATCTGGTATGTATTACAGTCCTGTCAACAGTTCAAAGGTTACGATGACATAGTGAATGGAATCTGGTGAATATGTATTACAGTCCTGTCAACAGTTCAAAGGTCAAGATGACATACCGTAAATCTGGAAATTTTTACTGTAGATAAATTTTTAGCAAATTTGCGTGTGCATTGCATTTGCAAAAATATTTTTCTTAAAAATAAATCAACAACAAAAAATGTAAACAAAATGTTTGCTGACAGCTGGTGGCTATTTTTTTTAACCCAGTGAACAGGTGTTCATAAGCAGTAGCCAATGTAAGAAACCTGTTTATACTACTAGCTAATTACCCGTGATAATCCGTGCATGGAAAGTGTCTTCAATACATTCTCTTTTAAATTATTTCTCCAAGAAAGAGAGACCAGTTTTATACATATTATGTAATTCAATATTAATTAGACGTTTTTTCTCTTCTTATACCCGGTAGAGAATGTTTTTATGTGAAGGTTATTTAAAGCTGACATCGTTTTATGTACATGCGTGATTTAATAAAACGTTATGACAACTTTAAACAGTTTAGATGTTTTATTGCTTTTAATATTTTTATCTGATTATTGAACGTTGCAATCGTTTAATATTGTATGTACATGCATAATTTATTGTATGTATGTATCTGATTATTGAACGTTGGCATCGCTTAATATTGTATACGTACGAGTACATGCGTGATTTATTGTAATATGTACATGCGTTGAAAATTTTAAACGCTTTTCAATTTCAATTGAACACCAATGGCAAAATTTTGAAACGTAAAAATTAATCAACAGCTTTTTGACCCAGATTCGCAAAAATAATCGACGTAAAAATTTCCAGATTTACGGTAGTGAATGGAATCTGGTGAGTATGTAATACAGTCCTGTCAACAGTTCAAAGGTCACGATGACATTGTGAATGGAATCTGGTTTGTACCACAGTCATGTCTACAGTTCAAAGCCAAAACTCTCCAGAATATTTCTCCTACATTCCCAGTCAATACACTATCCAGAATTTAATATTACACTACTCAAAATTCTCTTCAGAATATTAATCTTACAATCCCAATCAAAATTTCCTTAAAAATTTAACAATCCAAATCCATTTAGGCCCCCAAAAATTAATTAATAGTTTCTCAGGCCAAAAATTTCAATATTCAATGTGGCAGGAAGGTTTTTTTTAAAGTAGGTAATACCTGTATCTCTTTTTTACCTGTCAGTTGTTCAACAAAATGATGATATCAACTGATTCTTACTTTTTTTGTTCTCATACATTAAGAGCCCTCTATACACTGCACACTAGAGAGTTCTGATTTTGTGGTATTTTTTTTGCAAATAGAGTGATCTGCCCTTTGATCAAGTTTAGAATAGAATAAATTGAAATGTACAATTTATTACTTAATTTGTGATCAAATCAAGCATTCATAACACTTTAATAGGCCAAGATGAAACAATAGTACACTTCATTTGCAGATATTTTGCCCACTTAAGTAAACAACAGTGATTTATGTTCATCAGGACTTCATTGTCTTTGAACATTTTTCCTGGGGGTAAATGCAAGGCACCCTATGTTGAAAATGTGATAGATAAGCTCAATACTTACACTTTTACACACTATAATTTTCTCAATGTCCAAAAAATATTTTCCTCTAGTATATAGAGGGTCCTTAATTATAATATATATTCAACTTTAAATAATGTTATTTCAAACATATGTTTAAAAGTTGATTCAAAAAAGAAATATATTGTTTATTTGATAAAAACGTCTATCTTTAAGCATGGATGAAAAGGGGAATAACTCAATTTTCTTTTTAACTTAGAAAAAAAGAAAATTGAGTTATTTCCCTTTTCTGTATGTGAATAAAATTGATCAATGCGGCAGCTTTTGACCTGATGCGGCAGTGCCTGAGAAACTATTGATCAATTTTTTTTTTTGGGCCTTATCCTTCAAAAATTCTACAACCCATCAAAATTTTGCCTGGCAGTTATTTTATTACTCAGTCAAAATATTCTTTAGAATTTTTTTTTCAAAATATCATCCAAAAATTCTAGAATTCAAGTCAAAATATACTCAAGAAATTCTTAATTCAAAATATTCTTTTTAAAAAAGGCCCAGTATAAATATTCAGAAATCCTTTATTCTCAATAAGAATATTCTTTGTAAATCCTATATACCATGTCAAAAAATCCTCTAGAAATTCTAAATTTCAAGCCACAATATACTCCAGAAATTCTACTTTTTTTTTTTCTACACTTTTAATGGACTGGAATTTAAATTTTAAAAATTTTCTGAATTTATTCATTTGGCTTTTAAGTAGTGAGAACCAATAAGTACTATTCAATGAAAATATCCCATGCTTTCTTTGCAGCTTTCATCCAACACTGCCGGTGTTTGCTACCTCATCTGGACAAAGGCACAGCCCTGTTCTTGATGACGAGGATTCTTTTTCAAATGAAATTCTTCAGGAAAACACTCTTAAACTGTGGTTGTATAAATAAAATGTGTACAAGGATTTTGTTTATTTATGAGTCTGAGCACCTCCAACCAGTGAATAAACATTACTAGTATGTGTGATTGCTAGCACAAGCACAAAAACTCACCTTTACTCAACATTTGGAGGTCTGAACAAGAAGGCCATGGGCCTTGATGGTCACCTGAGTATTACAAGCTTTTTTAATACCATTTTGGGCCTTCCTGGAACTGGTGTGGACTTTTATGATGGGAAGCATCAACTGGTCTTTCTGTCGTTACTTGATAACATTCTACGAACCAAACAGGCACAAATTCTTTCCATTTTTACCCCCACCCCCTTTACAAATCTGTGTGCTGTTGCTACCCAATGTCGAAAATCCTTATATCTCTTACAGCCAGACATGCATCATTCAGAGTGGTAATGTTAATTTGTCAATATCTGATGGTCCTTCAGCTCCTTTGCTTTTACTATGGATAAAGGATTTTTCAGGAAAATGTTTAAATTAACATTACACTAGAGCCCTAGACACCTTTCCTCTGCATTTTGTTTAATTTAGAAGGTCCTTTGAACATTCTATTCAATTTTACATGAAAATTATAAAAATTAATCATGCCCACTGCTCTGCTTCATTTGGCTGTCATAATCAGATACCTATTTCTGATGAAAAATCTTTTTCATATTTATATTTCTATTTATAAACCTATCAAACTTGCACAAAATAGAGTCAATTTAAAGATTTAAATGTGATGTGTTTAATTTGATGAATTTTTTTAAACATTCTCTTGGTCAACCAGAACTTAGTGCATGGTAGTTTCAAATATCTAACACCTGATTTGGAGAATGGGTATCCCTACGGACACATTAATTGGTCATTTAAAAGAATATATTTGAATTATTTTTTGCTTTTATATATTATTTGTGTTTGTAAAATGTACATACCAATTTTCACTTTAAAATGCATGTTGATTAAAAAGGAAAGTTATCAGAATCTCTCTGAGTCTCAATAATTAAATTCCGAACAGCTTTCGAAAGTATAACCTCAGTGCTTCACATAAAACAAAACCTTGATAGGCGCATATCTAAGTTTACATAAATTGTAACTTTTTAAATCATTAATATTGCGATTGATGTCCTCTATTACAGTGAATTCAATGCTCCACTTTGCTGTGCCCTTTTCATTTTAGACCTGTCTAGCTTTGACTTGTTTATTTTCAATTACCTAATGTAATTTGAGGTTGCACTGGGTATGTAAAACACAGATACCTGAATAGTCAGCATTTTTTTTTATTAATCGAGTCAATTGAGTCAATCATTGACAATTATGTGCATATGGCCACATTAGAAAGCGTGCAAAATCTCAAATCTCTCTCTCACATATTTTTATTGCACCAGTCCAACTTTTTGACAACCCTTCATACATTGTCCAAGACAAATATCTGACATCTTTAGACTTGTGACTCTGAACTTCAACAAAGCTCTGGACACAAGTGAAGTCATACATGTACATGTATGTATCAAGCCATCAATCCAAGTTTTTGATGCCAAAAAATATCAAGTTCATATTTTTGAAGCCTGTGATTTTTTTTTTCTGCAAGAACATGGATACCCACAACACTCACCTGAGTCAATATGAGCCTGTTGTTCTTCTTGAGCAGATTTTTTCCCATTATCTACTAGGTAAAACTTTGATCCCTGTTGTGACCCCAACCTACATCCAGCTGTCCTGAGTTAAACAAAGTTAAATCTACAGCATCTGAGGATGCTTCCATATTCATATGACTAATAATGGCTTTGCTTTTCTTGAGAAGAAGATTTTTACAGATGTGACCCCACCCTAGCTGCTCCTAGGGGTTACGATTTATACAAACTTGCATCACACTATCTGAAAATACTTCCATATCAATATGACTAATCATGGCTTTGCTGTTCTTGAGAAGAAGATTTTAAAAGATTTTTGCCTATATATTCCTATGTAAAACTTTGATCCCTCATTGTGGCCCTTCATTTGAACAAACTTGAATCCCCTTCACCCAAGGATCCTTTGTGGCAAGTTTCAATGAAACTGGCCCAGTTGTTCATGAGAAGTCAAAAATGTGAAAAGTTTACAGACAGACAGACGACTGGCAAAATGTGATCAAAAAATCTCACTTGAACTTTCAGCTAAGGGTAGCTAAAAATCTTTGGAAAAAAGCAAGATATTAAGAGCCATTCTCTGTAACGACTTGAACTTTTATATAGAAGCTGTGGCACGCATAGTCTCAGAATTTCTCCAAACTCTCTATGATAAAAGTCTTTGATACCGTAAACTCAAATCAGGCAGAAATTGGTTGCTACGTGACATGGTTACCATGGCAACATGTCCTAAAGTTTGAAAAATGGCATTTTTCAACATGTTCAGAGTCCCACAGTTAACGTTTGCAGCAAAGCAAACAAATGGTAATGATTGTTTCTGAAAGTTGAAGGCTTGATGTCTTAAATGCATGATAAACATGTTTGGTAAATCAACTATTACATACGTTACTATGGAAACAAGGTATTCAAAAGTAATAATTTTGCTCATTTAATTTTATAACATCATACACTTAAGAATAAAAAAAACTATAGGTTGAAATACAAGCAAATAATAGACAAAAGATCCTTGTAACATATACCATGGAAGAAATATGATATTTCTTATAGGTTGGCAATGGTTGCCATGGTTTTAATACCAAGAAGGGATTTTAAATTTACTCTCTGAGTGATTAAATCTAATCCTATCTTTTTAAAAAGCATATTTCTATATAACTAATGATCAATTTTTAAAGATGTTCATGTGACCCTAATTCTCACATTTCAAAAAATGCAAATTCAATTCTTTAAATAGAGCGTTGCTATGGAAATAAGTCGGAAAAATATACATAAAAATCTGAAAAATATTCTATTTCCTTGGATACGTACCCTTGTATGTAGATTCCCAAAACTTTTATGAGTGGTAATTTTGAACAACTAACCTGACTTTCAATTTTGACTGCCACCCAATCTCTAACTGGATGCAAAAAGCTGGCACATAGGGTTTAATATTGATATAAAATTAACAAAATCGAACATTTTCCCTTCTTGGTTACCATAGCAACAGTGTTGTATTTTTCAACAAACGTTATCAATATATGATATTCAACTTTAGTTTTACCAGATAAGTACTATTCAAGGTGAGTCAAATAATGTGTTTCTTGAATAAAAGGTAAGTAAATTCCTAAGGCAGCAAAAAAATATCACTTAAAACAACTGGTACATTGTTTCCATGGTTACACTGCAAAGTAAAATTAATCCCAATTTTTCTTATGTTGTCGGTGTTGCAAGGTCCTAAGGATATATATGTGCCAGTCATGAAATTTATTGTTTTTCCTGAAGATAGAAGCATTAACCCAATCTTAGCAACACATTTTGGATGGTAACACTGTGTTACCATGGTAACCATGAAAGTTATTTTTAGAATAATATTGCCAATACCTAATTACTTAAGGTCAAATATTTTTATTGTTTTTTCTTAGGTTGTTGATTGAGTTTGATCATTTAACACCTATCATTAGTGAATATTGAGCGTTTTTCTGCATTTGTCAGCATCTAAAATGTATTCCAAATGTACCCATGGTTACCACTTACTTAGAGATAAATTCTAAATAGTTTCTTTATAGCATAAGTGGCAACAAGGTGTCAGGTTTTGGGGAGAATGGTTTGTTTGTTATTCTTATTCTTTATTAAGGCTTAATAAAGATTCAAAGTAGCTGAAATTCTCAATTTTTTCAACTTTTCTGGCTGTTACCATGGCAACCAAGACACATAGCAACGAAGTTTTATTTGATATATGTTTCTGGTGTCAAGTTGTAATAATGGGCAAAGTTTCAACAAAATCGGTGACCATGCGTGGCAAAGAAGTTAAAGTGGTTACAGAGAATCGCTATTAAACTCTGTCAGGTGGAAGATTTTTCAATCTTTAGAAATTCTTTCTGAAGGACTTTGGACAGTATAAAATATGCAAGGGTGCATTTTACAAAAGAACTTGCAACTAAAATCAGATACCCTTTTCTTGTATCACATGCAACATCAATTAGAATTGCAAATTTTAGTGAAGAATGGTAATTATCCATAAATTTGTTAAATATGCAGGTTTTCAAGACTAACTAGTTTTCAGATATAGTTTCTCAAGTTCTTTTTGTAAAATTGGATATTAATTCCATGTCACTTTACAGCAATTTTGATGTTATAAACCCAAGACAATGCATGTAAAACTGCAAAAACCCCATACCAGCACATTTCCTCTTGATTTTGTGCTATCTTTCCCAAAGATGATACTACCGGTACTATGATTCAAACCAAAGATAAAACTGTGTTTCGTAACGTGTTTCAAGGGGCCTGGACACAGTTGCATTGTTTACATTTTAAATTTTTATGTTTATTCAAAAAATATCTTACTTTAATGAATTGAACTTACCAGTACATGAATATTCTTTGAATTCAATGACGACATTCTTCATAACATCATGTCAAAGTATGTAACAAGGCTTGAGCTCTGTTATTGTTAATGTTTATGTTTTACTGGGTGTGTTCAATTTGTTTACCCTGTACACATCACTGAGCATGGACTGACAATACTGGTGAGTTGGTTTTGCTTTTTCAAATTTCTACTCTGAATTTTCTGGACTATAGTTTTAATATTTTTCATTAATATACAAGATTTCTACTTTTCTTAGTGAGAGGAAAGTTTACTTTGTGAAAGTGCCAGGATATGTGTCATTCAAACATGTCCCCAAATTTGTAGTTTCAATAATCTCCAGATAAAAGAAGTTTCTAAGCACGTTTTATATTTCGGCGTGAAATGCTTTAGCAACATGTCATGATATTATACTGAAAACTGTAGAAAATATTAACTTCAAATCTGTGTCCAGGCCCCTTAATATAGACTTTGTTTTATATAGGGGTTATATAATGGATAATTTTCTGCAGCTCTGTTATTGTTAATGTTTACGTTTTACTGGGTGGGTCAAAATTATTTAAATTTCCTTTCCATTCTGCATAGGATTTGAACATTTTGTTATTTTACTTTTTGTGCATTTGACAGAAATGCAAAATATCTGACAACCAGTGACCTAAAGTTGACATCTTTGAACAGATCAAACACAGTTTGTGTCTCCATCTTCCAACATCTCTACATTCAGGAACACTGAATGATTATAAATTGTCAATCAATCTTGTGAGCATTCATATAACCATTTAACATACTATATATCAAGAAAATCTAAAAAATCAATAAACATCCTTTTAGAGTATGTTACAATTCAGAAAACAGTCTGAAGATATTTTATCAAGTCAATGCCAAATTTAGGATTAACTAATAATAAGAAATAACACCAACAAGAAAAAAATCTGACCATTTACTGTTATCTGATCACTATAACTTGGGTGGACAAAATAACCTAAATATTTCAATGTGGACCACTTTTTGTTTTTCAGTTATAACAATTACATTCTATATTTTGATAGCCCAATGGATACCAAATTTAATCAATTACATTGTTTAAAATGATCCACTGAATTATTTCACTAAGACCTGCTCTAGTCTTTTCAAATGGTCATTTTTTTTAAATTGTACCAACACACATACATTATTCCAAACTGGAATTAGTATTTTAAGCTATCTTTTAAAAATGAAATGGAAAGAGATAAATTTGTCTCGAGTCCTTCTAAACATTACAAATGAAGCCAAATTTAATTCTTATGCATGTATTTGGATTGTGTGTTGATGCATAACAATGAAAAGGGCAGGCAACTCCATTTGGAGTTAAATTTCAATAATGTATCCCCTAAATTTTAGACTCTCCCATTTAAAGTGCGAGTTCATTAAATCCCACCTTACAAGGATTATTTGCTCGTACTATTCACTTTAATTTCTGGAAGATGTTTAAAATAATTGCAACATGTTGTAAAAGATACGATATAAAACCAAATACATGTATATGTCACTTAGTTGTAATGATACTTTACGAGCATTTTAACAAAAATTGAACAATTGTTTTTTTCTCACATACATGCTCATTTAATGCATTCAAGGGTAAAAAAACAGCAACATATCACAAATAACCATAATATACATACTCATAAGAAAAGTCTGAAACACGGGATGTGTTTTCATCCAGCTTTTAAAATCTGTATCTGCTTTACTTGATACAGAAAAGCATAAATGATTTGGATTGCATACTCCTAGGAAGTTAAAATTATATTAAAACAGCTTTTTTGCAAGTCATTTGTTAAAAAAAAGCTATCAACTTATTGTTTTCACGGTGAAAACAACACTGAATGAAATTGCAGCTGTACCTCGGCGTATATAAAGGAGTGGGTACAGTAGGCCTCTCTCACTGCCCACGCTGTGTCTCACGCTCTCTCTCTCACTGGAGAATACACTGGGCGCTAGTGATGAGAATCCTTACAGACCACAATGTAGAATGGCTCCTCTTTCACACACTCTCTCCCTGGAGCTAACAGAAGTCCATGACATGACTCCACAGTCATGGCGTCTTGCATTTTGTCAGAACTTGAAGCCTTCCTGGGGTACACTAGCACTGGGATCAAACTGGTATCCTTGACTTGAAGCCTCTGGAGCTAAGTTAGGATCCTCTTCAGTCTGACAAAATTAAACATACAGATGTATATATATATATATATATATATATATATATATATATATATATATATCATCATATCTACTGTAACTACTCTTTTAATTTCAAATACCAAGGTATGCTATTTCATTCTCTGTTTCAAAGTTGTATATGTACTATTTCAATTTTGAACACTTTTATTACAGGAGACTGAGAAAGGTACATAAAAAAAAAATTTGGATTAACAGCAGAGGATTCTTGATGCTTAATGCAGCAAAAATTACTCTGGCACATACTCCATACATGTAAATTACATGCAAGATATTTCCCTGACATTACTCCCAATAGGGATGAAACCATACAGCACTTTTACAGTTCAATACAAACTGTGACATACGAGTCTCGATTCTAAAATTTGGGATTCAATTCAATAACATAACACGAATATGTATGATAAATAGAGAATACTGTATTCAGGGAAATTTTCGCCCCTTTTGCCCTACTCACTAGTGGGCAAATTTAAAATGGGCAAATTAAAATACAGTATAATTCCTTCAACAAAACTGTGACTGTTGGAATTTAAAATGGGGCAAAATTATTTGAAAGTGTGAAAATAACATGGGGCAAAAATAACCCTGTATACAGTATTACATGCTAAAATTCATATCAGAAGTCATATTAACCCAAGCTTATGGAACTGAAACCGTCCAAATACTTTGTTTGAGGGACATGTCTGTGAAATCTCTGATGCTTCATCTTTAAGTGGGATAAAATGATGGATGAACAGATTGGTAGGGTAAATCCTTTTGTTTTGAGGGGTATAAAGGAATACAAACAAATAAACAAGATAGAAATACACTCACATCATCTGAAAAGTAGTGATCTATTATTTCATATGCCAGTTTGTATATATCCTCATTTTCATGATTCTGTAATGCTTCTATTTTGTCTAGACCTGAAATTAGAGCAATTAAAAGAAAATTTAACATTTTCTAAAAGTTGTTCAATTGATAAACTGTACATCAGAGCACTAGTATTAAACTGAATGCAATTGGCTCAGGCTTTCCACATGATACAAACTTCAAATTTACCATCCCCCCCTCACTCTTCTATCATGGTATACTTCACACTTACCTCCACACTCCTGTATCACACTTACCTCTTCACTCCTCTATCACACTTACCCCCACACTCCTCTATCACACTTACCCCCACACTTCTCTATCACACTTAACTCCACACTCCTCTATCACACTTACCCCCACACTTCTCTATCACACTTACCCCACACTCCTCTATCACACTTACCCCCACACTTCTCTATCACACTTACCCCCATACTTCTCTATCATTGTACACACTTCACACTTAACCCCCACACTCCTCTTTCATGTTACACACTTCACACTTACCCACACTCCTCTATTAACCCACACTCCTCTATCACATTTGCCTCCACACTCCTCTATCATGTTACACACTCCCCCCCCCCCCCCCCCCACTTGTCCCCACACTCCTCTATCATGTCACACACTTCACACTTACACCCCCACTTCTCTATCACACTTACCCCCACACTTCTCTATCATTGAACACACTTCATACTTAACCTTTACACTCCTCTATCATGTTACACACTTCACACTTACCCACACTCCTCTATCACACTTGTCCCCATCAGGGATTTATCAGCCTATTTTGGGAAATGCCATTTTTGGGAAATTGGGAAAAATTATCGACTATTTGATGAAATTGGGAAAATTTTAAAGTGTTGCTTAAATCATAAATTCAGGTGTAATTAATTTAACATTTCATCATGAACTCTAATTTGGGCAATTCAAAAGACAAATAAATATGATCCAACTTCATCAAACAAGATCAATTATGAAATCAATAATAGATTAATAAAAGTAAAATTGATTTCAATGAGTATAAAGTATCAATACAACTTAGGGTAGTACATGTGTGTATGAGATTCCAATTTAGGTCATTATAGAATCTGTTTCTGGAGATTATAAACCTGCAAAAAATTATACAAATATACACATTTTCTCCAAGTCCTCATTTAATATGTATTAATGCAATGAAAATATATTTTTCTATCTGAAATAATACCTTCAGTACTTACCATTCACTCGTAGATCAATTGAGTAGGTGAAAATAACTTAATAATTCTATAGAATCACACAATATCACCATTTTCAGAAAAACGGAGGAAATTCGGATTAAAAGTTGGCGATGTTTTTACAGTGTTTTTAAACATGCGTTATGACTGTAGCTTTAATAAATGAGTTAAATAAATGAAAATTCCTGACAATTTTACTTTGTGTTTTTCCAAGATAATTAAACATAAAAGCATTGTTCACCAGTTGGGAAAAAATACTGCCAAATTGGGAAAAACTGAACTCATTTTCAATTGGGAATGGGGCCGAATTTCGGCCCCTGAGAAGGTACTGATAAATCCCTGTCTATCATGCCACACACTTCCCCACACTCCTCTATCACCCCCCCCCCAACCTCTATCATGGTACACACTCACACTTACCCACACTCCTCTATCACACTTACCTCAATACTCCTCTATCACACTTACCCCCACACTCCTCTATCACACTTACCCCACACTCCTCTATCACACTCACCCCCACACTCTTCTATCACACTCACCCCCACACTCCTCTATCACACTTAACCCCCCACACTCCTCTATCACTTTTATCTCCACACTCCTCTATCACACTTACCTCCACACTCCTCTATCATGGTACACACACTTACCCCCACTCCTCTATCACACTTACCCCCACACTCCTATATCACACTTACCTCCACACTCCTATATTATTGTACACACTTCACACTTACCCCCACACTCCTCTATCATGGTACAGATACGATCCACATCATCACCAGCCATCTTTAATATATTATTTATACCATCTAATACCACATTCACCACTTGAGTGTCTTTAACTCCCAGAAGATCACAGAAAGGTGAGATGACACCATTTTCAACCACTTTAGCCACCTGAAATTTATTTTTAATTCATTTTAAAGCATTATCTTTTCATCAAATTTATACTACTATATTTTTTGAGACAAAACATCAATAACTTTTATTATGAGTACTTTCCTGCTCTTTGTTACCACTGATTGTTAGATTGTTAATTGCCCACACTGTAAACTTACCTGCTCTTTGTTACCACTGATTGTTAGATTGCTAATTGCCCACACTGTAAACTTACCAACCCTTCGTTACCACTGTTAGACTGCTATTTACCAACACTGTTAACTTACCTGCTCTTTGTTACCACTGATTGTTAGATTGCTAATTGCCCACACTGTAAACTTACCAACCCTTCGTTACCACTGTTAGACTGCTATTTACCAACACTGTTAACTTACCTGCTCTTTGTTACCACTGATTGTTAGATTGCTAATTGCCCATGCTGCTTCTTTCTTTGTTTGGAAGTCACCCTGTCAATGAAATAATTTATAAGAACAAGGAAAGCTCATTTTTTTCGATGACTGTAAAGTAAAATAGATACAGGTGCCTTGGATTACATCAGAAAATGGACAACATTTATGAAATGCAAGTGCCACATAACTACATGTAAATTGAAAGGAAGAGATTATCAGTCAGCAGTAGATAGTCATATACATGTATGTATGTTCCCATGAGGAGTCTTGTATATTTATGTGACAGAGTATGGACTTATTCCTAAGAAACTGTCACATAAGATCCCTCCATCTGCTCCACTCTGACACAATACCGACTTTTTACGGATGGAGAAGTATGACCTCCTATTGACATCTGTAAAGCTGGCTCAGCTGTTGTGATGTTATCCTCACTACCCTACTTACCCTCATCAAATGATGAATAATGAGTGAAATGAGGCCAGCATCTATCACAGCTTGTACTTGAGATTGGTTTCCAGCTGTTATATTGGACAAAAACCACACGGCTTCCTGTCAAACACAAAACACACATCACACTCTTTAGCATACAAAGATATTACTCAAACAAATAAACACAAGCAGATAAACTCTAAATCTTACCTTATTAATTTTTTCTTTGGGATGTGTCAATAGAGAAGGGAAATGTGAAAGGGCATCACAGTTGAGTACGATTTGCGTCTGATCATCTGTTCCGGTAACAATATTCCCTACCGCCCTCAGAGCTGCTGTCTGTGTAACAAAACAAATGATCTACATCACTTTGTGCCTTCAAGTAAAAATCAGGTGGTAATATCACACTACACATGGTACTCTCATCAAATCAAACTGAGGATGTCTCTACTTAAACCCATGTGTCAAATATTAACTTGATTCCATTTAATTTTTTTCTTTTAAATTTAATTCAGACTGAGAGCATTTATATACAAGGACAGGCCTTTATTTTACAAATGAAAATGACATTTAATAAAAACTGTGCTTCATTACCTTGCTCTTGTAGGTTTTTATTTTTCTTTGAAACATTAAATTCAAATTCAAATCATTTTATGTAATATTTAAGGTTTTCATAAGGAGGTTTCGGGACCTAGAGCAATTGAAAATTGCCGATATTCAATTTTTAATTTTTAATTTACTAACCTCTGATCTGCACCAAAAAAAAGTTATTTGCAAGGTGGAAGATTTTATGACCTGGCTGAATTATGACAGGAAGTTATGTGGGTTTTCTTTTGAATTAAACCAGATCAATACAAAGACATATTTGATAAATTGATAAAATGACACCAAAAATATATATTGCTGAAAGGATATTACATTGAGAAAATCTAAGGATTTTTCATCTGCTGACTTGACTTATGCTTTGTTTTGATTCGTTTTTTTTTTTTTTTTTTTTTTTTTTTTTTTTTTTTTTTTTCATGCTGGCACTGTGCTCTGGGTGGAAATAGCAAAACTTTTTAAAGCTTGATAATTACATTTCTCAACATTTGCATTTTCTTGATCATTGATTCACACTACAAATAAAGTATGGATTTAATATTAAGCTTTTATTCCTTTTTCCAAAACAAAACCAAAAACAAAAACCAAAGCCATGATATAATGGTTTCCACAAACTTTATGGAAAACTCTCATATGTCTGACGATATTTTGAAAATAATTCTCATTACACCATTCTGCACCACTGAGTGCAGTCAAGTGAAACAACATCCTTGTCTAGCAATAAAAAATTGTGTCAATCTGAAATAGGGCATGTAAGTTTACCTGGACTTTGACATCAACATGACTAAGGAGAGGAACGAGGAATGGGACTACCCCCGAATCTATCACCATCTGTATCTGTTCATTCCCTCCATCTGTCAAATAGGACAACGCCCACACTGTGTCTACCAGGATCTGTAAATAGACACCCTCAGTACTACTTTCTACAACTAATCCGCTTTTAAAATTTCAAATGTACCAATAAATACGGCAAGTATTCTATGAAGTTAATTTTACAGTCTTCTTGTATGTAATGTAATTAAGTTATTTTCTTATGCAAGTTAACAAATTTTTTAAGGCTTTTGCAATCCTTGGATTTTTATCAAAGACAATAAATGTGTACCATGGCCAATAAGTAAGTTGTCTGTAACTCCTGAATTCTTTCTCTCATTTTTAGATGAATTGTTATTGAAAACTAACTCAATGACTCACATTAATGTCTGTATGGTGAATCAGCTGACACAAGGCCGGGAGAATTTCCTGGATGGTCTCCAGAGGGGGAGGGGGTTCCTTGTTTCTGCACAAGTTTACAATGACCCATGCAACATTTCTTAAAAATGGCAGAGGAATGTTGGGGTTGATGAAGTTCAGAAGTGGTTTAACAGCCCCTAGCTTGATAACATAATCCCTGCACTGCGGCCCATCACCTACAATGTACAACAAAGACTTTCTATTATTCACAGCCACCATTGTAAAACATCATATTCATAGTTTTAGATCTGCTACAACTAAGTATAAATTTATTATGTATAATACTTTTGCATTGCTACATGGACAATGAAGGACTACATTCCCTTTCCTTCAATATATACTGTATGTGTATTATACAATTACGGACTTCAGTGTAGGATGATATGTGGTTAATAAGGACCCATGTCAAGTGATACTGACCAAAGACACAAAAAGAGATAGCTACCATGCAGGCTTGCTCATAATCATTTTCTGTGTTTTCAGTCAATATCACTTGACATGGGTCCTTATAACCACATATTGACCGTAAACTGAAGTACATAATAGTTATATAATCACTCAGTGTATAATCTGACACACTCCTTCCTGAACAGACTCGGCTGTCATTACGCCACAATGGAAAAAAACACACTTCTGATATTATAATGCTAGTTCTCTGCAGCTCTGGTGCAGCAGATTTTGCTTATTAAAGTATACAAACAGTGAGTCATACAATATTATATTCTGTGGACATTTTCGCATCAGTATCAGAAAAGGACAAATATCACATCCTTTCAGCCAATGAAAATTATGATATTTTATATATATATATATATTATTTTAAATTATTGAAATATTCTCTGTTCAGTAGGCAACAATTTTTAAAGATTGAAATTGTTTTTGCGTACAATGACTGAATGTGAAGATTATTTACATTTAAATGTAATAAGGATTATCCGAGGTTAATTCATACCAATAATGTTTCCTAATGCCCACACTGCTTGTTCACAGACATTTTGATGATGGGAGGTAAGCAACCTCAGGAACAAAGGAACAGCACCTGGAAAAATTGGGAAGCTGTGTAGTTGTAAATAATACCAAATCAAAATGCACACTGTTAACCGAAATGAATGATGGATTTTCCATCTGAAATTTATATAACTGTGCTCCAGCTTTAAAGCCAATCATACTATACATGTACATGTACAATATATGATGGCTTTTAATTAGCAGTTCAGCTTCAAATAAATAAATCTTTCTGGCATTTTGCATGTATATTTACCGGCATTGACTACAGCTTGAGTTTGTTGAGAAGTTCCAGATGCAATGTTTGTCAAAGCCCAGGCTGCCTCAAACTGCAAGGAAGGACTAAAAAAAAGGATGTTTCTATTTCTGTACTATGCTCATTAATTTGGCTTAAATAACAAGGTTTTCTGGAAATGGGAGAAAATAACCTACACTTTTAAAAAAGTTGATCTTGATGATACAAATGCAATCAGAATATTACTTGGCCACAATAACTGCAACTAATATAGTAACTTAAGTGAGCTAAAAATGCATTACTTGTCATCTTTCAAAAGACATTCTACAAGAATAGGAAGAATTCCTGAGGCAATCAGGTCATCTATTGGTGGGTTTCTGTCACTGGACAACAGTTTCCTGTTAAAAAAATATATATGAAGCTATTATGAACCTAAAAAATGGTGTTTTTATTTGTTCTTTACTCAAAGCACAATATTTGTTTTACATAGAACATTTGTTTCTAGTTTAATTAATTCTTTATTCAAAGCACAATACTAGTTTTTTCCCCTAGTTTTTAATTATTTCTTTGCTTGTTTTACATAGAGCACTGGTTTACCTGGCCGCCTGGACAGCATTGAGTTGGACTGTAGGTTCTGAACTTGCTGCATTCTCTACAATGGACTGTAAAGACTGGCTAGTTGGCTTTTCAGTGTCATCGGAATCTGTACTATCCTGAATCGGCACATTCCTCCTCTTCAACACATGCTGATCTCTTTTACTCTGAAACAGGAATCACTTTTATAACAGGTTTGATTTGTAATGCAGACTTTTGCCAATACACTGTATCATCATTTTATTGTTTGTTTGTTTGTATGTTGTTTAACATCCCTCTCAAAAATTTTTCACTCATATGGAGACGCCACCATTTACCGGTGGAGAGCTGCTATTTTTGTCTTAACGGCCATTGAGCAGTGAGGGATCTTTTTCATGCCAGCACCTACTGCGACACAGGACCTCAGTTTATATGGTCTCATCCGAAGGACCACTCTCCACGTCTCAGTGAGATTCGAACACGCGACGTAAGGATCAACTCCTTACTCTGCAACTGTAGAGCAGATGCTCTAACCACTGCGCCACGCGCATGGCACATCCCACATCTGCACTGTCAAAAGGCTACCATTCTTGTTTATAAATAACTAGGGATGTCAAAATATTTATTTTCTTTAGTCGAATATTCGATTGCATTATTCGTACGATAGTCGAATATATTCGAAACTTTTTTGGAACTAAAATTTTATTTCAAACTTCACTGGTACTTGACATATTTAACCCCAAATCCCATTTTCTTAAATTTATTAGAAAGTAACATCAAATGTTACACATAGATGTTCACAGGGACCTAAAATGTTGGATAGCGTGTTTATATTTACTAAATATAGACCGCTAATTTCTCCAAAATGTATGATTTCCCCGTCAATCATGTTCATAAATCGGTCTGTAAAGTCGGTTTCTTAGGAAGCATAAAAAAAATTAGAGTACAATATTTATTTTTAAAGCTTATCAAAATGATGGGGGGAGGGAGGGGGGCACACACAGTGTCTGTGAAAATGTTAAATATTTGAATATACTTTTTGTACCTACTATCAAAATATCTTTAAAATATGTAAAAGAATATTATGGTGTTGTCCAAACATGTCACGGCTATAATGGGTACATGGTATGAAATCAAGTCCAAATAATAATTTTACAATATTACAAAAACAACACATTAATTAGCTGTTAATTGAAAAATAATTCTCGCAAAAGTGAAGCATTTCTAATTACTGTACTTTTACATGCAAAGTCAGCGCGTGGCGTGGAAAATTATCTTATCGACTGTGTCTGATGAAAGAGGGTTTCTCAATTTTATGATGGGAATTCCATCTCTTTATCACTCTTTTATTGAATTTATTTATTCGAATGTCGTTTTGTTATTCGATCGTCGGTCCATTTGACTGATAGTCGAATATTCGTTGACATCCCTAGAAATAACACAATTTAAAACTTAAAGTGTAAGAAATATTGGAATATACAGAAGATGAAACTTTTCACAACCTCAGTATTTCTGGAATATAGTTCTAAAATCTTAATTTTCAGTTTCTTTATATTAACCAATGGCAAACACTTGCTATGAAATACTTTATAACCAAGGTATGGAAAGGTATTCCTTGCTTGCAAAAGCTCAAATTATGCACTTGCATAGTTCAAGCAAATCTAAGTGCTCCAGTTAATTTCATAAACTTACTTCCACAATTACTTGCAAACATTGATAATGGTGAAAAAAAAAACAAAAAAACATACAGTGACAGAGATTAAGTTTTTGCAGAGAATTCAACAACCATCACCCGAAATACTAGTCCTCTTCACTTTCAGACCTAGAGTATATGTACAGATTATGTTAAATGTAGCTTCTTTCCCCATACAGTGACATTGTGGAATTCTCTTCCACACTCATTGGTGGCAGCAACCTCTTTGGGCCAATTTAGAACTCTGGTCCAAAGCTACGTTCCACAGCTCTAATATTTATAGAGCACTATGTAAATATATAAATATCTTTTTATGCACTATGTGAATGTACATATTTTTTCCATAGGACTTTGTTTATTTACACTTTTTTTATTTAAAATTAAGTGCTCTGTTCACTCAGCGCCAGCGTATAGTCCTCAGGTTTGATGGAACTCTGTACTATGTAGATGTATACTGCTTTGCTAGTGAGCTAGCTTTTATAGTGATGCAGTAGAGTCTCGCTTGATTTCAGGCAAGTTGAGCTTTGGCAATCTTGAAGAGCCCTTGGCATAGTTGCCAACTCACCCGATTTCGTTGGGTTACACCTGATTTTTCGACCCTTAACCCGATTATTTTTTATGACACAGCGGGTCATGCTTTTCACCTGATTTTTGCCGAACAACCCGAAAATCTCCAGATTTCCGGATTTGGTTCGTAAATTAGGTTGCACTTTTAACTTCCAGTTACAACCCAAGCTTGGATTTACGTAAACAATGGCGATGGCTATGTTCAGTAGGCCGTGTGTACCAGTAAATTATCAGACTGAGTGCAGGTGTAAACAATTACCAGAGAGTTGTTTTGACAAATCAAAGTTTGAAGTCGATTAAAAATGGCTTCCGATAGAACGAGCTGGTTATCAGGGCCAGCAGGAACAAATTGAACCAAGAAAAAGAGAAACGATATTTAAGTACATATCAAGGAATCTTGGAAAACAACTTTCATTAGATAAAATAGAGTGTTCGAAGATAGTGTAGGCATAACTGTACATTGAATAGCACTTGTTAATTAAATTAATTCAAGAGAGGAAAAATAACTTCAAAACCAAAATTTGAAAACAAATTTAGCACAAATTTCCATGTGCTTCAAATCAGCAATGCAGATTTTGAAAAGACTTTCCTTTAACTGTAAAAAAAAAAAATGCACACTTAATTCAGGTCAATACTGAATAATGAAACCTTCAATGCTCTTTTTTAACATGTAAATTTAATCAATATATATTAAATTTTTCTCATTGCAAGTTAAAGTCTCTTTTTAATAAAATAATTCTCAATACAGATAGATAGATAGATAGATAGATAGATAGATAGATAGATGATAGATAGATAGATAGATAGACAGACAGACAGACAGACAGACAGACAGACAGACAGACAGACAGACAGACAGACAGACAGACAGATAGATAATTTAATCATGGTAAATGTGTCGTGAATGTCGTTACGTGTTATGACCAGATTTTTTTACTTTCCAAATCTGGTCATTACCAGATTTTTACATGTTGGAGGTTGGCAAGTATGGCCCTTGGATGGGTGACCATTTCATTTTATGCTATTGTCACGCTACCCCCTAACAGTCACACTGTCAAACATATGAATGTAGATGCAATATTTTTAGTATACAAAAAAAATCAGTTCTACCTCTTAAGAACATTATTATACACACTATACCTTCCTAATTTCAACTGTAACCTCAGTGCGCCTTCTTCTCATTTCCTATAAACAAGAGTAATATAGAAAAATTACTTTTGAAAGAAACAGAACAATACCTAACATGTGAAAAATCTAAAAAATATATTAAAAAGTTTCAGACAATTTAAAAAAAACTGTACAACTACATGCGCAATTCAAAGCATGGAATTTATGTCCGATTCATTTACTATTTCCTCGACATTTAAAAGAGAACTAAGTAAAATCATACGTCAGCATCCTTTCCCTTGTTTTTAAACAAGTGAGTCCGCCCTTTAGCATTCAGATCTGTTGCCATTTTGCGTGAGTTTTTCTTTTTTATCTACTCCCAATCCTTAACGAAAAAAGAATATCTTGGATGTCCTGGCTAAATGAGTTATATCACTTTCGGAAACGTTTAGTAAGACGCAATTTGATTGGTCAATGTATTTGACTTAAAAGAAAATGAATTGTGTAGTTTGGGAATTTTATTACAAATAAACTCCTGTATTGGAGTGTAAAAAGCATGTATATGTGTATAAAAAGATCGTTTCCTTTTAAATATTTAGATTTGCATTTGCTTATTGAACATTTCACATAACTGATACAAAGTCGAAGACCAATGAAATCATTTCTAACAGCCGTATGATTTCATGGACTCTAAATCCATTCGGAACTCCTTCGCCACGTGCTATGTTTGGAAGCGCATTGATAACTAAGATTTTGGCAATATGGCAGCCTCCACGAATGTCATGCTGAACAATCTGTGTGATAAGAGTTTGACATATGAGGATCTTGTCCTTCATTTAAGAAGATTTGATGACTCTCAGATATTTAATTTCACTGTAAGTTTAGTTAAATTTGATGTTTAATTTTTTTTTTTAATTATGCCTTACAATATTTAAAGAAGAAAAATTGAAGTTTACAGACACCTGTAATTTTATCAATAAATTGCAAATAAAACCCTGGGTTGAGAAATCCCATCCCCTTTGTGAAATGTCATTAATTACCATGGAAATCAGATAATTATGCCTTCTGGTTTGAATTTAGGCCAAACAAAAAAATATGTGTGGTTCCGGTTACACTTCCAAAAAAATTAGGGTAGATAGGTAGGGATTTTTTTTTTTTTTTTTTTTAAACATAATGATTTTCTTAATTTTTCTAAATAATACCTATCACTGCTTTGCAAATGCCATTTAGATGTGGTGTGATAATATACTAGTCAATATTGGTAGGGGACACCTACATGCTAAGCTTGCTTTGGATTTAACACTATTAAACACTAGCACTATGTTTTGCAAGGAGGCCGTCATTGCTGAAACTAAAACTTAAACCGGAGCCATTGATGGAAATCGGGGAAAATTCCGGAAAAAAATATGAAAATTGCCAAAAAAAAGTTTAGGGTCGGGGGTATAAAATAGGGAAGGTCGGGTAACCGGAACCACACATATTTTTTTATTTGGCCTTAGCATTCAGAATCAGTTCAAATTTGATATTTCTTCAAAAGTTTTTATTTCACCTTGTTGTTAATGCTTTCAACTTAAATCTGTGCAAATTTGAACTTTTCTGACAAGACGCAATCTCTGTCGGTTGCTATACTCTAACCAACATGTTGCTTTGCACAGAGTGTAGCTGCAGTCTGTAGCTTGCTGGTCCTGCAGCTAGTGTTGCTTAAAGAGGCATAAACACAGAATTGAAGTTTAAATTTTTGTTAGAATTTTATCACTTAAATGTTGCAATAGTGTTTCAGAAAGATATATTATAAAAATTAGGGATGTCAAAATATTTATTTTGCTTAGTCGATCATTCGATTGCATTATTCGAACGATAGTCGAATATTCGGAACATTTTCTGAAAATAAAATTTTTATTTCAAACTGGCACATACTCAAATACCTTTTTCTTAAATCTTTTTAAAAAGTAACATCAAAATTAATGCAACGTAACGCGTGGATAGCATGATTCTATGAAATAAATTTAGAAACCTAATTCTCCAAAAATTATTATTTCCCCGTCAATAGAATTCATAAATCGGCCTGTACATTCAGTCATTTTTATTTAGTAAGCATTAAAAAAATTGCCAGCCGATATTTTTTAAAACTTATTATGAAATAAAGTGGAGGGGTGGCTATCAAAATGCCCTCAAACACTTTAAAATGTAAGCGCATTGTTTCAATAATTATCGAAGTATTAAAACAGGTTTATTCCTTGCATTTGAGCAAACTTGAAATAACAAAAGATAATTGGTACATCGTATAAGAACAAGTCCAATTAATAATTTTACAAACAAAGCCCATTATACTGGCTCGTAATCTATTACAAAAACAACACAGGCTGTTACTGACAGTTAATTCTCGCAGTAGTGAAGCACTTATAATTGCTGTACTTTCTATACGTACATGAAAATCTACCGTTTTTTGTTGAGGAAAATTATCGACTGTCTATGAGGAAAGAATGTTTCTCAAGACTGTTTTTTTTATGAGAATTCCATCTCATCTATCAGTCATTTATTGCATTTATTTAGATAAAATAATATTCGAATGTCGTTTCATTATTCGATCGTCGGTTCATTCGACTGATAGTCGAATAGTCGACTATTCGTTGACATCCCTAATAAAAATATCTTTGGAAATGTAATGTGCAGAGGGGTCTGTACCTGGTTAATTCCAGGATCTTTGGTTTGGACTGATATAACAAATAAATACTTTTCCTCTTAAATTGATTGTATGAAATGATTGGTTTGCAAATATTAACAGATATGGTCCTTCCAATTTACATAGGGAAAAATCACAATTGATGGTTGACCTAATATTTGCAAAAGACAGACATCAGTTGTGCCTTATTCAGGCATGTAGTGTCAGTCACAATGTCAAGCCCTAACTTACATACTAGTGGTCAGCCTCTGACAACAGGAGATACACTGAGTTGTCCTTATTCAGGACAAACAGTCATCCACCGCTACCAGAGACTTACAACATGTCCCGGAAGGTATACCAAGCAAGTCTATGAGAGGTTGTCCTCTCTCTATGGTTGCCCCTAAGTGTTTAGTCACTATACTGTACTACTTTGCAGTAATAACACAATACAATTAATTTATTGTGGCAAGCCTACACCATCAGGCAACCCACCTAGTATTACAAGAATAAGTGTGGTAAGCCTCAGTATTGGCCATCCACCCAACTAGCCTTATTTCCAAAATAACCTTCTTTCTTCTGTAATAATCCATCATTCCTGTGACTGATCTATTTGTGGTTGTGTTAGAAAGTGCACATGGGGAAATGAGAAGTTATTAATAATCTTCACTAGTTCAGTAAAATAATTCATTAATGATAACATGTATAAAAAATACGAATAAAATATTTTAAAAACTTGCTTTAAATTAAAATTTAATTGTTGTTACATGTATTATGTTTCAATTTAATTTTCATTTCTCAGATAATTAATAATTTATGATGATATAAAAAAGGTTTACAATAGGCTCAAGCCAATGTTTACCAACACAGGTGTTTGTTGTACTAGACTACTAATGCTAAATTTGACTACAGATTATTTCATCTACCTGATCAATTCATAGGGCTCACGGTGGGAGTGACCGGTGGACAAGGGATGCTTACTCCTCCTAGGCACCTGATTCCACCTCTGTAATTGACAGGGGTCTGTGTTCTAAGTCCTGTTCACAGATTTCTATTGTTTGTAGGTTTTTTTTAGATCAGTCACTGTTCATTATCTTTACCCTTTTCATTAACACATCTGAGGGTAAAACTGTTTTGGTGAGCACAGTTTGCTATCCATATTAACTTTAGGGGATTGTAAAATATACATACAAGCTATGTCATTAAAATTATTGCTTAAACAAGCATATATTCATAATTGTCAACATCAAGGACCATATTCATCAGAAGTGTTACAAATTTAAAAGTTATATCTGTAAATGCCTTTTTGTATGTACTTGTGATATTTACTCTAGAAATGTGTACTTTTTTCAGAAGTCAAACCTTCATGATACAATTGGGAAGATGCACACATTTCTCCATACTGCCAGTAATAGGTAATTGCCCTATGACATGCATGTAGTACAAAAGCATTTTTTTTTAAAAAGACATGGAACCTCTTTTAAATATTCTATGGATACCGACAATAAGAGCTTGATTAATAATTTCTTATAATTTATGTTTAATAAGATATGTATGTGAATAGGGCTTCAAATCCAGTGAATATGTAGTATTATGAACTGTTTGCATTTGTATAGATTATATAGGGACTATTTATAGACTATATTGTAATTAGATTTAATGCACCTGAGCTAGTCTGGAGAAAGTTATAATATCAGTGTTTTAGTGTTAGGAAAGGAACTCTAATCACGTAAAAATAATACAGATGTCAGAGATATGTATGTGTTGACAGGACTCGCGGTTTGCTGATTATGACCAGTCTCATCAACCAGTGTAATGCTGAAGATTTAAACCAGCACATGTCTTCTTGGCTTAAAGTCATCATTCACATATTACAGGTTATTATTTACTTTTATATATAAAATACTTTTTCAAAGATTTTCTAGTCAAAACTGAGTTTCTCAGATCAGTGGGTTTAGTATCTTGCAATTTTCCAATTCTGGGTCATTTTCAGTGAAATTCATTGAACTGAAAGCCAAGCCTTCTTCTAACATATGTTTAAAGAAAAGATGATGAAACTGTTATGGAGAAAAAGTTTTTGTCACTTTTAAAATAATAGCTTTTGTGACCTTTACCAGCAAAACTTAATCTTCAGTGAGAACCTCCATTTGTGAAACATAACATAGGCTGAAAAATTTGTTTTAGTTTTCAGGCTTTGATGCATTAGGTCAAACATTGTGCCATTGATCAATTTTATTCGCATAATGTAAAAAGAGAAGTAATTAAATGAATATTTCTTTTTACGAAAATTTAATTATATCTCTTTTCACAAGCACTTATAAAAAAAACCAAGTTTCTATTAAATACTTAGTATATTTCTTGTTATAACTACATTTTGTAAAAAAAAAAAAAAAAAAAAAAAAAAAAAAAAAAAAAAAAAAAATTTGTAAAACAAGATGTGTTTGTGAAACACTGATGCCCCCATATGGCAACTCATGGCTAAGGTTAAATTTTTTCAAATGCAAATCAAACTCCAAGGACAAGGTAAAGTGATAAAATATATTTGTACCCAAATAAATGTCTTGTAACAAGGAATACACATGTGAAATATAAAACCCTAGCACTAACCATTCAAAAGTTATAGCCAAGGTTAAAGTTTTTCAAAAGTATGTCAAACTACAAGGTCAGGTCAAAGGGTAAAAATTAATGGTGCCAAAAGGAAGGTCTCATCACAAGTAGGGATGTCAACGAATATTCAAACATTTGAATATTCATTTGATGAGTTGATATTCGAATATGAATTTAAGATTTGAATATTCGGTGTTTTTCAGATTTCACAAAAAATAATAAATTTTAATAAGAACAGTGCTGGAATTGTCCCCATTTTATTTACTAGTGATCCCCTGATTTCTCTCACTACTTTCTTATCTTATAGATCTTCTAAATTAGTTCATTTTGAGTAAGTGTAAGAAATAAACAAGCATTATTAAAGTATAACTCAAAAAGTACTTTCAGTAGTTTAATATGATCGGATCTAGAATAGAAGACAACGAAATGAAACCTTTCTTGAATGTCTAAAAGACGTGAAGAGTGTACTTATGAAAATAAATTTTATTGATCATTTAAATACACCTTCCTTAGATTCAGTCTGTAATATTGTAAAGGGCTCAATTTCAGAATAATGTATCAATTACTTGATTATCTCTGGATGAATATATTCCTAAACTTTGAAATCATTATCGGGAAATTAAGGACCTAGGACAAATGTCTATGGAAGTGTTTGTTTATATTTTCAAATCATTGTATCAAACATTATATTATATCTCTTATTAATCAGATAATGTACTTAATTATGTGTATTTAAAACTGAAGAATAAACGACAATCTTTCCCCTGGTTAGATTACTGGTTCTTCAGTTTGAGCTTGTATACATATCATTTGTTAAAATTATATTTCGGTTGTATACACTGAAATCAATTATTTATTTTAAACATTGACAAATATCAAATGTAGAATTCCTTATAGTATACCTAGAAAAGTCTACATCCAATTTTACCTCCAAATACCAATGCAACACCTGCCATAAGAGTTTGATGATGTGCATTTGAAATAAACCAGATTTCATTTATTTTATCGAATATTTGATTATATTCGAATACTTTCATTGAATATTCGAATATGAATTAATGACAAAATTAACATCCCTAATCACAAGGGGTACACATGTGAAATATGAAAGCCCTAGAACCAGCTATTCAAAAGTTATGTCCAAGGTTGAAGTTTTTTCAAAAGTATGTCAAATTCCAAGGTCAAAATCAAAGGGTCAATAATTTTTTGTATCCAAGAGGTCTTGTCACAAGGAATACACATGTGAAGTATGAAAGCCTTAGCACCAAACGTTCAAAAGTTATGGCCAAGGTTAAAGTTTGGTAAAATTTTGCAAAAGTGGGTCAACTCTAGGGTCAGAGTCAAATATGTTTGTACCCAAAGCTCATGGCTAAGGTTAAAGTTTTTCAAATGCAAGTCATACTCCAGGTCAAGGTCAAGAGATAAAAAATGTTGGTACCCAAATAAGAACACAGGCATAAGCATTATGAATTAGTCTGTCACTAATGTGATTGTTTGATTGTAGTCGAAGGAGCCCCTTGTTGTTCTGAAGCTGACCTGTCATGTGTGTTGTCAGATCATAAAAATATCACCCTGCCACATATCCATGAAAAAGGCCATGCAGACATTTATACCCCAGCTCATTCCCCTGCTTCTGGGGGCTTCTTCTGAGGTATGTAACCAGTCTTGTGTTTTATGTTGGAAAACAAAGAATTTGGGCATCTAGGGGTATGATTTCTGGGGGAGTTATACACATGTATTAAATTTACATCAGTCATTCCAAATGACACAGGCTTTTTTTGGGGGGGTGTGTGTATTATAATGGTTTCCTATACTCATGAATCCAAAATGTAAATAAATGAGTAGGGTAGTATGAAGATAAGAAAATCATTCTCTGCATCCAATTTTCTGAAAGGTTTTAATGTTTGATTCTGTGGTAATTATCTGATATCATTGACAGTGGAGGAGACACTCTATTGCAGTACTGAATGCCTGTATAACACACTATGGAGGGGCCTGTGGACCATTTAAGGTAAGTGATTTACTGTCATGTAGTATCAGGAAAAACAGTACAGGTGACCTACACTATCTTTATATACTTATATTGGTTTTACAACATATTTCATCTGGATTTGGGTTAGATAGAATGTACCCAAAAAATAAAAAGATGACCTCAGAATATTCTCCCACAAAAAGCATCAAAGACTAGTGCTAATTGTAACGGGAACCGTTACAGATGTTCCCCAAACGGCTCCCCAATCCCTTATGATGCCCCATTCCCCAAAAGCTTCAATAAATTAGACAATACTTTTGTAATATAGATGGACACTTTATTTTTAAGGGTATTTCATTGGAAAACTACTCCGATATAGCCATATGGGTATTAGCCAATCAAATTTCAGCGCATGTGCTTGCACATGTTTTCTACATTTTTCACATTAATTTTCTTATAGTGTCTCACAATACAAACATTTGTGTTAAATATTAAAGAATTTCATTGAAAAATAAGAGAGATGTAACCCTTTAAGTATTAGCCAATCAGAATTCAGCATACGCGCATGCATGGCCTTGCATTCAATTTTGATAGTATCATAATGTAGAAGCTCCATGTGCCTATCCATGTCATAAATTTCATCCTGTTTTGTTGAAAACCAAGGGAGTTATAGACATTTAAAGTTTCAACCAATCAGATTGCAGCACACCTACATGCACGTGTTTTCAAGAAATTTCCTATATAACATGTTGTAGCACCTTATAATATATACTTATATTCTAAATTTCAAAGTATTTTGTCAAAAAACAAGGAAATTATTGAGATTTTTGTATCAGCCAATCAGAGAAGAGCGCACGTGCATGCGCGTGAGTTCACGCTAATTTGACCATGTTATCTTGTCTAGACTACTAATATATCTTTATATCTTGAGTTTCAAAGCAATTCATCAAGAAATATAAAAGTTACGGCTTCATCAAGTATATCAGTCATTTCACTCATTGCACGCGCGCGCACGTGCATGCATGTGCGCGCAAAATGACCTTCGTTCCGAACACCTACACAACATGCCTATTAACCCTAAAAAGGTTTCATGTCAATCGGATGAGTGGTTCTATGAGAACACTCCCGGACAAAAAAGTACCGGAGAAGAAAGTAGAAAAAAAGAATAATAATAATAATAATAATAATAATAAGAAACAGAGTAAAAACAATATGTTCCCAAACTTCGTTTGGGGAACATAAAAATGATATGAGTGCTTGCTAAAGAGGTTCAAAAACATGTCACTCTGATTAAAATATCTGTCTACAAGTAATGTTAAGAATATGAATGGAGGTATGCATTCTATAGTTGTTGGTGTTACAATATTATGTATACCTCAGTCTTAGTTGTAATGAGTAGCTAAAATTTAGTTTTAAGAAAAAAAAGATGTCCTTTCATGATTGTATATCTGTACTATAACCTATTTAACCAAGGGCCCCAACCCTGGCACTTTACTTTGATATGTGATGGGACAATAAAAAATAGAGTTGATCATGCAACTCAACATTTTCACCATTAGGTAGACAGAGAGGCAATTTAAATCATTCATTTCATTATTCCAAGTTAAATGATTAACAACTGCTATATAATGATATAAAAAAATTACTTTTGAATTGTATGCATTTTATAATTCTGTATGATGTTACATTTTACAGAGCAAAGTTGAAGAACTTGTCAAAAAGGAACTGCAGTCTGGCTCTCTGACCAAGGTATGAAATGTGTGTGGGGGGGGGGGGGTAAACATTGTACCCAGATGTACAAAAAGATATTTTAAATGTCTTCTCTAGATCCACTTGATCAATTTAATTTACACCAAACCAAATATAGGGTTGCATTACAATGATTACATGTTTATTTATCAGAGAGATGTTTGTTACTCTGGTGACTCGTAGCTCTATGGGCTTTGATCTTGATCAATGCTATGATTATTTTAGGAATCTGATGTTATTATTTATAGGAGTCTGTGCTGTGTTTCTGTTTGTTGGCCTGCTGTGGCACCAGTGGTAATCAGAGGGTCAAATACACAGAAGGCTGGAGCTCACAGGTCTCTCACTTGTTAACAGACCTCCACAGTATAACTGACCACATCTACAGAGACCTACCCAACTCAGGTCACACTTTTTGTTTTCCTCTCTACTCTCAGATAGTTACAAAATTATTACATATTATTGATGTGCATTGCCTTATTTAACATTACTGAAATTTCATTGACAGGTTTACCAATGTCTGATGTAGATAGTATCACAGAATCCTTTGGGGCAGTGGATCCAGTGACACATTTCAATATTCTCATGCAATGTCTCCAGAAGATGCTCAGGTTTATCTCAGCCCATATCGAAAATGAATACAAAAATAATACAAGAAAAAAATACTAAAATAATACAAAAAAAGTATATTTTTAATGACCAAATTTGGAACCCTCTAAATCTTGGTTCCAATTTAGGTAAAAAATAATAGACTTTTTAAAAGCCAATCACAGAAAAATATATTTTTGATATACTTTATTTTTTCAAAATAATACAGAAATGATACACATGACCTGTAAAAATGTATTGTTTTTGTACTTTTGTATTATTTCTCTATTTTCCTCTCCAAAGTATAAAAATAATACAGTCCATAGAAAAGTATAGAAAAAATACAGAATGTATTAATTTTGTATTAGCATATATTATTTTTGTATTTTTTCACCTTTTAGAATTAAAATACAAAAAAAATATAGAATATATTAATTTTGTATCACATATATTATTTTTGTATTTTTTCATCTGGAACAATTAAAAATACAAAAAAGATATAAAATATGAAAATAATACAGTACACGTAAAAGTATGAAAAAAATATAGAATGTATTAATTTTGTATTAATATGTATTGTTTTTGTATTTTTATCAGCATGAAGGATTGTATTTCAAAAATATCAAAAAAGTACAAGAATGATAGACAAAAAATACATTTAAATGCTTAAAATAATACAAAACAGAGATTTAAAAACTACTAAAATGATCATGGGCAAAAATTGTTATTTGAAGAAAAGGGGTTGGAGATTAAGGTTCTTAATAGCATCTATTGATTGTTATTCAAAAATCTTTTATTTATTTGAAATATTTGTTAAATAACAATTTTAGTAACTCAGATTACCTTAAATGTACAAATAGCTAATTAAAAAGTAATTAATGTGGCTAGGCTACTGATTCAGCTACCAACTGTAGTCTTGATCTTTCTTTTTACATATAATCTGCTCTTCAATAGTCTTGATATTTTTCACAAATTTAACTAATCCTGTTTTCTTTGTACTTTTACCAAATGTTTCGATCTCTCTGCTTTGCTGTTTCTTTTGTATGGAAAAGGTAGAGGAGTGTTTACTTTGTTGCAGAAGTCCATCTTCAAATCACACAACCTGTCATCTCATCTGACTTCATCACTGTGAAATATAGAACAGAATGATATAATAATAAAATTTAATGAACCATTACCTCAACAAAACACACATTTTAACATTCAAAATAATTCTATATAGATTTTGTTTAGCTCACACACCTGCAATACTTTCTTGAGAGGGATCTTCTTCCTCCATGACTTGTCAGCTTTTCTTCAATGTTCGGCTGACTGAAATTAACAATAATTATAAATTGAAATTCCAAAAGATCCAGCGGAGTTCACCAAATTCCATACAATTGTACCATTGAAATTACTTTTCTTTAATCTGGGGTTTCTTAGGGGACAACCATTTGATTTGACAATCTGGAGAAGAAAAGGGGGGGCTGATTTATAAAATATTTTTAAAAAAATATTTGTAATAAACAATCTGTCCTTGAAAATGTTGAAAGAGTAAACAAAATGTGTGCCCCAATGTTATTTAAATAAACTGCCCCCCCTCCCGAACCCAACCTACCCCCCCCCCCCCCCCGAAAAAATTTGAGTTTATACAAATTACAGAATTGTTTTTGAAGGGAAAATAAATAATTCGTCTCTGGTAAACTTGAAAAAATTGGAATGAATTAGAACTAGGAAGCCAAAGGCTTGAAAATTACCCCCATCTTCCACCCCTCCCTCCCCAATCAGAATTTATCACAAAAACCCTTGTTCCCCACATGGCCAATAACCGTACTATTTTATCTTTCTTCAATACTACAAAATGGGTAAAAAAAGGCAGTCTTTGTTCCTCTATCTTTATACTAAGTTATTATTTAAAAAACTGAAACTTTAATGTGCTAAAATATATATAATCTTACCGCAACTGTCGTTGTTTACACCAGAGAAGTCCGGATATGATGCCTAAAAAACGTCAGTCTCCTTATGTATTTGCTCTCCTTGGTTCATATATATGATCCTGTGTACCATGATTATGCTGAACTTCTGTTTTTCGATCCATTTTACTCGCGAGCAAATGAGAGTTTATTCAAAATCACCTCCAGCTTTCTCTACACGTCCCGGGAAGAATTTTCAAAATGGCGTGGGTGAAATATTGTTGACCAATCAGAGAACAGCACGGAAGAGTTTTAAAATCTGACCAATCATATTGTGTCATATATACGAAAATTACCGATGTTGAGATCGGAACAGTTAGAGAAAACATATTTACATGGTTTTAAATATCTTGAATCAATTGAATAAACCTAAAATTATGTTAGAAAAAACGATGTTCAATTTAATCATCAGAATCATTTTTTTATTCCTTACGGAATTTACCGATTACGAAACATCGTTATTTCCGGTCATCATCTCCGCTGAGAGCAGCCATTTTTATATTCAAGTTGACCTGTGAAGTAGACCATAAAGTTCAAATATAATGATCAAAACGAGCGGGAGATACATAATATATAGCCTTGTTGACGGACAACTTAACTCATACATACGGTACCAGAGATTGAAATAATGTTTAACAACTATCCTTTACACCAATTCACAACATTTTCTATATTATTTTATGAAATTCTTTCGTAATAATTTCTTTTTTTTTTAAAAGTGGATAATTAAATAGTTCTATTCCATGTAATTGTAATACGTAATGAATTAAATAAAATGTATACTAAATTGAGTTGTATAGTCAAGAAAACATCGTAGGTACTGTAATTAGTGGAACTCTCCATGTTGTTTGTTTTTGTTTTGGTTGGGATGTTTTCACGGGTAAATCATGTTATTTCTTTGAGTAGTATAACATGTACTCGTCTATTGTTAGCCTACAGGTGGCCACCTGTGCTGTTGGCGATAGTTGTAAACACTCGGTTGTAAACACGCTGTAAAATTTTCAACACAAAAAGAAAGTCTGAAGCTCTGAAACTTCAAAATTTACCGCGTGTTTACAAGTATCATGTACAGCACAGGTGTCCCCTCAGACATATCTATCTCTTTCCAAATGACAATTTCACACCTAGTAAAGACATGTTTTAAAAATGAAATTGTTTAGTTAACAAATTTAAACTACTGAATTTTTCTGTTCTAATTAGCAATTAAATGTAAATAGTATAAAAGCAACCTTTATAGCAGTGGTCTTAATTAATAAAATCTGAGAAAAAAATATTAATTCCAACAGACTTATTGCAAGGACATTCTGTAAATTTTCCTAAGTTCAAAGAAATACAAATTTCAGTAAAAGAAAACACTAAGTCCAAAATAAATATTAAAAAAATACATACTGACTGTATAGTATTTTTTGAAAAATTATTAAGTCCAAATTTAATACAAAAATAATACAAACTAACTGTATGTAATTTTCTGTAAAATTACTAAGTTCAATTTTAATACAAAAATAATACAGATTAACTGTATGTAATTTTCTGTAAAATTACTAAATTCAATTTTAATACAGAAAAAATACACTTGAAAAAAACTAAGTCCACAAAAATACAAAAATGATATACTGAAAATAATCTAAGTCCCAAAAAATACAAAAATAATACCCTGTAAAAAATCAAAGTCAGATTTTAATACAAAAATAATCTACCTATTTGTTGGTGATACAAAAATAATATATTTTTTCTGTATTAATTTTAAACAATACGAAAATGATTGTATTAAAAATATATTAAAAATATACTTTTATGTATTATTTTTTGATATGGGAGATCTCATAAATGCAAATAGGTGTACCTCACCATAGAAAAAAAGGACTTTATAGTTTATACACAATAACATGATGAAAGACAATTTAGTGAGGAATCACTTTATTGTTTTTTTGTTTGTTAGTTTGTTTTTTGTTTTGTTTTGTTGAAGACATAAAGATTCAGTTCATACTGAGCTGTCTTTGTGAAAATGGTTCATTAATTTATTGGGCTGGATTATTCCTTTATTGCCACCCTTACTATTGAATTTAAATTTTCTTTTATGTGCTTTTATACATTTATTTAATGTATTATCAGTCAATACACCAGAATATTTTTCCCAAGGTGCTGGGAACAGCTCATTGTGTTCTATTGCCCTAGGCCAATGGCCGAGGGCAATAGAACACATTAAGCTGTTCTCAGCACCGAAGGAAAAATATTCTGGTGTATTGACTGATCAAACTTTAAATAACTGGCCTCAAGACCATAAACTGAGAACAGACTTAAGTCAAAATTTTGATTTTTAATATCCTAAGTTTTATTTAACACGTGCATAAAAATTTGGAGGTTTTTATAATACACAAATTTATACACATGTTGTAAATTGTGTTTCATTATCAAAATTAATTCAGGAACTATATTGATTTGAAATTTTGACTTAAGTCTGTTCTCAGTTTATGGTCTTGGGACCTGTAATGTACCTAATATTATAGTGTGTAAATGGATACTGCCAGTCCAATATATCGCCGGTCTGAAATTTGCAAACTATTGATTGGCAGTCAATAGATTGTCAATACGAAAAGTCGCAAACTATTGACCGGCGGTCCAATAGATCACTCTGAAGTTTCTTAATTAGTTCAAAGGAATAATTATACAGAGAAAATAGTCAAAAATACTACATATTTAATAAAACAGCAAAATCAGTTGTATTAGGTAATAAAGCAAACTATGATATACCTCTATCTCTCATCTGCATTTCACTGTCTGGTTGACATCTCTGAAGTACAAAATGATCTTGAATAGTTACCTTAGTCAGAAAATTACTATTATATTTGGTAGATCAAGGAAATAAAACTCTGTTGGTGAAATATAATGAAGTTCTGAGTTTTTTTCCTGACCAAATATGGTCAAATTATTTAACCATTAATGAACTGTAAATGTATTATACATGTACTTAGCATGTATGATATTTGGTGAAAATTGAGTTTGGAACATTTTAGTGTAAATTTGATTTAGCCCATTTCTTAATGTGCTTCTTTATGTGTTTATATGCAAGACACTTAGCATTGTATTTGAATTAGCAAAAGTTGCTTTCCACCAAAGGTGCTAAAAAGAATACACAGCCAAATGTAATACTCTCAAGTATCTTTGCATAAGAGTGAATATTGACTTTATGACAAGGTTTATTGTCTACACTAAAAGGTCAAGGTCAAAACAGATCATTCAAGTTTGATTTAGTCTTATCTAGCATTTGTGACCTTGTGACCTTTTAGCTATCGTCCAGGAGGCAAAGATATGGACAGCCAAAAAATTTCAATGCCCAATGACAAAACTCAATTCAGGAGCACTATTTTTTTATGAAGCATGATATGGCTTTTTGAAATGTTTAATCTGTAAAGTGCAGGTTTTGTTAAATTTAGCTAAAATATGTTTTTATACCAGAGGTATATCTTTGTATCTTCTTCTGAAAACAAACTGTTACCTTTGTGATCTTGTTTTCTGACATTTGTAGGAAATCTTTCCCTGCTCTGATAAAGCTGCCAATAGAGAGGATTCTGCACTTTGTTGATAAAGTTCTGTCTGTAGATGATGCCCAATTAGTAAGTTTTAACTTTTTTATGCCCTTGCCATAAAATGGCCAGGGCATATAGTGTTACTCTGTTCCCTCGTCATTGACTTTCGGTACATTATCTCTGCAACAGTTGCACACATTCAACTCAAAGGACAAGTTATGGTAAGGGCCGAATCTGGCCCCTTATTTGAGGTAAAAATCAGAACACAGTTAAAATTGTGATAGTTTGTAGTTAAGAACTTAAAATGGATGCTTGTTTTAAAACCAGCACTAATTTTGATTCAAAGCTTACAGGAGGCCACAAGAGGGTGCAGAAGTAGGACATTTTCCTGAATTTCTTCAATTCTGGTGGAATTTCGTCAAATTTGAGATACTTTTCACTTCGGGAAACATAGAGCACAAGCTTGCCTTCTGAGATTTTTATACATAAGATGCATCTGATACTAGTGTATGAAATATATAAATTTGGTAGATAGGCAAGCTTGTGCTCTATGTTTTCTGAAACAAAATGTGCTGTGCAATCGATGAAAAATTGCATAAAATGAGAAAATTCAGAAATTGACATATTTTCTGACCTTCTTGTGACTTCTGTGTATCCCATAACAAACCAATACTCATTTTGTGGCAGGGGTGACAACAGGTTTTTATTGATAAACTGTTACATCACTCTAAAAGACCCCCCAAACCGGGGCCAAAAAGGGGTCTTAGCCTATCTTGTCCTTTGACATATGGATACGTTGTAGGAAAATACAGGTCAAGTTTGAATTTAGTTATGGTCCAATGATTTTTGACAGAGTTATCCCTCTTGAACTTAGAAAAAAAAAAGAAATTTTCAGTTTCCGCTCTCTAACTTTTGCAGGGATATATGTATAAGGTTGGAATTGCATATGCAGGTATTTTATCAGAAAATACAGGTCAAGTTTGAATTTAGTTATGGTCCGATGATTTTTTACAGAATTATCCCTCTTGAACTTAGGAAAAATAAGAAATTTTTAGTTTCTGCTCTCTAACTTTTGTAGGGATGTATGTATAAGGTAGAAATTGTATATGCAGGTATTTTACCAGAAAATACTTTTCAAATTTGACTACAAATTTAAAACTAAATATTGCATTTGAAATTTTGGCTGCTTGCGGGGGGCATTCGTGGCATTATTGACACATCTAGTTTGGATATAGACACTTGGATACATAGATCTTATGAGTTTTATGTTATTTTGACTGGCAACCATTAATGTATGGGATTTGGATTATCTTAATTCCCATTTAGATTTTTGGCTGGAGAGGTCTTGGCTTTAAAGAATTTAGGAATGCACACTATATGAGACCTATCTTACAGATGTATTTTAGCTTGCCTGGGTGAGAGGTTAGGTTTTTCTGAGTAAAGATTGTCCATTGTCTTTTGTCTTCCCCAGGATCACAGGACCAATTTTGACTAAAATTAAAGAACACAATACCTTAAATTTTCACACAAAAGCCTTATAGGTATTTTGTTCTATCAAAAGGAGATAAAGAAAGATTGAGTCATTTAAATTTACATAATTATGTTGTGAAGTTTTAATTTCATTTTCATTTAGGATGAGGTCATAACAAGGCTCCAAAGTTTAACATTGGAATGTAAAACATCCATTACAGAATAGCCTGGCTACAAATAATCAAATTATCACAAGCCTTTTGTGTTAAATTTCTAGAAATATATGTGCAGAATGACCAAAGAGCATTAAGCAAATTATGGAAGAAATCATAATAAAATGCAATGATTATCAGGCAGTGATTTCTTTAATATAAGTGTTAGAATGTCTTTTTAATTTTATTTTTTTACCAAGCCAATATCCTGTAAATTTTTAAAAATTTTCCAGAACTGTGAAATGTGACTCAGACGAGCATTATGGCCTATGGACCTCCTTTTTTAATCATTGTTCTTGTCATCCTAGATCATAAAGTAGTATTTATAAAATCTTTTCAGAAGATAGTGAGTTTGATGAACAGCTCTCTCCTAATTCTCCACAGAGATGCAGTTGATGTTGTTGATGCCTTGTATGAGAGGTAAGAAGTTTTGTACACGTAAAATACAATGAAACACATATTACTTTGTTGTTATTTTAATTAGGACTTATAAAACAGGGCTCTTTGTGGATGCTCAGTCAGACACATGCTTGGGAGACTAGATCAATGGCCTGTTTTACAAAATAACATATAACTAGGACCAACAATTTTGGCCTTTTCTAACAACTTGCCTGTCCAATGGGCCCTGACCTTTATTTTATGTTTGAGTGACAGGTTAAGTTCCTAGGCATGTTTTTAGTTCATCACATTACAACCTTAATCTAAACATGCCTGTAAATGTTTTGAGTCATGCTGCATCTCACCTACATTCTAATGCTTCATTGACTTAGTGGAGATTGACATAATAAAGCTCATACCAAGCTCGTAACAGTAACAAGGAGACTCAGTGCAGACTTATTTGGGTATCTACAGGTATGCAAGTCTTGTGTCTGGCCAGCTTTTGAATTGAATTTGCTTGTTAGGACAGCTCTCCTTATTTTTGATAATTCATTTTTTAAGGAAAAATAACTTGCTGAATGTACGTTTATAGATGTATTATAAAGCAAAAGAATTTCATTTTCATTTTTTTTTTCAGTTGTAAAAAATTGATGTTGCCATACAACAAGAAAGTTATTAGAGTGTTAACAAGAGAGCTGATATGGACTTCTTCTGACTCTGTATACACCCAAGCTAAGCTACTCAGGTATTATGCAAGCTATAATCTTTGTAAAACATGTTAGGTACTATACATGCTAAAATCAGTATAAAGCCTGTTAGGTATTGTACAAGCTTTAATTTGTATAAAGCCTGGTAAGTATTGTACATATACCCTGTAATCTTTATAGAGCCTGTCAGTTACAGACTATGAAGTTCATAGTATGAACACTTCACATATTAAATCAGTTTGTTAACATTAACAAAAAGTGATTCGTGTAGGTACAAGGTGATTGTAGAGTAAAATGTGAAAGTATGATAAATCATGCTTTATAAACACATCCTACTTTTATCTTTATTTATTTTGGTGTTAATGCATATTTGTTCTTTAATGTAACTATGACCTTGTTATGTAGAGAGCTAAGACAGGCTGTATACAGAGCTCTGGAGACCATGATGAAATCTACTGGCTGCTTTCTGGAAACTGTGAGGGAGGAGGATAATCTGGTCCAGGAAATACTAACTGACTGTAAACCACTGGAGTGTAAGGTAAGGGGCATGTAACAGATACTGACTGTAAACCACCGTAGTGTTAAGAAAGGGGCATGTAACAGATACTGACTGTAAACCATCATAGTGTTAAGAAAGGGGCATGTAACAGATACTGACTGTAAACCATCATAGTGTTAAGAAAGGGACATGTAACAGATACTGACTGTAAACCACTGTAGTGTTAAGAAAGGGGCATGTAACAGATACTGACTGTAAACCATCGTAGTGTTAAGAAAGGGGCATGTAACAGATACTGACTGTAAACCACCAGAGTTTAAGATAGGGGTCATGTAACAGTTACTGACTGTAAACCACTTTAATGTAAGGTAAGGGGCATGTAACAGTTACTGACTGTAAACCACTGGAATGTAAAGTAAGGGGCACATAACATTTACTGACTGTAAACCACTGGAATGTAAGATAAGGACATCTAACAGTTACTGACTGACTGTAAACCACTAGAGTGTAAAGTAAGGGGCATGTTACATTTACTGACTGAGTGTAAGGGTAAGAACAGATACTTTTTGACTGTAAATCAGTTGAATGTAATGTAAGGGGCATGCGACTGATATATATTTATGTAAAACTCAAAGTGTAATAAGATGTTGAATATTAGAGAATTAACAGATCTTACCTGTTTCTTTTGTTTTTTTATTAGAGTTCACTTAAAGTACAGAATGTGGCAGAGCCTTCACCTGCCAAGAAAAAGAAAATAATGGTCAACACTGATAAGGTGGTACCAAACACAGAGATGCTGAACAGAGTAATTAGTACCTGTACAGAATGTGCTTTACAAGGTAGATAACAGATTACAGCTCAGTTAATGATTGTAACTTACAGCTTACAGCTAAGTTAATGATTGTACCTAACAGATTACAAATCAGTTAATGATTGTACCTAACAGGTTACAGCTCAGTTTATGATTGTAACTTACAGCTTACAGCTCAGTTGATGATTGTACCTAACAGATTACAGCTCAGTTAATAATTGTACCTAACAGATTACAACCCAGTTAATGATTGTACCTAACAGGTTACAGCTCAGCTAATGATTGTACCTTACAGATTAGAGCTTAGTTAATGATTGTACCTAACAGATTACAGCTTAGTTAATGATTGTACCTAACAGATTACAGCCAAGTTAATGATTGTACCTAACAGATTACAGCTCAGTTTATGATTGTACCTAACAGATTACAGCTTAGTTAATGATTGTACCTAACAGGTTACAGCTCAGCTAATGATTGTACCTTACAGATTACAGCTTAGTTAATGATTGTACCTAACAGATTACAGCCCAGTTAATGATTGTACCTAACAGATTACAGCTCAGTTAATGATTGTACCTAACAGATTACAGCTCAGTTTATGATTGTACCTAACAGATTACAGCTTAGTTAATGAGTGTACCTAACATGTTACAGCTCTGTTAATGATTGTACCTATGAAACAGACAATTTGTGAATGCATTAATTTGATATATCTTGTTTCCTTAAGCATTGTACTGGTGGACACTTGCAGCTGGTGTGAAAATGAAGAGCAAAACTTTTCAGGTAGGTGATGTTACTGCCATGTTATGGAAACATGTCCTTAGTGACTCCCACAAGGAAAACAAAAAAACTATTCAAGGCAAAAATTAATATCCATATAATCTGAAAAAGAAAAATATACATGAGCCCAAAATAGAAAGACCTCTTTGATACATCTCTAAAATTTACTATATGATACTCTGATGACTATCACAATAGGAGCCTTTGTTCAACATGAAAAGTTCTTTTTACAGATGTTATCTTTTAAAATTAATTATATGTATATATGAATTCCATTGTAGCGAGTGTGTGACTTCATCATCACAACAGCATTGACTGTATACAGAAGTGGACCTGGTGTGTTATTTCCATATAACAACTGGAAATGTAGACTCCGTCTTCTGAGGGTCCTACAGGCATGTGTCATGACCCCACACAAAGAAGGGTCATCACCTGTACAGTGTGCATTGGCCATATTCAAAATAGCTGAGCAAGATGACAATCTACAAGTATGTTGTTTTCAGATTTGAAAAAGCTAATATTTATCTGTCTGTCAACTTTCAGCATAAAAGGGCAATAATCAAGGTGGGTATACAAGAGGAGCATGATCTAGAGTTGTGTTTGAGGAAGAGGGGAGACAATACCAATGGCACAGCCTAGATATTAAAGTATTTCAAATCATGACTTTTGACTCACTTTGAGGCCACAATAAGTGATGTTATAAATATCAGAGCAGTGTAACATAAGAAAATCAAAACCCATGTACATGAACAAAGTACAGTGTACATAGTATTATACAGTAACACACCAGATTATAAGTCTGGAAATGTTTTCCAGGTTTCCTCATTTTGTATAGAAGCACAAAGAGTTTGTGAGATTCTGATTCACCCTCGGGCTCCTTGTTTGACTGCCACACGATATGTGACTCAAGAGAAGGTAACTCCTCCAGTGTCTAACAGCATACTGACAACAGGTGACAGTCAACAGCCCAACAGTCACACAGCTCTCTCAACTAATCACATTGAGTCTAACAGCATACTAACAACAGGTGACAGTCAACAGTCAGGCAATCACACAGCTCACTCAACCAATCACACAGAAGGTAAACATCAAGTGGTGCCTTTATCAAGACTTATTCTGATCATCATTTTAATCGACTTGTAACTTCACACATGTATAAATTAGGATGGGATGTTTTTAAAACTGCCTTCAGATTGAACCTTGAACTTTGACCCTATAATTTGTGACAACATATATTTATTGTTTTAGCCACAATAAGTTACGTTATAAATCTTTTACCAGGATTCAATATGGGTGACCTTTTCTAATTAGCATTATCAAACTTTACACAAAGACAAATCGGGGTAAAATAAGCAGACTTTGGACTTTTGCAATCTGGCAATACAGATGCCTAGTATCTTTCTGGGTCATCCCTAGAGCCATTGCAGAAATGTCATATTGTTTAATTATTTTTAACTAAATTAAATAATTGATTTATCAAGTACATGTATAGTATATACACTATAGTTCATTTTAAACATTGTTTTTAGTGTACTTGCAGTAATTTTCTGTTACTGTCAACTTTGTTATCTCAAACTTGATGGGACCGAGAAAAAAACTTTGAGATATCTTAGGAATCAGGATAACATGGTTAAAGTACTGAAAGAATGAGTGATTAGGACTTCCAAATCAGTTTAACATATCTATGGTATTCAAGATGTCCTTGTTCAAGATAACAAAATTCAATATTTATTATTCTGAAGATTAAGCAAAATAAAACTGGAGAAAAAAATGCATCAAAATCTGTAAACAAAAAACTTAGATATTGGGGGAAACCCAAATTTACAACAGAGTTATGGACTGGCCAGTCGAACATCAAATTTTATTTGACTGCTCAGTAAACACATTAAAATGTTATACCTTTTTTTAGCATAGATTTAAGTAGGATTTTTTTAAGGTACCTGTACATGTAAATCAATAAATGATTTACTTGAGTGGACAGGGTGGAGTAAATTCTGCTATGTAGAATTCTGAATTGTTTTGTCATAGATTCAAGTCACCTATCACTAAATGTGGAAGAAAACACAGATATCATTGAGAACATGGAAACTGGAAGGGATGAAGAGAACCAAGGAATTCTGAGTGAAATGGACAAGGACTTATCTTGTGTGGAGGTCATTAATACTTCCCAAAATCAAGAAAGACAAAAAGAGGTCATAGAGACACCTCAGCCCTCACTCGGTCAACAGGTGGAGGCATCAAACAGAATGCTGGAGACTCGAGAGTGTGGGGATTCAATAGAACCTACAGAGGGCTTACATGGACCTGTGGAAAGTGTTAGTCTGGAAATAATTGAAAACAAGGAGCAGAGTTCTGAGCCCATTATAGAACACAAAGAAATGCATTCAACCAATGACAGCAAAGGTGAACCAGTGGAAAAACTTGATTTTCCTCTTGGTGACAGTGATATCACAAGCAAAGCTGATATCCAGGATACTGTAGACAATGTAGACAAAGCTGATATCCAGGATACTGTAGACAAAGCTGATATCCAGGATACTGTAGACACTGTAGACAAAGCTGATATCCAGGATACTATAGACACTGATGATAATACAGACAAATTGAAGGTATCAGAACAATTGTTATCATTTTAAATACTATTACTTAAGTGAGAACATTTAATGCAGACATATTTCCTTACAAATATATATACAGAACTTTAGGCACAAATAAATTTCTATCTTTTAATAAAAGTTAGCACAACGTCTTCATTACTACACAGAAAAGTTTGATCCACCTGTTAGATTTCACATGTCAATCATGCATTGATGGTTAAGGCTACCCATGTCTGTCATGTCAAATTTCCAGGCAGAAATTAGAGAGCCAAAGCAACTCAGAGATAATGTCATGCACAGAATAAACAAATAAATAGTAAAAAATTGAAAATCTTCTTTTCAAGCCTGCAGGACCATGATTTCTATTAATATGCAAGCATCCTCAGGTATTGCAAATTCAAGGTTAGTTGAATCATAGATTCTGGGGATAGGGGCCACAATAAGGGATGAACTTTTTACAGGGAAAACATTGGAAAAAAAATCTTTAAACATTTTTTCAAGAACCCCTATGCCATGACAAACTCATTTTAGAATGCATCATTGTGTTGTGAAGAATCAAATTTGTTCAAATCATGCCCTCTAGGTGTAGGATGGGGCCACAATACAGGGTCAAAATTTTCCCGGGAATATAGAGGAAAAGAAATTTTGAAGTCTTTTGATGAAAACAGCAGGGCCAATGTGACCCAGATAAGCAGTGTGGCCTATGGGTCTCTTGGTTTTGATTTTTTAGGAAATTTCATATACAGTTGTGGGTCCAAGTTCCAACATGTTTAACAATCTGTATGATCCATTCTGATCCATTATTTTTAATTATCACCACTTGCAATAGAGTTTAATGTTAATGCCTCTCATGAATCTTCTTGAAGTTCTGTTTGAGAGAATGCAGTTTTGTTCTTTTTTGTTTTTACAGAGTGGTGAACTGGAAGACATGTTAATGACATTTGCAGATGTGGACCCAGAGTAACCCAGTTATGGCATTCCCATTATGTCCATGTTTGTTCAATGATCAATAAAGAGATATTAAACTGCTTCAAAAACTTTGTGTAATTTTAAAGATCAAGAGACCCAAAGGCACCTTAGTATCACAATTGCTTTACATACATTCAGCTGTGCACTACCCTCATACCTGAATACTATACTAAGGTGCAGGGGACATAAATATCAAAGTATTGGTAAAAGGCTCGTCATTCCTAATTATCATGCATAAAATTTGCTAGATGTCTTGAAGAAAAAAGAGGATATCAAAGATTATTAAAATATCTGATCAGTTATGCCAAACCCTGGGCCAAAAGCTCTGAAACCTGGTAATTGAAATTTATTCAACAATTTTATAGCGAGCTTTCTGTTCATTTCTGTAAAGCATAAAAACATTTCTGCTAAATATGGCATTACATAAGCTTCAAGATATATTTTGAAGGGACCCGTATTCATATTTTACAGGTAGATTGCAAATTCCCTGACAAGATCTGATTTGTTTTTCAATTATTATGTCAAGGGCAATTTGATATGATATTACCCCCCCCCCCCTTCCCAAATTTCCAAGGATTAAGTTACATATGCATAAAAATAAAGAGAAAAAATGTCATTATATTAAAATATATTATTTTGCCGGTAATACATTGCAATGAGTTTTATCATTGGTTCGTTTGAATCCCTTGTCAAAGTATAGAAATACGGATAGGTATTTCTGAATATAAAACAAAACAAAACAAAAAAAAAACTCCGATAGACCCGTGTGAGGTCGATATGATTTTCTGTGAAGTTGATACATCTATGGATCAACCTCATGAGAGGCCTATATTTGTACAATATATTAGGAAATACCTTGAAAATGTGGGATACGAGACATTTTTAAAATCAGTTTTAATAGATAAATGTATTTGCAATATCATGGGAGAAATGGTTTCCTTAATTGTTGATTTCACAATAACTATAAAAACCTGCCATTGGCTACTTAATACTATAATTTTTTTTTTTTTTTTTTTTTTTTTTTTTTACATTTTAGTAATTTGTCAGTATAATTGTCTCCGAATTTTTTTTTAATGCCTTCATTTTTTTGAATGCTCATATATTTAAATAATTAAACCGTTCTTTTTCAATGCTGCTTTCATTTTTATGTGTAAAGCGCAATGATTTTATCAACTTTTCTAATATGACTCCACGGGCGAATAAAACGGGGCGTGGGAATACCCCCTTAAAATAATTTTTGTATACTTGTAAAGAACGAGGAAAGACTTAATGCTTTAGGTCTAGATACCAATGACCTTTGAACAGCTGTTGAAATTAAATTTTAAATTGTGCTTCCCGAGGGTAGGGAACGTCTACCCTAGAGAACCGCCTCAGTCATGTGTGTTTCAGTCATTCTGAAGACCCTGCTAAATTTATAGTGTCTGTTTCCCCATATTTTCGCAGCGTTTTTCAAACTATTTTCTCTAACATCAAAAGGAAGGACCTAGCTTGTACTTTTTGTTGAAAATAAACTGAGTAAACGTTTATCGACTTCGTGTAAAAAAAAATTAATAAAAACGTATAAGAGAGATCATAATCAGATAATTTAAACATTTAATTCACACTAATGCAGCTATACTTTGCTAATTACAATTAAAATCCTTTTTAAAGAACGAAGGGACCTCCAAGGTCTTTGAGGGGATGGACTCACTGGGCCTCGAGGCGGTCCAAGATACATTTTGTATACACTGAAAATTTTCACCTGCCTCTGACCTTCACAATCCTAAAAGGAAAAAGATATAACAAGATAAAAACGGATGAAAAGGAAAATTATCCAAGCTGGAAAATCTTGTTATTTCGTAGGGGGAGGGGATGAATACATTAATATTCGAGGTTTTGTCTAGACTGCAATACTGGGGGGGGGGGGGGGGCTTTTCAATGAACATGTTGTTCTTTATCCTCTGAATATGCGAAATCTATAAGCAGAATTTCTTTGTTTTGAAATCCTAAGCGATAGCACATTTTGATATTATTCACTATAGTGGCACATTTTTTCCATTTACAAAACCAAACGCTTCTATTCATAGTTTGTGGTACTCGGTTCTATCAGGGACCTATATACTCCGTATATAGGTCGCTGGTTCTATATTCACATTTTTTCTCTTAATTACGAGATAATTATCTCATTATAATTTTCTCGTATTTACGAGATAGTGGGACGTATTTTTTTTAATTGATACTAATGGGCTTTCGTAATTTCTGGTAATTAATAGATATAATATTTTTTCTATCGATAGGAATGGCATTGGTGAATGAAAAAATATTCGGAATGTTTATATCTTCGTTTCTGCTGTCTGACTTTTACAGTATGCCGTTGCTCTATCACGTGACCTCAGAAAACGCTAAAACAGGAGCAGGTGGTCGCTAAGGTAAACGGTGCAGATATATCTGGATATTTTGAACTGTTTTAAGGCTTTGTTGTTGTCAAATTTCAGTGAATTGAATCTTTATGGAATTTGTCTGTACTGTAGGCTAATTTACTGGAATTTGTATTTTAAATTACACATAACCTTTCTGCCTACATGAAGCAACAAACACCGCCATTAAATATGAGAATCAACTTACATTATTCGAATCTATTGGTCAAGTTTGCGTAGCTACACAATATTATATGTAGAAACTTGTTTTAGATCTATCACACGAGTAGAATGGTGTGTGAGTCAAACAAAGCTTAGAATATAACTTTAAGGCAAAGAAGTCAAAGCATTAGCTATATAGTCAGAGACATATAAACGTACCATGGTTTTTATGCCTCTGCTAGAGTTCTTTTAAAATCATATGCATATAAACTTGTAAGACTTCCACATCAGAGTCACTGGCTTTTAGTTTTTAATTCATTAACCGTTTTTATTTCAACAGACTTGCTGATGCTCTGGATGTAAAATGTCAGATAAAGGTTCTCGAACAGGAACCCCAAAAGGGGGTTCTAGGAAAAGCTCAAAAGCTGGGACCCCACGTGGTTCTAAAAGTGGAACGCCAAAAGGCTCTAAAAGCAATACTCCATTGCCAACAGATCCTCCACCTGTAACTCAGGAAATCACAGAGGAGGAATCCCAGGCTGCTGGTGCTTGTAAGTCTGTGTCTCAGTGTGTCATTGCCACATTTAAGTTTACTTTGTACATATACTATATATTTTATTCATCAACCTACAGAAAAAAAAAAATGATAACAAAATTACAAATCTAATGAAAACTAAAATAACTTTTAAATAAAATCTAGCCAAAATAGAAATCTAAATTTCTGACTACTTTCACAATAGTATTCACTTTATATACACTACATTTCACCAGCAAATGGTGCCTTACAACCAACTGAAGTTGATATAACAGCTGCAGGTACATCTAATGGGACAGTAGAAACCGAGCCAGAGACTGAACAAGAAGAAGTAGAGGAAGAAGACAAGGGACCCAGTGTGGTGAGTCTAAAACAGAAAGTTTACAGTAACAGAGAATGTAAAGTACAATAACACACAAATATACAGTAACACAGAGTATAGTATCAGAGAGTATATAGTAACACAGAGTGTACTATAACACAGAATGTACAGTAATATGGAGTAGAGTAATGGCACAGAATGTACAGTAAAATTGAGTACAGTAACACTGAGTACTACGTCAGTAACATAAAGTGTACAGAAACACAGAGAACAGTAACACAGAATGTACAGTATCACAGAGAACAGTAACACACACTGTACAGTAACACAGAGTACAGAAACAAAGAATGTACAGTAACACAGAGTGTACAGTAACAATAGAGTATAGTAACACAGGTGAATACTAAGACAGAAAGTAAAGTGACACAGAATGTACAGTAACACAGAGTACAATAACATAGTGCATACAGTAATACCTAGCATACAGTAACAAAAAAGTGCACATTGAATAGCACAGTGCAGACAGTAATACCTAGCATACAGTAACAAAAAAGTGCACAATAGCACAGTGCAGATAGTAATACCTAGCAAAGAGTAACAAAAAGTGCACAATAGCACAGTGCAGACAGTAATATCTAGCATACAGTAACAAAAAAGTGCACAATAGCACAGTGCAGACAGTAATACTTAGCATAAAGTAACAAAAAAGTGCACAATAGTGCAGTGCAGACAGTCATACATGTACCTAGCATACAGTAACAAAAAAGTGCCCAATAGCGCAGTGCAGACAGTAATACCTAGCATACAGTAACAAAAAAGTGCACAATAGCACAGTGCAGACAGTAATACCTAGCAGTAACAGAGAGAGTATATAAATCATAGAGAGGGTTGTAAAACATAATATACAGACTCAGTACAATAGAAAGGGCACTATAGCAATACAGTATGAAATATAAATGTAAAAGCAACTGCACAGTAACAAATTGACTTTGTAACAACTTATGATGTATAGAGGAATATTTCTTTAAGTGAAATTGTTATCAAGGAAAAATAATTATTTTAAACTTTTTTATGTGCTTAATGATAATGTTAGAGATTGTACTAGGTGTAATTTCCTTAAAGAATTTGTTATGTTACAGTATTGACACTTCTGCAGAAATTGATGGTGATATAAGGTCATTCATAACATTTTCCAAATGATCAAAATATTTCTTTCCCTTTTTTCAGCTTTCATTGATCAAAGAAAGAATCACAGTTCAAGGCTTGACAGAGGAGTTATGGAAGGAAATTCATGATGATGCAATAAATCAATTCATCAATGACCCGGGTACTAAAATGATGGTAGCTTACATGGACCCATACAAAGGATTTCTGATAGAACATGCAATCCCAGCCTATTTAGTAGACCAGCTGACTTATTTCATCAAAGCCAGCAGCATTAAAGAACTCAATGCAGAAACCTTTCTCAACAAAGTACAGTATGGCACTATCAAAGGAAATCAGATTGAGAGCTTGCTCAGAATGATGATGGGCATCTATGCTCCAATTTTCTTTGAGAACACAACATGGCCAGACAGTATCCTTTACAAAATATATTTTTTTTTATTAAAATACCGTCTTTGTAGATCAGGTGGATGGAACAAGTAGACTTATTTGTACAACCATATTAATTGTGCTCAGATTTTTATTCAGCTTTTAATCTGTGATATGTTTTGATCCTTAACAGAATCTAAGGTATAAAAAATGATTTCTCAGCACAGCTGCATAAGTTTCTGGCAAATCTGACCGACACCAGGTGGAAGTTGGAGGGGAAGACTGTTCTGTACATCCCCACAGAGGGTCTGAAACTCCCCGCTGAGGAAGCGGCCAAGAATAAAGACCTCGTACAGAGACTGGAGAGTAAGCCAGTAGCCTCTGTTTAATTTCAAAGATTGGAGCTCAGAAAAAAATGTAGAATGTAATATTGTATGCTTGAATATGGTATTATACTGGTGTAGGTGTCTCTTGCATAAATTGTGGTGAAGATGCCAGTGACTCTTTGTATATTATTTAAATTATGGAGGACTGTTTAGTCTTGAAGCTGTAGAATAAATCTTTTGGAGCTCAATTGCAACTCTATGTTTGCATAATTTAAAAGCAATAGTTAAGCAAAAATTTATAATTTTTTTTCTATCATAGAGAGGATGCCAAGGTGCTTGTCTCTTTGACAAATTGATTAGATTATGCAGTACAGTTTTCATACCTAATTCATCTGAATAGTTGTTTGCTGTTATAGAGTTCAATTAAGTGCAAATGTTCATGGGGAACTTCGTGCATGTTGTTTGTAGTTCTTAAATATGGAATGATATGTTCATTGTTGTGGATAAAAAATACTTTTGTTATATTGTAAATTATTCTCTGCAGCTGCAATGATACACTGGGCCAGACAGATAAAAGAAGTTCTCAGTAATCAGGACGCTTTTGAAATGGCGGAAAACTCAGGTCCATTAGATGAGATCGAATTCTGGAAAAATCGCTGTGCAGATTTGACTGGCATTAGTACTCAGCTGGACAAACCAGGTGTCAAAAAAATCACGGAGATCCTGACTCTGGCTAAATCCTCTTATGTAGGACCCTTCCTTAAACTGTCCAGTGAAATCAAGGTAAGGTCACAGAGACACTGGAGAAGAAATCACAAAGCACATAGACAGATCCATTCAGATAGGTGTTGCATAATCAATAACAGAATTAAAATATCCACATGTACAGTAGTTTATATGTTTGACTTCTACTAGTTATGGTTAAATTGCAATTACAGGAAAACAGAGTTATACTGTTTGTATACCTTAAAGTATATGGATTAAAACTATCTTTACTTTTGCTTATTTTATTTTACTTTTACTTTAAGTTATAAAGATGTCTGTTGTCTTTAACAGGAGGGGTCTCGCCAGGCAGAAAGCAATCTGAAATTTCTTTTGGTTCTCAAAGATCCTTGTTATGAATTGTCTGAAGCCAAACCAAAGGATATACCAGCTATGTTACCCAAAATTTTGAATACCATCAGATTTATCTGGGTGAATTCTGAATTCTACAAAACAAGGGAGAGACTTACAGGAATTCTAAAAAAGGTAAATTTTGAGTCAGTAAAAAACACTCTCTGCAATTTAAGACACCAATCTACAGTGTATGTGATGACTTTATGCCAGCATTATGCAATGATATATTCAATGAAATTTAATACTTTTAATTCGTTACTATATATGCATGTATTACATTACATGAAGACAGGATTCAGATGCAGATAAGAATTATTATAATTTGTGTTTATACAGATCAGCAATGAAGTAATCCGGAGGTGTTGTAGGGACATCAATCTAGATAAAATATTTGATGGTTATGTCCAAACAGGACTTAAGTCACTCAATGACAGCATTGACTGCTGTGAACAGTGGAAGGAAATCTACAGAAAAGTAAGATAAATCAGAATGGACTTCACAAGCAGGCTTCATGTAAATCTCATGAGTAATTTCACATTTGAAAAATTATTATTTCATAGTAGTGTAATGTTTCTTTGAAATTATGTCTGATGTTAGAGTCAAATTCTACTTGTTTGTTGTTATATATTTTGTGTGTTGTACAAGAATTTTTTTTTTAATTATTATTTACTACACGTGATATATCAGTGTTACTTAATTGTTATATTCCAGACAGCCAGATTGCATCACAAATTCTCTCCTGTTGGATGGGTGTTGGACAAAAGCAGCATTTTTGCACAAATTGATGCATTCATTCAAAGATGCAAAGACTTGATTGAAGTTTGTGAGGCTCAAATTCATTTTGCTCGTCGTGAAGATGGTGAGAAAATGGAAATGCCCCATTTTGCTGGACAGAAGGGACCAGAGATTGCACGAGGCCTGATGGAGATCGAGGCAGCTTTTGAGCGAAACCTCAACCAGTTGAGATCAGTAAAGAGTACAATACTGGATGTAAAGGCAACATCCTGGCATGATGACTATAACAGGTAAATTTACTATTATCATTACAAATTTACCAGAAATTGTTAACTCGTAGTCACTTAAATTGTTATATACATGATATACTTGTATTTCACAATATTTACAGAAATCAAACTTAGCTAAGATTTTAAGAGAATTTTACAGGTTTATAAAACTTTGAGTAAGACTTACTGGGTATTTATGATATAGTTAATGTAAAGTTACTGTAATGAAAACTTATTTTTACTTATTCAAATTTTAATGTAAATACAGGTCATGAACTGTTTGGCACATACATGTACATACATGATTAACCACATCAGTTTTACTATTTATTTTTATATTTAAGTAAAAAAAAAAAATTGGTAGTATTCAACTTATGATTTTGTGAAAACATCCAAAACATGATCCTTTATTATCCATATACAGACATTGAATGAATTGTTTCAATAGGTTCCGAGCCGGAATAAAGGATCTAGAGGTGATGATGACTAATGTGATCACATCTGCATTTGACACTGTCACGACTGTGGAACAAGGAGTTGAGTTACTGGACATCTTCATGCATTTATCTTCACGAGAGGTAATGTCTTTTAAAAGTAGATTGATTGTTAGGTTTTTTGCTATCTGTAAATTAATCAAACTTAGAACTGTATTGGACCTTTGTCTATTTTTGATCTCAGAATCTTCAAAATCTGCACTATCAATTATCTGATAAAGCAGTACTGTTCCTGGTCACAGATTTTCTAGGGCTAGATCTTTAAAATTTTGTAAACAAGCAGGTGTCGAAAGGTTGATGATAGCTTTCTTGAGATCTGCTTGGACCAACCTCCAGATCTGCACTCCATATTAACACTGAATTCCACAATGCTATTGTAGATTTTTATTTTGGTGTCACGGCTGCGTTTCCATATATATTGCTTTGCTTACTTGTATGTACATATTCCATGTTACTTATACATTGCAGTGATGTTCTTGTCCTCTTCAATGTTGCTTCTCCTTGTTATTTCCTGTATATGGCATTGCTGATAACTGTCATAACTCTTGTTTTCTCCTTTATTGATGTGTAGGCCAATGCTTGGTGCTACTTTATAAAGTTTGTCTGATTTTCTTTGCCTACACTTTCTGTTACTTGATATTAGGCAGATGTCATTTATTTTGATGTTGAAGTTAAAAATGTAAGTATGATATGAATTGTTTCTGTGGAATGACAGAATATTAATAAAATATGCAAGCTCACTCATGAGATTGTGAACAATTTTTATTAGCTAATGCTCTATGTGCTATATTAAGTTTCCTTTTTTCCCCCAAGAAAATTAGAATAGGTTTAAAAACTGTTAATATACCAAGAAAGTAATGCTCTCACTAATGGAAAAATTGACAAGCAAATATGTGTTGTGAATCAATCAAGGTAATGCTTTAATCAATAAAAGTAGAATTATTTCATTTTTTTAAAGGAAGTATTTTAATGTTTCATATAAAATGTACTGAAAATTCATTCTGAAAATATTAAGAAATTTTAAAGCTAACAAGCTCAAGCAGAACTGTGTGCTGAATTCTAATGGTCTAATACATAAAGTTCTTCTGTTTACATGTATTTGAACTTTAATGAAATAAATTTGATGAAAATTCCTATTGCATGGTACAAAAGATGAAAGGCTTAGAAACATGCATGCGTGTGCTATTAAATCTGGTTGATTCTTCAATGAGAATAACTTTATTTTTTGCCAGATTGCAGAGTTGTCCACCTTTTTGTTCATATGAACCCTTTAAGATTGACCAGGATTTTAATATTTGATCTTGAAATCGATGAATTATAAGTGAAGAGTTCTTTTTTGTGACCTTTTATGATGATTAACTTAATCATCATTTCTATAAAGTAAAAAAGTTAAAATGTAATCAGTACCATCCACATTGTAACATTCTCGGATAAATATCGTGTACTGTTTAAATGACTTGTATTTTTAAAAAAAAAATTTGCATTTAGCTCACCTGAGCTGAAAGCTCGAGTGAGCTTTTCTGATCACCCATTGTCAGGCATCTATCTGTTTGTCCATAAAGCTGTACATCAGTCCAAATGTATAGATTTTACACATTTTATAACTTCTCCTTAAGAACCAATAAGCCAATTTTAACCAAAGTTGGCATAAAGTATCCTTAGGTAAAGGGGATTCAGAATTATTCAAATGAAGGGTCAAACCTTTTTTCAAAGGGAGGTAATCAAGAAAATGTAAAAATAGGGTGGGGTCATAAAAAATCTAAAGTACCACTGAGTGAGAAGAAAAGATAAAACCTTAGATTCAGTTTTTAAAGTCATCTTAAAATTTCATGTAAGTAAATTACAGTCCAATTTTAACTTCATTTGGAATTTGAATGGGACTTTGGCAATGACCTAGGTGACTGGCAGAGCTTTTTTTCATTTCATTAAATAGAACTGCATGATCATAAAGAACTTAATCAATTCTATCTGTTTTATTCAAGAATACTTTGCAGTCTGACCATATCATCTCTAAATGCTTATTATTCCATTTATATATGCATTGAATTTCAAAATACTGTAGTTATAAATCACTGCCTGTTTTAGAACCAATATATTTGAAAGTGTGCCAAACATTAATTCTATCTATGGACATGTTCCAATTGCCAAATTCTGACTAAATCAAATCTTTAAATGACTTTAATTTTCAGTTCGATATCTATATTAAGTTCTTTACAATGAATTCATTACAATGAATCATTACTGAAATCCTCCTAAGAATTAAGTTTTGAAATTATTTGAAAATTTTATAGTACTTTTTTCATTCCTCCATTATTCAATTGCATGCAGTATCTAACATTAGGAACTTTGAGATTTAATAAAAGAAATAGTTGTTTCATGATACAAAGCATAAAAATCTTAAATGATTAACTGATTTAATTTTCACATTTATCAGTTCTAGTGTACACATCAATATATCTTTGTGAAATTGTCACTGTGACATTAAATTTGAACCAGGTGTTTATTAAGTTTTGAATTAAAATTTACAACAGAATTGGAATACTGGTAATCAGACAAGCTAGAGTATATGTTGTGATTTTCAATTGTCTAAATGTGGATTCCACTTTTCCCAGGCAATACCATTAATATCTATAACTATCTTCTAATAGTACGACCTACCCCTCACCCAGGGGATGATGAAGCCACAAAAGAGTATAAATAAAATTGAAAGAACTATAAATGGAAATCTTAAATCTGAAAATTCTTTCCATATTGCAATGATAATGAATTTTTTTTTATAAGGAACATAAAAGTATGAGTAGATAATGTATTTTGTAATATCTAAATTTGTACCTTTGTCTGACTTTGAGGCTAAAAGATGATCAAACAGTTAAGAATAGAAAATTATCTCAGGTTAACTGTGTGGTCCACAGGCCTCTTGTTGATGTATATTTTGCACAAAACATTTTTTTCCTTTGATCCCAGTGTTTGTAGGGTTTTTATATTTCAGAAAAGCACTGTTTTTAAGGACACTTTTTAATTTGTTTTGGACAGGCTATAAGGAGAACCATTGATAAGAAGAATGTAGATGTCTACCTGATGTTTAACGATGAACTGAATGCTGTGAAGAAGGAACTCACCAACAAAGCCAAGTCTGCCATTCCCTGGCATCCAAAGTTTGCCGGACAAGCTCTGTGGGCCAGGCAGCTAAAGAGGAGGATTGAGAGGGTCATGATGGTTCGTAATGTTCTCCTGAAATCTGTCATGTTTTAATGACTTTGCTCGACTAGAATGATTGTTGAGATCTGATTACATTTTTTATGGTCCTGTTCTGATACTGTAAACATGGAAACTTTGACGATATAGAAACATCAGTATTCTAAATCTCTTCCAGTTTCTCATCATCAATAAAAAGATATTTTTATTTAATACTAGAAATTAACAAGTTTTCAGCCCATCATTTAATCATGTTGAAAGAATATTTTCCTCTTAAACTTTTTGTTTTGCCGTATAGGGTACAATGATGAGCTATATAATTCAAGTAAATATATTAATACCGTAATACATGTACCCTTGAATAACAGAATACTTTGCTGACATGACAGGTAAAGTTAACAGCTCTAATGAGTGATGTTTTGTTACAGGTTCTGGACAGAGCATTCTTTCTACCTCCCACAGGGAAGAGTGAAGAAGTGAGGACCCAGTACCAGCAGCTATGTCAGGCTCTGGACGAGTACATCAGAAAAACATTCCACGAGTGGACGCTGACTGTCGACAAGGTGCAGTACTGGATCATTGTTTAGTTAAATATCAAAGATCATTTGAACAAAAGAGTAAATAAATATTCATCTTTAATGTGAGTTTTTTTAAGCCAACAAATTTAATTGTGCTCAAATATAAATAATATAAATTGTAATGAAATATTATTTGGTATTGTTGGTAGCAATTCTATATGCTTGGTGTACAAACATATTACTTTGCAGTATATGTAGAAAAAGTCAATTGAATAAAAAAAAAACATTGGGTAAACTTATTGCAGGAGCCTGAGAAGTTATTGGAAGTACCGCTAATGTGTAGAAGCTCTGAGAGACCCCCAATGTTGGATATCAACTTTAATAGGTAAGTGTTAGCAGATTGGATGAATAACTTTAGTACTTTGCTAGGAAGCATAGATGTTAGACTTATTTAAAATCATTATCATAAGTGTTCAAAACTAAAATGTATCAAACACAAAAATATACAAATCCCACTGAAGATGCCTATATTTAGGGTGTATGTTTTGTGTTTGATAGAGGCTTGCTGAAGATGTTCCAGGAGATCCACTACTGGGAGAGGCTGATGTTTGAGATTCCTCATTATGCTACAAATGTGTACAACAAACGGGAGGATCTAAGATCTCTCCGAGAACATGTCCTCCTTGTTGTAAGGGACTACAACAGGTCAGTATGAGAATGCACAAGACATCTTAAAAATTGTACTCCTGAAAAATCAAATTTTCATGGTAAAGTAAGGGTGTGGTAGATATAGCTTCACTACTTATTCCTTTAGTCTGTGACCTGTAGGGGATTTTTGTCCTTTTTGGGCATAATGACTCATAGTACTCATTATGATTAAAAAGGAACTTATAAACAATTGCTTCTTATTCATTTTTAGCTCACCTGAGCCGAAGGCTCAAGTGAGCTTTTCTGATTGAAATTTGTCCATTGTCTGTCGTCGTTGTCATAAACTTTTCACATTTTCATCTTCTTCTCAAGAACCATTGGGCCAATTTCAACCAAACTTGCCACAAAGTATCCTTGGGTAAAGGGGATTCAAGTTTGTAAAAATGAAGGGCCACACCTTCTTCCAAGGGGAGATAATTATGAATTCATGAAAAATTAATGGCATCATTTAAAAATCTTCTTCTCAAAAACCACTGTGCTTGAAAATATGAAACTTATATGGAAGCATCCTCAGGAAGTGGAGATTCAAGTTTGTTCAAATCATGACCCCTGGGGGTAGGGTGGGGCCACAATGGGGGATCAAAGTTTTACATAGGAATACATAGGAAAAATCTTTAAAAATCTTCTTCTCAAGAACAGCAAAGCCATGATGGGTCATATTTATATGGAAGCCTCCTCAGGTAGTGTAGATTCAAGTTTGTTCCAGTCATGACCTCCAGGGGTAGGGTGGGGCCACAATGGGTGATCAAAATTTTACATAGGAATATATAGGAAAAATCTTTAAAAATCTTCTTCTTAAGAACAGCAAACCCATGATGGGTCATATTTATAGGAAAGCATCCTCAGGTAGTGTAGATTAAAGTTTGTTCCAGTCATGACCCCCGGGGGTAGGGTGGGGCCACAATGGGCGATCAAAGTTTTACATAAGAAAATGTAGGAAAAATCTGTAAAGATCTTCTTCTCAAGAAAAGCAAAGCCATGATTGGTCATATTTATATGGAAGCATCCTCAGGTAGTATAGATTCAAGTTTGTTCAAATCATGACCCCCAGGGGTAGGGTGGGGCCACAATGGGTGATCAAAGTTTTATATAGGAATATATAGGGAACATCTTTAAAAATCTTCTTCTCAAGAACGGCAAAGCCATGATTAGTCATATTTAAATGGAAGCATCATCAGGTAATGTAGATTCAAATTTGTGCAAAATGATCCCCCCCCCCCCAAACCAGTTTTATATTTGAACTTTTCCTGACTGAACTGATTTCTGCTTTTTCCTAGCCAGAGTGCTCAGGTGAGTGATGTGGCCCCTGGGCCTCTTGTTGAATAAATACAACAATAAAAAAATCTCCATTGATTTTAATGGTAGTCATTTCTTATCCAAAGTGCCATATCTTATATGACATCCTGCAATCTTTTGTTTCTTTTAGGATCATAGCTGCATTATCCTTGGAAGAAAGAGGATTATTCAGAGAGAGAATCCGATTCCTGGACAAGAAAATACACCCAGGACTTACAAAATTGACTTGGGCTTCCAAGGGAATTTCGGACTATTTTGTGACAGATTGTCGGATTAATGCAGCCAAAATCCAAGCAATGGTGGATGACTACAAGGGAGCTAACCAGGAGATCTCTACAATGTGTGTCAAAATTAGTGAACTGTCCCTGATCAAGATTGACAACAGAAAAGTCTATGAGAATCTGGAGTTTGATGAGGAACAGGTGAGAACTGAGAATCAGTAATCAGGTCAAAGAAATCATAAAATATAAATCAGGGGAACTTTTTTTCTTGATTTGTATCAAGGTATAGTAATAAAAATGTAAAATTGATGAAAGAAGATTTGTTAGTATGGCTTTTAGTTCTGTCAGTTTGTCCAGATGCACACAGAGGGTGGACATCAATAAATGTAAATTGTCAAAGACAGAGGTTCCAAACCCAGAGTCTTCAAGTGTTTTAGTTGTAGATTTTATTTACCTTTTAGTTTATATGATAAAATGTATATTTGGTCTGTTTCTTGCATATGAAGTAATTTTCTATTTGAACAGAAACTTGCTGCAATCTGGTTTGAATCAAACCCTGAAATTTCATTGTAGAAATAAATTATTTCTACCTTTATTATTTCTGCCTTATATCACAGATGACAAGGGTGATAACGAGGATCTTCATATTAATTCTTTTTGTGGCCTGAAGTGTGCAGAAGAATTGTTTTATGATATTACAGTATTTCTTATAATATTATTTCATGTTTTATGTAATTAAGGCAAAACATCGAGAATTCACCACTGAAAAGCTGAAGACTATGCATATGGAAATAGTTCGAGTCATGAAGAAAACATTTGAAATCTTCAAAACAGATGGACAAGAGGTAAGACAAACTCAATGAGAGTAGATTATAATGTAATTATTTTCATGAGATAATTCAAACTCAATAAGAGTGGGTGATATTAAACTATATTTATTTAAGGGAGATAATTCAAACTCAATGAGATAAGATTATTAATGTACAGTGAAATGTACTGTAAGGGAGATAACTCAACAATTGATAGTAGATTTAAATGTATTTTATGGAGAACAACTCTGTGCTCACTAAAATGCCTTTTCTTTTGGTAATTAGGACAATTTTCTTGCAGAGGATGGCAACAAAAAATTAGCAAACATCAAGGGATTAAATTTGAGATGAATGTTAAAACTTTAAAAAGAAATTAGTGATTTTAAAATTTTTGAGTTGCCTTCGGTATTTCATTGTTGTATTTCCTTAATTCACAATATCCATTGTAGAAGTCTGAAGTATTTTAGAATAGATAGCATTATGTTTTGTGTATATGTTAAGGTACAACAACATTGGGTGCGGTACTTGGAGAAGATGGACAGAATGGTAGAGGAGGCATTTAGACTGAATGTGAAATGGTCGCTACAAGAATTATCCAAGGCAATCAATGGTGACGGCAAGTCAGCTCCCAACCCGCTGTTCCGTGTGAAAGTCTGCTTGCAGGGAGACAAGGTAACGTTTTGCATAACTATCAAGTACGTTTTTCTTCAATAATCAGATACATTTTTCTTCTGTAATCAAGTACATTTTTCTTCTATAATCAAGTGCATTTTTCTTCAATAATCAAGTTTGTTTTTCTTCAACACTTGTTTAAGCATTTCTAAGTGCTACTTCTTATGTGTGTATTTGTGTGATTGAATTATTATCTGTATGTTGTAGGTTGAGTTTCAGCCCACACTAAAGCAGTTGGCCGCTGTGATTGGAGGAATTGGCAGTCAGCTGACTAATTCTATCAAAGGAATCAACAGACTCCCACTAATACTGGCCAAAAAGAAGTCAACAAAGGAGGTATGTTATCTAGTGACAATTGTTTGGTCTGTTTGCTTATTTAACACATCTCTTTCTTTGCAAATATAAAAACAAATCATGCTTTATATGTTACTTGCAGCCTATATTTGCGGTAATAGCATCTGATGAAGAAACCAAAAAGATACAAACTGTCATCAATCAAGGTATGGCAACAAATGCTCAGAACCTGCAGAATTACCTCAGCACTTGGGACAACTACAGAGAGATTTGGGAGATCAATAAAGATGCCTTCATTAGGAGATATCAGAACCTCAACCCACAGGTGGCTTCCTTTGATGCTGATATTGCTAGGTCAGTCACTTTATATAGTCCTTTTTGTGTCAGTTAAAAATTGTTTGGCTAGGTTCCAAAATTGTCTGGCCAGGTTCCAGGCAAAGACTGGTGAACAAAAAGTGTGTGAAGAAATTCTTTTTGTTTTATTGACTTCTTTAGTTATTTTATTGTCAGAGTGCTACTTTTCACATATATGCCCAAGGGCCTGTTCAGGTCATCTGATACACTCTGTCAACATCACTGTTCATCTATACATTTGTCACAAACTTTGTTGTAACTTGAATAGAAAGGTGTAAGCAATGCTTACACTTAATGCAATAATGTTTTTTTAACTGAAGGTCTGTGGACAAGATTAGCATAAACAGGTGGAAAATTCATAAGTTCGTAAATTGTTTGATTTATGCTACATTAAATAAGCTTTTTATTAGCTAACCTGAGCCAAGTCAGTTTTTATTTTTGTAACAATATACACTTTTGGATTGGATTAGGTATGATGAGGTGGCCAATAATGTCCAGACCCAGGAGACCATTTTAAACATACAGTTTGTTCTTCTGGACTGCTCTCCTTTGAAGTATGCCATTCTTAGTCACTGCACTGAGTGGCAAAACAAATTTACCACTTTACTCAGTACCATCGCCACTACTCGACTCAAGGAGCTACACACATTCCTTAAAGAAAATGGAGAGAAGTAAGATATTTTATCATTAATCAATATTCTTAAATCTGATTAATAATGACTTTTAATTAGATTTCATACTGAGTAGGTGCAAAGTTCTGTATAATCGCATTTTATTCGCTCACCTGAGCTGAAAGCTCAATTGAGCTTTTCCGATCACCAATTGTCCGACTTTCTTACCAGAATTGGTGCAATGCATCCCTGGGTAAAGAGGATTCTAAATTATTAAAATCAAGGGGCATACCTCCTTCCAAGGGGAGATAATCAAGAAAAGGCAAAAAGTAGGAAGGTATCATTAAAAATTCTTCTGAAGACCCACTGGACCAGAAGAGCTGAAACTTATATGAAAGTTTCCTGAGGTAGGGTAGATTGTACGTTGTTCAAATCATGCCACTTGGGGGTAGGGTGGGGGCACAATAGGGAATTAAAGTTTTACATTGAAATACATGTAATTATATAGGAAAAATCTTTAAAAATCTTCTCAAGAACCACTGGACCAGTAAAGCTGAAACTTATATAGAAGCTTCCTGAGGTAGTGTAGATTGTAAATTGTTCAGATCATGATCCCTGGAGGGTAAGGTGGGGCCACAATGGGGATTATATGGGGGAAAATGTTTAAAACTCCTCAAGTACAGGAAAGCCATGATGAATCATATTAAGGCCATAATAAAATAATCCTAGATTCTTAACCAAATTTTTTTTTAAAAATTAAGGCGGGCAGAATTTATTTTATATTTTTATTTTCTCCAATGTCCAAATTTTTTGTTGACCTGATCAATCCATGCAGATTTATCTATATTATGCCGATTAAAAGTCATAGTAGAGGTCCATTTAAATATGCATATCTCTTTACTACACAACATCACCAATCTTTACAACCAATGATCCTTATTAAATGCATATTACAGCAATTACCATCTGTCAGCTGTCCCAATCACACTGACAATCATGGGATTTAAAAAGAAAGCTGAACGGTAGTTGAATAATCCCAATCAGAATCAAGACAAAGAAAAAAAAAAAAATAAAGGCAAGGGTAAAAAAAAATCAGGGTGGGCGGGGACGAGAATCTAGGATTTTTTAAATTATGGCCTAATATAGAAGCATCCTCTGGTAATGTAGATTCATTTTTGTTCAAATCAGGGCCCCTTTGTATAGGATGGGGCCACAAAAGGTGATCAAAATTTTACATAGAAATACATGTATTGGGAAAAAATTTGATGCAGAACTGGGTGCCAAAGTAAGTCAGGTAAGCATTTTGGCCCATGGGCCTCTTGTTTGTGAAATCTTTCGATATTTCATGATATTATCTGAATATGTAAATAAAGTTCTGGTATGTAATAGTAAAAACTGACTCTTTTTACTGACTATAAAGTGGAGATCAGAAAATTACCTTTTAAAATAAATGCAAAAAAAATAAAGTCGCACAAAGCTTTAATAGTGATTTGCAGTATTTAAAGGGTGTCTGTCAATTTAGTGTCAGCAAACCACCACAGACATTGGATGAGCTAGGAGAAAGTCTTACCTTGTGGGAGAAGTTGAATGGTGGTTTAGCAGAGACAGAGGCCAAATTCCCACCTCTTCATGATCAATTCAGCATCCTGGAAAAATATGAAGTTGCAATCAAAGAGGATGTGACAACTATGTTATCTGAGCTCAGCAATGATTGGGTAGAATTCCAGCAGAAATTAATTGATTCTGAACAGATGCTTAAAAAACACAAGGTGAGGTTGCTATTCTTCATAATATACAAAATCAATATTTTATGAATCTAATTCATTAACTGAGGAAGTATAGAAGAAAAATTTATTAACAGAAGGTTAATTTATTTTGCCAGCTAGGCTGTAGTACAATGTTAAATGTAATGTTTTGAAATTCATTACAATACAAAAATTTGAAATAAAGCACAGTCAAACCTCGTTATCTCGAACTTAATGGAACCGAGAAAAAACTTAGAGATATCTGAGGATTCGAGATATCGAGGGTAAAATACTTAAAGGATAAGTGGATAAGTGGACTTCCAAGTCACTTCAACATATCAATGGTATTCAAGATACCAAAGTTCAACTGTTATTTCATAAATTCTTTGTCTTCAGGAAAAATTCAGAAGTGGATTGCTGGCCCAGTCTGAAGAATTCAAGAAACAAGTTCACAATTTGGTTGATGAATTCCAAACCAAAGGACCATTCACCAGTAGCATCGCCACAGCAGAGGCTCTGGAGAACATCAACAACATCCGATCTCAGATGGAGGCTCTAAAGAAACAAGAACAAGAGATTCGGAAAGGACTTAACATCTTCAAGATTGATCAACCACCATCAAAGGAGATTGCAAATCTAGAGAAAGTAAGAATGCCTAGTAAAAGAGGTTAACCCTTGACAGTACATGGAAGATTGGAACATAATTATAATGTGAGAAGGAGAAGTGTTTTACAGAATAGTGATGGGAAATTAGGAATTGGTACAGTGTTGATTGGAAAATTTGTTGCTTGTTTGTTTTTATGTCCCTTTTCTTGAATTTTTCACTCATAACTTGAGACACCACCTTTTACCAATGAAGGGCTGTAAAATTTAGGCCTTTACTCTGCACTCAGGGTCATTGAGCAATGAGGGATCTTTTTCGTGACAGCACATACTGTGACACGGGACCTCTGTTTATACAGTTTCATCCAAAGGACCGGTCTCCATGTCCTGCAGTGGGATTCGAACACGCGATGTAAGGATCAACTCCTTACTCTGCGACTCTAGAGCAAATGCTCTAACCACTGTGCCATGCGGGTGACGGAAATTTGTTGTACAGAGTGATGATGGGGAGTTGTTGTATAGAGTGTTGATGGGGAAATTTGTTGTACAGAGTGATGATGGGGAGTTGTTGTACAGAGTGATGATGGGAAGTTGTTGTTGTATAGAGTGGTGATGGGAGATGGGGAGAAGTTATTATAAATAGAAGATGGGGGGTGGGGAAGAGTGATCATGGAAAGTGGAGATAAGTTGTTATACAGAGTGGTGATAGGAAGTTGGAGAAGCTGTTGAAAGGAGTGAATCTGCATGGATAGGTGAATGATCCAATTGTTGGTTTTTGGCAATTGGAATATATATTACTTGAAATTCATGTAACTAAGTTGTGCTCTTTTTGGCTTTTTGGTTATAAATCCAAGGTTGAATTGTAAAAGCAGATCCAAAAGAGTTTAAAGAAGTCAAAATGAAGTTTTGAGGGATGTTTTAATATGTATTCATACAACCTTTCATTATATTGATATGATTACACTTCTCTCACATTTTAATGTAAAATATATAGAGTTGACCATGGATTAAGAATTGAAATACTATTATGTCAAATTGATTGTTATAACTGCTGTATTGAAGGATCTGGAGGTAATTGAGACTATTTGGAACCTGAACAAAGAATGGGAAGGCCTCTGGGGAGATTGGAAAGGGAATCAGTTTACTCAGCTTCAGACTGAAAATATGGAGACTTCCTCACAGACAATATACAAGAAACTGAACAGGATGAGCAAAGAATTAAAGGTAAACCTATCACTTATAGAATGGGGCTTAGTTTACCTATGGATGACTGTTTTTTGTGATAACCCTTTTAATGGTAAAAAAAAATGTGATGGAAACAACGCATTTTTCCTTCTCCTGTAGGATAAGAATTGGGAAGTTGTGGAAACAAGCAGGAACCGTGTGGATCAGTTTAAGAGAACAATGCCACTGATTACTGATCTAAAGAACAAAGCTATGCGGCCACGTCACTGGGACAAAATCCAGGTAAATCACATTCAATTGTACACAACATGAAGGAATAATATGTGTGTAATCAATTTATGATGCCTTTTTAAATAGAAAAAGACTTCCTCAAGATTTTTTTTTTTAAATTAAGTTTCAATTCTTGTAGGTTCTAATCCACCTATATTAATATTGATTATTGTATGTTAATTATTTCTTCTTTCAGACTGAGATGCAGCGTCAATTTGATCACAAATCAGAAGACTTCACTTTGGAAAAGATCATAGAATTTGGATTTGATCAGTATGCTGAAACCATTGGTGACATATCTGGTGCTGCAACCAAGGAATTGGCAATTGAACAGGTGAAAATATCATCTGCTTTGAAAATCGTATCTTTTAAGGTAATTGAGATGTTTTTCAATCAGAATTCCATCGTTTTTTATCTTTAGGGTCTGGAAGCTATTGCCAGAACATGGGAGAGTACAGAACTGGATATAACATCGTACAAAGACAGGGGTCATTTCAAAGTCAGGTGAGGGTTGTTTGTATATTCTACTGATTATGATTCCTCTACTACACATATTACCTGGCTCCTACTTCCACATGTAGAATTACTGTGATCATTTTTATACCCTACCATGAATATGTATGTATATAATGGTACTTTGTATTTGTCATTTCCATCTTCAGTCCTTCTGTCTGTCCTTCCTTCACACTTTGCATTTAGCTCAGTTTCAAAGAAACTATACAAGATATTTTATCAAACTTCATTTGCTGATACATATTGATGAGAGCTATTCAAGTGCATCAACATTTTTTTACCTTGACCTTTTCTTTGACCATGACCTTTTCTTTGACCTTGACCCACTTTCTCAAATTTGTGTATAGCTCAGTTTTAAAGACACTTTTCTAGATATTTTTTTATGTAAGCTTATGCATTGATACATTATTTGGTGAAAATTTATCAGTTGTCCAATTTTTTTTTTACCTTAACCTTCCCAATGACCTTTGACTCTACTATTCATTGTGTATTAAACTCTGTTTTAAAGAAACTATTCAAGGTATTTTCATAAAACTTTATACACATAGTCTAATACAAATTTTTATGTTGCTTTACTAATGAACCCTGGTGGGGCATTCATGTCCTATGGACATATTTCTAGTTTTAATTATGAGAATCTATGGGTAGGTATACCCCTGATTTTTTTTTTTTTTTTTTTTTTTGTTCTTTCTGAGTTTTTAAATCTGAGAAATTTATAATATTTTTGAGTAAATTCTGTAAATTATAATTGCAAAGTCAGTAAAATATGTTAGTGCCTTTTGAGTGAGGGGTCTAATTTATTTTTTGCTGGGAAATATCAGTACAGAAAAATAATGGCCACAAACTTTGATTTACAGGAGTACAGATGATGTGTTCACAGCTCTGGAGGACAATCAAGTCCAACTCTCCACAATGAAAGCCTCAAGATTTGTCAAGGCCTTTGAACAGGAAGTTGATAAATGGGAAAGGACTCTGTCTCACATCCTGGAAGTAGTAGAGATGCTGCTTACTGTTCAGCGACAATGGATGTATCTCGAGGTATGTTAAACGGTTCACTGGGATTGTATATGTCTTAAAGAGTTCATAGGTAATACATGTATATCTATCTTAAGGTATGTTAAGTGGCTCATAGGTATTATATTATGTATTATATTAAATGATTCCTTCAGAGGTATATGAAAGATCTTAAGTTGAGGTGGTTAAAGAGGTTCATAGGCATTAATGTATCTTGATTATATTTTCATGGTTCATAAGCTTTGAATGTATCTTGACATTTATTAAGTGATTCATTTCATACATTTTTAAATTATTCATAGTCGATGAATGTATTAAGAAATACATTATCTTATGTTCAGTGAAATCAGCTGTAATATTCCGTGTGTCTTTTGAAATGTGTAGTTTTATAGTCAGATGTAGTCAAGGCATAATTCATCACTATTTTTTTTGTTTGTTTTAATGTTCATTTTATAAAATGTTTCTACCATATTTAAATAATTACAGAATATCTTCCTGGGAGAAGACATCAGGAAACAGTTACCACGGGAGTCGGCAGACTTTGATGACGTTAATGCCAAGTGGAAAGTCATTATGACTAGGCTGAACAAGGACCGGAATGCCCTGAGAGGAACTCATCATGAAGGTAAAAAAATCACCAAGATTCTAGTAGAAATGTCAAGTACTAGTTGTATAATTTCCCTGTTTCTGCCCTCATTTTCAGAATTATTGTAGAAACTCACATTTAATGTATATTTTAGTTAAATCAGGAAATGTCTGTAAGTCTTGTATAAAGGAAAACAAATTGATAATTAATCTAGACACCTCTATCCCAAACAAATATATAATTAATTTAGACACCTCTGTCCCAAACGAATTCTTTTGAATAAATGAATCTCTTCAGGAAGTCTCAAAATGTACACATAAAACAACCACACATACAGAGAAAAACAAACATCTTGGAAACTGTAGATAACAAAGTTTGATTTGCCATTGCCTTCATGCTACATTTTATATTTATGATAGATCACCAGAAATCTTTCATTATCATTCCTGATCTTCACCTTGACAAAATTTAAATTCTCTATCTTAAAAATTTGAAAAGCTATATGGATATATTGAAAGTTGTGTCAGCACCCACATGTTTTTGTAACTGTTATTTTGTGTTATTTTGGGACAGGTTTGCTTGAGGAACTGAATGACATGAATGTGAAGCTGGAGGAGATTCAGAAATCACTGGACATGTATCTGGAAACCAAGCGTCAGATCTTCCCACGATTCTACTTCCTGTCTAACGATGACTTATTAGAAATTCTAGGACAGTCCAAAAATCCCAAAGCAGTTCAGCCTCACCTCAAAAAATGCTTTGACAACATCAAGAGCTTAGATATGAACAAGGTAAAGCTGACTAAGTTTGTAGAGACAATGTAGTCACAGATTTATAATTTGTATCACAGATATAGATATAAATTTGATCTGACAAAGTGTTGCTTTGTATTATAGCCTGGACTGAAATGGGAGGCTAATGCTATGATATCCTCAGATGGAGAAGTGGTGCCCTATGAGAGGCCTGTTTACTTGGATGGCCCGGTTGAGGTAGGAAAAAAGTCTTCAGTGGCATCAAAGCAGTGTCTCAATTGTATTGTGCATTCTTTAAGGGAATGTATCTACTGAAGGCAGTACTGGAAATAAACAACATTTTTGCTATACCCACTTAATGCTATCTTTCCAATCAGTTTTAGGTGATTGCTATTATATTTCACTCCATTCAATGTCTATCAGGTATTTAACAACATATCAGTGTTTACCGGTATTTGTTTTAGTCTTGGTTATGTGACGTGGAGAAGACAATGAGATGGACTTTACAAGATGAACTTAAGAAATGTAAAGGAAATTTAAAACAAAAGCATGGAATGACAAAGAGAGACAAGTGGATTAAGGACCATCCTGGTCAGTTGTGTATTACAGCCAGTCAGATTCAGTGGACAGCTGATGTCGAGAAAGCCCTGAGGCTGACCAAAGACAGAGGAGACAAGAAAGCACTCAAAACCATGAAAAAGAAACAAGTAGCCATGTTGAACAAGCTGTCTGAAGCCATCCGAGGAAAACTTGAAAAAATGCAGCGTTTGAAAATTGTGGCTCTTGTGACCATTGAGATTCATGCTAGAGACATTATTGAGAAACTAATTAAAGGGGGTGTGTCTGATGAAAATGCCTTTGAATGGCTGAGCCAGCTGAGACTTTACTGGGAAAAGGTGATTATTGCCGATATGGCAAACATGCAAAGTATTGATGTATCATTCGTGTAAGCACTGGTTGTGGTAGCTTTAACATTAGAGAGCAAAGAGCATACAAATCAAGGGTACCTTGTTCATTTACTATCTATTTCTATATTTTGTTATAGCCCCCAATCGATAACTGTGTTGTGAAGCAGACTAATACACAGTTCCCTTATGGCTATGAGTACCTGGGAAATTCTGGTCGTCTAGTCATCACCCCACTCACTGACAGATGTTACGTTACCCTGACAACAGCACTTCACCTCCATCGAGGAGGGAGTCCTAAAGGCCCCGCAGGAACAGGAAAAACAGAGACTGTCAAAGATTTGGGCAAATCCCTGGGCATGTACGTCATTGTTGTCAACTGCTCCGAGGGTTTGGATTACAAATCTATGGGCAAAATGTTCTCAGGTCTAGCCCAGGTATGTTTATGTGAATGTGTACTTTGTGATACACAGATTGACTTTTTTAAGATCTCCATCAAAGCCATTATATATCTGGTTGTCAGTTGCTAATTGGTGACAAGACTTTTCTTTAAGTAACCATTCATCATTTATGTTCAAGTTATTTTAGAAATAGATTGAATGAACATATTTCTTACAGACTGGTGCATGGGGTTGCTTTGACGAGTTTAACAGAATCAATATTGAGGTGCTGTCTGTAGTTGCCCAGCAGATCCTGGCCATTTTACTGGCCTTGTCAACTGGACAAGCCAGATTTGTGTTTGAGGGAAGAGAAATTGATCTGGTGTGGTCTTGTGGAATCTTCATCACAATGAATCCAGGTGAGACACCTATTTATATGATATACAGCATCACTGGTCATTTTTGCGGGTTTCCTGTTTTTACAGAATTTTGAACTTTTATCAAAATTACAACAACAACAAAAAAAATAAAATTGCAAAATATTCAAATCTATCTTTCTGGTATTCCATTTTGAATGAAATCGCATAAAGTGCAAACTTGAAAATTAGAATGGTAAATTTGAATTATTGAGAATTGCAAAAAAAATTGAACCCCAGCCATGATTCATTAAACCGATTTTTCTACAGTGTGTTTTGATATGACATGTTGTGACACTGGCTGATTGACCTGACTAATCTGTGTTTTCTAGGATATGCCGGTAGAACAGAATTACCAGACAACTTGAAATCCATGTTCCGTCCCATTGCTATGGTTGTTCCAGACTCTGCCATGATCTCTGAAATCATTCTGTTTGGAGAAGGCTTTGGAAATACCAGGGTACAAGATATTCTCTTATGTTGAATAAAAAAGAAATTGAATTTCCTTCCCTCTGATTTCAAAAATAATTCTCTATGCAATAGTAGAGCACAAGGAAATACACAAATCCTTAAAATTTTTCTTTGCAGGTTCTTGCCAAGAAAGTGTACACTCTGTATTCCTTGGCCGAGCAGCAGTTGTCCAAACAGGATCACTATGACTTTGGTTTACGTGCCTTAGTGTCCGTGTTGAGATACGCAGGTGCCAAGAAGAGGTCCAATCCCAACATGCCTGATGAAGAGGTTTGTTAATGAAATTTGGAACATTTTGGAACATAGTTCGAAATTTTTTAGCTCACCAGAGCTGAAAGCTCAAGTGAGCTTTTCTGATCACCCGTTGTCCGTCGTCCGTCCGTCTGTCCGTCTGTCCGTCCGTCTGTAAACTTTTCACATTTTCAACTTCTTCTCAAGAACCACTGGGCCAATTTTAACCAAACTTGGTACAAAGTATCCTTGGGGGAAGGGGAGTTTAAATTGTTAAAATAAAGGGCCAAGTCCCCTTACAAGGGGAGATAATCAAGAAAAGACAAAAATAGGGTGGGGTCATAAAAAAATCTTCTTCTCAAGAACCACTGGGCCAGAAAAGCTGAAACTTATATGGAAGCATCCTGGGATAGTGTAGATTCTAAATTGTTAAAATCATGACCCCCGGGGGTAGGGCGGGGCCACAATAGGGAATCCAAGTTTTACATTGAAATATATAGGAGAAATCTTTAAAAATCTTCTTCTCAAGAACCACTGGGCCAGAAAAGCTGAAACTTATGTGGAAGCATCCTGGGGTAGTGTAGATTCTAAATTGTTCAAATCATGACCCCCGGGGGTAGGGCGGGGCCACAATAGGGAATCCAAGTTTTACATTGAAATATATAGGAGAAATCTTTAAAAATCTTCTTCTCAAGAACCACTGGGCCAGAAAAGCTGAAACTTATGTGGAAGCATCCTGGGGTAATGTAGATTCTAAATTGTAAAAATCATGACCCCCGGGGGTAGGGCGGGGCCACAATAGGGAATCCAAGTTTTACATTGAAATATATAGGAGAAATCTTTAAAAATCTTCTTCTCAAGAACCACTGGGCCAGAGAAGCTGAAACTTATGTGGAAGCATCCTTGTGTAGTGTAGATTCTAAATTGTTCAAATCGTGACCCTCGGGGGTAGGGTGGGGCCACAATAGGGAATCCAAGTTTTACATTGAAATATATAGGAGAAATCTTTAAAAATCTTCTTCTCAAGAACCACTGAGCCAGAAAAGCTGAAACTTATGTGGAAGCATCCTGAGGTAGTGTAAATTCTAATTTTTTCAAATCATGACCCCCGGGGTTAGGGCGGGGCCATAATAGGGAATACAAGTTTTACATTGAAATATATAGGAAAAATCTTTAAAAATCTTCTTTTCAAGAACCACTGAGCCAGAAAAGCTGAAACTTACGTGGAAACATCCTCAAGTAGTGTACACTCTAAATTGTTCAAATCATGACCCCGGGGATGGGGGGGGGGGCACAACAGGGAAACAGGGAATCCCAAGTTTTACATTGAAATATATAGGAAAAATCTTTAAAAACCTTCTCAAGAACCACTGGACCAGAAAAACTGAAACTTATGTGGAAGCATCCTGGGGTAGTGTAGATTCTAAATTGTTCAAATCATGGCCCCTGGGGGTAGGGCGGGGCCACAATAGGTATTACATGGGGGGAAGTCTGGTAATAAACAGCATGGCCAAAGTTACTCAGGTGAGCGATGTGGCCCATGGGCCTCTTGTTAAACAAATTAGTTTAGTGCTTTTGTTTTCTTTGTGTGTTTGAATTAATAAAGATTAGCTTTACTTCAAACTTTACTGCAGATATGAAAATTTAGAATTTTTTCATTGAATGGAATACTCTGATTAGCTGCAAAAAGGAATGTAGCACTTTAAACAAAGTACGTGGCATGTTTTACAGATCTTACTCCTGTCCATGAAGGATATGAATGTGGCTAAGCTTACATCCACAGATCTGCCACTGTTTAATGGCATTATGTCGGACCTTTTCCCAGGAATAGAAACTCCCACCATTGACTACTCGGAGGTAACCTACTTCGTTTCAACAAGAAGATAGTTCAATTTTCAACATAGAACTGTGTTAATTCAACTTTCAAAAATTGCATATGTATGGAATTCAGAGCCTTCTGTCTCCAGTGTGAGATCTACATATATAATTTCATTGTTTCTTATGTTTTAAATGATTTTCTTCCTGCAAATTTTTGACAAGTCTCAAGACATTTTCTTAAATTTTAACGATGGATCAAAAACATGTCTTGATCTAGATTGGTGATTATTCTTACCTGATAGTTTGGGAATTTTTTGTGAATTGGTTTAAATTTCACTATTAAATAAAATCAAATACTGGTAGTGAATAAAGTTATCAGATCATAGAGTAAAATATCTGTCAGAAGGCTCACATCTATAATGTGAAACTAAAACCATTGTGATTGATACCCTAATGTAACAAATCATGAAATTTTGGACCCTGGAATAATATTGATGTACAGCATATCATGTGACATCCCCCCCCCCCCCCCCCCCCCCAAAAAAAAGGAAAAAAATTCTTATCGTGTTTACATTATGACTTCAGATGAAGAAAGCTATTCAGGCGGAGCTAAAGAATAACAGTCTGCAGGTCAACACCCATACAGTAACAAAGATCATACAGCTGTACGAGACAAAGAGCTCTCGTCACTCTGTGATGATTGTGGGTGGTACCCAGTCAGGAAAAACAGTTAGCTGGCGAATGTTACAGTCGGCCATGACAAGACTGAACAAAGAGGGAGCGGCTTATCAGGCAGTCAAGGTAAATCTTACTCTAGGCCTGTAGAAAGGGGGAAGTTCAGAAGGGGGGAGGGAGAGGCATTCTGTCTCGGAAGTTACTGATACTTTGGTAATGGACTATCCTATAGAAAGCTCAGAATTTTGCATTGTGCCACTTGAATAGTTTAAAGGTTGAAGTTTATGAAATTTGATTGAGTCTAAATATCTCTTTTATTTTTGATTTAATTCAGCATATGATTAGATGAGCATTGAAGATTCATTTATGTTTTTTTTTAAATGTTAATTCATTTATCCTTATATAGAGGTTAATTATTTCAGGACTTTCCTCTGAATCCCAAGTCTCTGTCTCTAGGAGAGCTTTATGGTGAATTTGACATCAATACAAATGAGTGGACAGACGGTGTACTGTCAAGTGTGATGAGGCAGACCTGTGCAGGTTAATATCTAACATTCACAGATTTCACTGTATACGGCTGGCATTTTAAAGTAATTTTAATAATTAAGTGTTTGTTGATTAGATGAGAAGCCAGATGAGAAGTGGCTGGTCTTTGATGGACCAGTGGACACTCTTTGGATAGAAAGCATGAACTCAGTGATGGACGACAATAAAATTCTGACCCTGATCAATGGCGAGCGCATTGCTATGCCTGAACAAGTGTCTCTTCTGTTCGAGGTGGAGGATCTAGCAGTGGCTTCCCCTGCCACCGTGTCTCGATGTGGTATGGTGTACGCAGATTACCAAGACATAGGCTGGCAGCCATATGTAGAATCCTGGTTGGAAAAGAAAAAGGAGAATAAGGTAATAGACTATTTAGAAAAGATTTTCTTCCTCCTTATAAAATTTTTGGCCCTTATCAAAGTAATATTACCTTATATTTACATTTCCAAATATTTTTCCTTAAGATTCTTTGCAAATTAGAAAAAGTTCATATTCTCATGAACTACTGTTGGATAAGTAAGAAAATTACCATTGTGATGTGATTGAAGACAAAAAAGAGTGCAAACTTTTTCAAAAGTGATCATTGAATGACAAAAATATGTGGCAAGTCATCAGAAAAATAATGTAAATAAATATAAGATATGAATTTAATTTTTGAGACTTCATGAGGTGCATGAACTACAACGCTTCACATCCTGCATATTTATCATGAAGCGCTAATGCGCTTCATGAAATATGCAGGCGTGAAGTGTCGTAGTTCATGTCCTCATGAATTCTCAAAAATAAAATTCATCTCTTAAATTAGCAATGTAAGTAACAAGAAATGAATATTAATGGATTTTTTTTTTTACTATTATCAGCCTTTGGTGGAAGAACTCCGTAGACTGTTTGATAAGTACCTGGTTAAGATCCTGGAATTCAAGCGTGCAAACTGCAAGGAGTTGATTCCAATTGCACAGCTTAATGGTGTCTCATCTCTCTGTAAATTATTTGATGCCCTTGGAACAGTAGAAAATGGGGTAAGTTTGCTGTTCATCTTATTTTCCTCTTTCAAATTAACTTTTATGCTTCTTGTATACAAGCTGATATGGAACATTGTATGATTTTAAAAAAAAAACATGAGTTGACTGTATGCATCTTGTCATATTTTTATAAAGCAATTATTACATTTCCAATGGGACTTCTGATGGGAAAGTTTCACATTCATGTTTCAACTGAAGACTGCAGGGTCATATGTTGTATTTATATTTTAAAAAGTAAACAGCTAAAATCATGTTAAATGTTAGATTTCTTATGTGGTTAAGCTTTCAGCTTTGTTCCAGATCTAGGTCAAGGTCATACTAAGATACCAAGTTTCTTATATTTTAAAGTAAAATGGTAGTTTAAAGTTGGAATATAAATTATTTGTCACTGAATGCTAAAGTGAATGTTTCAAATATTTTATTTTAATAATAATAATGCAAGCTTAGTTTGCTTTATGTTTTTTTTTTTTATGAACTTGTGTTTGATTGCATTTGTACCTCTTATAAAAAAATCAGTACAGTAAAACTTGGTTATAGCAAAGTCCTTGGGACCTGTGAATTTACTTTGCTATATCTGTAATTCATTATATCCGTATAACGAATTTGTTAAAGTATATATATAACAAATTCGCAATATGCATCTTTTCCTTCAAGTAAGACTACCAAATATGTACTGGATGGTATTAAATAAAAATTTTCCTTGGGGTACTAAAGATTTCTGATGAATTGAATTTCAAATCTATATGGTTATGAAAAATAATGTCAGTCTAATTTTTCTGAATTTTAAGATTTTGATAATTCGCTTTAAGAGTTTGATTTTCTTTATTTTTAATCTCTATGTGACACAAAATCAGTTCGCTTTATTCGCAATTCGTTATATCAGAGTTCATTATAACGGTAATATTTTCCTAGGATTTGTTAAGAATTTGCTGGGGATTCCAAAAAACTTCGCTTTTACTGTATTTTCTAATCATTCCTCCTTCAGGTGGACCCCAATGACAGTGAAAATTTTGTCAGGATGGTGGAGCTGTGGTTCCAGTTCTGCATGATCTGGTCTATCTGTGGCTCTGTTGATGAAGATGGACGTAAAAAAATTGACAATTACATTCGTGAAATGGAGGGGACATTCCCCAACAAAGACATGATTTATGAATACTTTGTTGATCCTAAGGGCAAGACCTGGGTCCACTGGGAAGATAAGTTAAAGGCAGGGTGGAAATACCAGCCAAAGTAAGAAATTTAGGCTTCTGTATGGTGTTGAGAAGTTATTTCAATGCATGTTCAGAAAGGCATATTTCAAATCTAGCTTGTAGCAAACCATATTAAGTTTTTGTAACATATTGAATTTTTCAGATTGAGTGTTACTCAGAGGGATAATGTCTGCTGTAATCCACAGTGACAATTTCTTTTTTTTATTTCAGTGTGCCTTTCTTCAAATTGATAGTACCTACTGTAGACACAGTGCGTTATCAGTACTTGGTGTCCACACTTGTGCGCTCCTTTAACCCAGTCATGGTAGTAGGACCCGTGGGAACAGGAAAGACTTCCATGGTAGAAAACACTCTCTCCAAACTTGATCCAAAGACCTACAGCTTCCTTACAGTCAACATGTCTGCTCAGGTATAAAGCTTACCTTTTAATCAGGGATCCTGTTTTTATTGGATATTCTCAGAATTGTGAATGGAATGATCAATCTCAGACATCACATAGTTGTTATCAGTTTTGCTATGATCCTTTTGTTGTGTTTAGACCTCCTCCAACAATGTACAAGACATCATTGAGAGTCGTGTAGAGAAGAGAACTAAGGGTGTGTATGTCCCCATTGGTGGAAAGAAACTGTTGACTTTTATGGATGACTTCAACATGCCAGCTAAGGACACATTTGGCTCTCAGCCACCTCTAGAACTGATGAGACTTTGGTTAGATTATGGCTTCTGGTATGACAGAGAAAAACAAACCCAGAAATACATCAAGGTAAATTATTATTGTTAGATCTGAAAATTTTCATGCATAAAAGATTTCAGAATAATGTGCCTGAGAGTCTATTTTTATACTTGCTTTCTAGGACATGTTCCTATTGGCTGGTATGGGACCCCCCGGGGGTGGCAGAATGGTCATCTCAAGACGACTCCAGAGTCGCTTCAATCTCATCAACATGACATTCCCACATGTAAGTTAGACTGTTTACATTGACATTCCCACATGTAAGTTAGACTGTTTACATTGACATTCCCACATGTAAGTTAGATTGTTTACATTGACATTCCCACATGTAAGTTAGATTGTTTACAATGATGTTTCCACATGTACGTTAGATTGTTTCCAATGACATTCCCACATTAAGTTAGATTGTTTCCAATGACATTCCCACATGTAAGTTAGATTGCTTACAATGACTCTCCCATATGTAAGTTAGATTACAAGTTAGTTTTATTTAATATTACTGGGATATTTTTACTCTGCAATTTTTTCACTCTATTTACCTGTTGATATGGTGGATAGGCAAACACAATCTGGTCCTGACCAATATATCAAACCCAAGAATCTAAGGGAGCAAAAATTGCTCCAGACAAATTTTCAATAGGAAGATTTATAATATGATTGGAGAAAATTTCCTGATGCACACTTGTGGAATTGATGTAAATGGAATATTTTGCAGTTAGTAAAAAAAAAAACAATATTTGTAATAATGCATTGTCGCAAGCCACGGGTTTTGTGTCCATTCTATTTCCACAAACCCGTGGGTTTGTGGAAATAGAATGGACACAAAACCTGTGGCTTGCAACGATGGTAATAATGACCTGTGATTAAATAGCGATTTACTGTATCCTAATGGATTTTGTTATTAGGAGTCCCAGATCAAGAGAATTTTTGGAAGCATGATAAACCAAAAGCTGCAGGACTTTGAGGAGGAGGTGAAGCCTATTGGGGACATAATGACCCAGGCCACCATTGAGATGTACGAGGCAGTGGTTCAGAAGTTCCTCCCCACTCCAACAAAGATTCACTACCTCTTCAACTTACGGGATATATCCAAGGTTGCCTTGTCCTTCTATGGATTAGAGAACTTTTAAAACTATACATATACTTTTTCATTCATTTTGCTAATACTGTGATGAAAGCAAATAAATAAGACCATTTGAATTTCAGATTTTCCAAGGGCTTCTCAGAGCTCATAAGGATTTCCATGACACGAAACATGCCATGACGAGACTTTGGATTCATGAATGCTTCAGGTAATGTTCAAGGTGGTATCACATTGACCCAGCATGTTTTACAAAGATACTAATCCCCCCCCCCCCCCCCAAATAAATAAATTTCAATCTTCATTCTTCAATCTTCATTTAAGAAAGTATTTGTAATACTTGTGATTGTATTTTACAGGGTGTTTTCTGATCGTCTGGTAGAAGAGAGGGACACTGAGACATTTGTTAACTTGATGACAGAGAAGCTGGGAACACTGTTTGATCAGACTTACCATAATATATGTCCCAACAAGCAACCACCTATTTTTGGTGGGTGATATTTGAATTACTTATTCCAATTCAATTAAAATTGAAAAATTTGCAAAGAAAACAATTCCAGCTCATAAATATTTTTAGTTACAAAACAGGTTACAGACTTTTAAAGGTGTATTAAACAGGAAACCTTATGTTACTGGTTTCTTTTGTATGTAGGAGGTTACTTGAATCCAGACAATATCAGTCATTACTGAGTTTCCTGGATTATTTTGTTTGTAGGGGATTACATGAATCCAGACAATGTGTATGAAGACATTCAGGATATAAATCAGCTGAAGAAACAGATGACGGACTTTCTGGAGGAATATAACAGTACCCCCGGAGTGGTCAACATGGATCTGGTGCTCTTCAGGGATGCTATAGAACATGGTAAGGAGCTCTGTTTCATTTGTTTATAAATGATTGGGAATTATAGTATTCTTTAATTGGTCAAGTTTATCTTTACTATGGTGCATCTCAAAGTGAATTTGCCCCATTAATCATTAATCTGGTTTTGATTAATTGATATTGACTGGAGATATGGGTGTTCTCAAACAATATGTTTCAAATCTATGAAACTGAGTAGCATTTCACAAGCCCATATAGGGGAGAGGGTCATTTCCTATCAGCTTATTGTAGAAAATGATGATGGAAATTCTACAAAAAAAAAAAAACATTCTTACGCGGTAATAGCAATGCACATTTGCTTTAAAAAATATATTTATATGTATTCTAACTGCCACAGGATTTATAGTTGATTAAAATTTTGCCTGATTGTTTAAAGTAGATGGTACTGAGTTTTGATTTTGGTCTACTTGTAACATAATGGACCTTAACAGACATTGCTCAACCCTGGCCTTTGGTCTAACAGACCAGGGCCATATTGTCACAAGTAGATCAAAGTCAGTAGTAATATGTATAAAGTACTAGTTTCAAAAACAAGTTTCTTTTTATGGAAATGCCAATAAAGATGTTTCAAGATATATGAAATTTAACCTAGATGCTGGAATTAAAAGAGATGTTCAGACTAGGGTATAATGTAACATCTTTTGTGTCAGCAGTACCAACAGAAATGAATTTAAATCAATTTAATTCACAAAAAATGTATATCATTACTAATATGCAAGAATTCAAAACTTCAGAATCTTCATGTTTAATGCATAGATTTGGAATTTTTCCACTTCTGAGTTCTTTTAAGTGAATTAACTGAGTTGTTTGTTATACAGTGTCTAAGATTGTTCGAGTGATCCGTCAGCCCCGTGGCAACATGCTGTTGATAGGAATTGGAGGGAGTGGTCGACAGAGTCTAACCAGACTGGCAGCCTACATCTGTGAATATACATCATTCCAGATCGAGGTCACCAAACATTACCGCTCCACAGAATTCAGAGATGGTCAGTATTTGTTGACTTGCAGAGACCTATATTTTTGATAAATTTTAGGGCATATGTTTTTCACATTTTGATAGTAGTTTTCACACCACAATATACCATTTAATTCCCTTACCCTTAATCTTCAAAAGGTGAAAGTTTGAATGATAAAAAGTGTGATTACATGCACATTTAAACACATTTGATAGGAACTTCTCAATGGATATATTTTATCAAATTCTGATTATTTAGAACACATGGCCATCACTTTAAATTTTGGTAAAGGTTCAGATGATGATTGGAAACTTTTTTCTTTTTAACTTGTAATAAAGTTTATAATTTAATTTACCTTTTATCTAGAATTGTTACTCAGATAAATATATATAAACAAATTCTGTTGTGTAGATCTGAAGAGACTGTACTGGCAGGCAGGAGTGGACAATAAGACATCAGTGTTTATTTTTAATGACACCCAAGTGGTGGAGGAGGGATTTTTGGAGGATATTAATAATATCCTCAGTAGTGGGGAGGTGCCCAACCTCTACAAACCGGATGAATTTGAGGAGGTAACCCAGCACTGTGTCACCTGAACCTCAGTCACTGTGTTCTGTGTTTAGCTTGGCAGTCAAAACATAATCTTCTTGCATTGGTTTTATCAAGGAAGTCAGTTTATGTAATCTAGCATAGTTTTAAAAAACTGTGTGATGAAAATATATTGATAGTTTTGAACCATGTTAGCTGAGTTTACTGGTAATGTAAGCACTTCATGTTTTATAGAAGATGGGTTCCTGAATAAGCTTCCGTTGTTTGTGTGTTTTTCTGTGCACAGTGTTACATGTACCCATTGCCTTAACTATTATATGAGATGACTTACCTTTTCAAAATTCAGGATAGGTGAATGGAAGAGCACAGTGATTGAAGTCAATTATTATTTTTTTTAAAACATGCATTGAGGTGATGAATGTGAAAGCTTTTGTACCTACACATTATAGCTGTTGTGATGAATGTATCTGTTCACAATGTTGTAATTGGTGTGTGTTGGTAGACTAGAAATTTGGAGTGATGGAGATTAAGAATTGACCAATAACTGATGCACATTCAGAGCTCAACATTAACATTTGTCTGATTGGTACAAAAGTGGAAAATTTTCACAGGCAGGTGAATATTGCTTGGCACTTGTTGACAAGTGATTTTCAGTTAAGCCAACTTGTAGTAATGATTTTTTATCCTGGTTGTCAAACTCATTTGGAATCAAAGTTTTTGTTTTGCTCATTACTTTTGATTTTGAATAGTAGCCTGAAACTGACTCACGTATCCCAGACCATATCGAAAACTGAATATCATAAAGATCACATTTCTATTACATTCAAATTTCTTTGCATTAATTGATATTAAGTTCAAATTTACTTGCATTAATTGATATTTACTAATCAGAGGCTTTTATTCCTGCTCAAAGTTCCAGAGTAAGTTTTGTTTCAATTTTCATCAGGAAACCCCGGAAAATAAGAATGATGCCTGGTAAATGCCTCTTCTACTCAGATATATAAATTTCAGAATTGTCTATACTTCATGTACGCTCAGAATTGCAAATTTCTGCCAGATTCCACTAGTATTCTGTGTGGAATCTGACTTAAAAATTGTACAGGGACTCCTATATTAAAAAACAGGAGCCCCTATATTAAGAAATTCTCAGGCAAGTCAAAATCAAGTCTGGACAAATAAATTCCATGGACACTTGCCCAATTAAATAAATAGGAAAAAGTTAAATGTTGAGCTCTGACATTGCAGAAACATTGCTAACTACCTGGAACTCTACCGGAGACCATGTATATCCAAAATCTTAGTTGTTTAGAGTGAGGTAATACTGAGATATCTTTGGATATGCATGTAGTGGAGTACATTTTAATTATCAATACACTAGTTTCTTTCTCTTTGCTCATGGCTCAGTCAGCGGTGCAATCAACTTACTACACAAACATTGATAAAAGACAGTAAAAACTAATTGTATTTATAACTATATTAACATGTCAAGAAAGTAATGAAAGAGCTTGAGATAAATTTTTTTAAAAGGTATTCTATAGTGACATTATGGGGAAAGTGATAAAGCTGTAACACTTCTTGCTGTTGTGAACTAACAAATAAAACATTCACTTGAGCAAAGAGAAAGTAATCAGAAACACATAAGAGCAACCACATGATGTACATGTTTAGCAATGTATCACACAGTGTACATGCTATATGTTATTTGATCTTGTGCATCTTGTGTTTGACAATACCAGGTGCGAAATGCTCTGAGTGACATTGCCAAGAAAGAAGGGATCGATGACAGCCCTCAGAGCATTTTTGCATTCTTGATCGAGCGTGTACGAGCCAACATGCACATTGTGTTGTGTATGAGCCCAGTGGGAGAGCCTTTTAGGTAAGTGAGAAATCCTGGCATTTCTTAAAAAGTACAGGATTAAGTATATTGTTATAATTTATTTCAAACAATCAGCTTTTATCTATTAAGGTTCAAAAGATTCTTTGATTGCAAACCTAAAGATTATCATGATAAATAAGATAAACTGATTAAGACTATTCATTGCTACTGTATACCACCGTTTTCCCCCAGAAACCGGATTCGTATGTATCCCGCCTTTGTCAACTGTACAACCATTGACTGGTTCAGTGAGTGGCCTGCTGATGCCTTACTGGAAGTAGCAGACAAATATCTCAGTGAGATCACACTAGGCTCAGAGGAAGAGGTCAGTATAGACCCCCTCATGTTTATTAATCTCCTGATAGCTTGATATAATAAGGTGAATACAGGTAAGTAAGGTTGAGTTGGAGAACTTTAGAAAGGTGCCAATTTGAAATTTGAAGATCACTTAGTTTAAAGTCAAGATTATAATATGTTTGACCACTTGAATGTAAAACCATCAGTCTTTCAGTTTATTGACATGATCACTTGAATGTAAAACCATCAGTCTTTCAGTTTATTGACTTGATCACTTGAATGTAAAACCATCAGTCTTTCAGTTTATTGACATGATCACTTGAATGTAAAACCATCAGTCTTTCAGTTTATTGACATGATCACTTGAATGTAAAACCATCAGTCTTTCAGTTTATTGACTTGACCACTTGAATGTAAAACCATCAGTCTTTCAGTTTATTGACTTGACCACTTGAATGTAAAACCGTCAGTCTTTCAGTTTATTGACTTGACCACTTGAATGTAAAACCTTCAGTCTTTCAGTTTAATGATTTGAGAAGACAATAGATACAAAGAGATATTTCTAGCTTTTATATTCATTCTGTCACAGACCAAGGCCAAGGTTATCAATATGACAGAATCTACATGTAATGCTCAGATTGAACTTGACATTTTTAATATTATATGAATACATTTCATTTCAATTTCAGAATTCTCTAGCAGATTTTATTTGGTTAGATCTGATTATTTCCAGTCCAAAGATTCAGCCATTACAAATCCACATAAGTACACTTGGTAATAAATGGTCTTCCATGCAATTTCAGGACAAGTTGAAGCCATCCCTTGCCAAAATGTTCTCTGTGATGCATAAATCTGTGTCAGACTACTCAAAGAAGATGCTGGCTGAGCTCAGAAGGCACAATTATGTCACTCCCACCAACTACTTGGAGTTAGTGTCAGGATACAAAAAGTAAGTGCCTCACTCTCATGTTAAATACTGGATTGCCTCACACAGATTCTTTGTTCTCTTTTTACACTGAACAAAGGTAAGTTTCTGCAAAATGAGCAGTTATTTACTGTATACAGGGTTATTTTTGCATCATGTTTTTTTCGCCCTTTCACACTTGCAAATAATTTTGCCCCATTTTAAATTCGCCCAATCACAGTTTTGTTTAAGAAAATATACTGTGTTTTTTCAAATCGCCCCGTTTTAAATTTGCCCACTTGTGAGTAGGGCGAAAGGGGCAAAAATAAAACGGGGGCAAAAATTTCCCTGTATACAGTATATTGCCTCTCTCCTTATAGTTTTGATGACTTTTTTGTGTAAATAAAGCAGATATTTTCACTTTACTCCTTAGAAACAAGATTTTCAACTTTCTACTATTCTTTTGATGTTTAGACTTCTATTCGACAAGAAAAAAGAAATGGGAGGGGCGGCAGATAAGCTGCGTAATGGTTTGAGTAAGATTGACGACACAAGACAGAAAGTAGAGAAGATGTCTATAGAGCTGGAAGACGCCAAGACAAAGGTGGCTCAGTTCCAGAAGCAGTGCGACGAGTACCTGGTGATCATTGTACAACAGAAACGAGAGGCTGACGAACAGCAGAAGGTAAGATCAATACCTGGTGATCATTGTACAACAGAAACGAGAGGCTGACAAACTGCAGAAGGTAAAATCAAAACCTGGTGATCATTGTACAACAGAAACGAGAGGAAAATAAACAGCAGAGGGTAAGATCTATACCTGGTGATCATTGTACAATAGAAACAAGAGGCTGACGAGGTAAGATCAATACCTGGTGATCATTGTACAACAGAAACGAGAGGCTGACGAACAGCAAAAGGTATGATCAATACCTGGTGATCATTGTACAACAGAAACGAGAGGAAGACATGAATTGAAATTATAACTACCACAAGACAAATTGATACTGATTGCATATATATGTATATTTTGTGAAAAATGATTGATGTATAAGAACAATTCCTAAAAAAACAAAGGAAGTCACATCTTGTTATGTGTAGTAAAGTCTGATTACCTGTAAATGAATATAGCGATTATTCTAATGCCAGATTTGGTACACTGTCAATTCTTTGAAAAATGAGAGTTCTGAAAGTTTTTGGTGCCCACATCAATATGTGTGATTTATATTACAGTCTGTGGCCCAGAAAGGAGAGAGAATTGCTGAAGAGGAGAGTAAATGTCAACATATGGCTGATTTAGCTCAACACGATCTAGATGAGGCTCTTCCTGCCCTGAACGAGGCCATTGCTGTAAGAAATAATTATTTCCCAAATCAAATTCAAAGTAGAAAAATTGTAATGAGACTGTGCATCGGTTTACATTGGCTTTTCTTCGCCAAATCATGCTCAAAGTATTTTTTCTTCCATTCATAGATTATATTAATGTTGTACCTTGTTCTAGGCTCTTGATTCTCTGAACAAAAAAGACATGACAGAAATCCGATCCTACGGTCGCCCTCCCATGCTGGTGGAGAAAGTGATGGAGGCTGTGATGATCCTGCGAGGCAGTGAGCCAACATGGGCCGAGGCAAAGAGGCAGCTTGGTGAGTCTCAGGCTCCAGTAACAAGTTATAAAGAGAGAATCTACTGGTCACTGATCAATACTATAATTAATTGTTTCTTTTATTCACAGGTGAGCAAAATTTTATCAAGCAACTGATGAATTTTGAGAAGGACAACATCTCAGATCGTGTCCTGAAGAAGATTGGAGGCTACTGTGCACAGTCAGACTTCCAGCCTGACATCATTGGTCGTGTATCAGGTGCTGCCAAGTCATTGTGCATGTGGGTACGAGCAATGGAAGTTTACGGCCGAATCTATCGAGTTGTGGAGCCAAAGAAACAGAGACTGAATGCAGCCATGTCACAGCTCAAAGAAAAGCAAGAGGCTCTTGCTGATGCTAAAGCAAAGCTGGCTGAGGTAACTTTGAAATTTAGAGACAAACTACACATGGGATAGTAATCCTAAATTTACTACAGGTGTATGATTTTAATTAATTCTAGTTTCACACTGTGAGACTTGAATTTGAAATGTTTTAGATCGGTCATCTAGGGTTTAAATCATAGAGTTGTCAGCAAGTACCCAATAGGTGATCTATCACTTTTTAATCGTCAAAAATAAAAATTTTATTTTATTGATTATTTTGAAATTTGAAGCATGGAATGCTCTTTAAATTTTTTTTTTAAACAGTTAAATATTTTATGTGACAAGATGTTTTAATGATAAAAAAATGTAATTTCAAAGCAAAAGAAAACTAAATGAAATTTTGATAAGTAAAATTTTACTGCACTGAATGTTACAGCAGTAATAGTAACATATTATCTAAACAGGTTGAAGCAAAAATGGCTGAGTTGAAAAAGCAGTATGATGAAAAGTTGGCTCAGAAAGAGGAGCTGAAGAGAAAAGCAGAGTACACAGAACTTATGTTGGAGAGAGCTACTAAACTCATGTCAGGACTGGCTGGGGAGAAGGAACGATGGCAGGAAACTGTCAAGGTATGGGGTATAAATAATACATAAAGGGAGAGGGGTTGGGGGGGGGGGGGACAAGCAATGAGAGGTAACTGAATGGGGGGTGTGCTGGACAGGAGCAGTGGCCTAAAGAATATTCTTAATGAGATGAGGGGATTCTGTTTAAAACAAAGGATCAAATACATTGACATAGCCATTGTAATTGACTTGGTACTCAACTTTGCAGGACCTTGAGGAGAGGATGGGATACCTTGCTGGAGATTGTTTAATGGCAGCAGCATTTATGTCCTATATGGGTCCTTTCCTGTCTAACTACAGAGATGAACTGGTACAAAAGAAATGGATTGAAGAGGTACCTGTGTTGATAATCTAGGAATTTCCTGTCATTTTATAGATAGTGCCTATCAATTTTTTAATTCATATAACATGAATTAACCGGTTTGTATCAATAGAGTTATTTTCATACTGTATTTGTCAGGTGAGAAAACTTGGTATACCATGTGCTCCAAATTTCAACTTTTGTGAATTTATGGCCAAACCAACTCAAGTTAGAGACTGGAATATTCAAGGATTGCCCAGTGATGCCTTCTCTACAGAGAATGGTGTTATTGTGACCTCCTCTAACAGGTGGCCACTAATGGTGGATCCTCAAGGACAGGCCATCAAATGGATCAAAAACATGGAGGCATCAAGGGTAAATGACTTGTAATTAAAACTTTCCAACAAATAATTTAATGTAGACATAAGTATAAGATTACTGACATCCTGTGTTACCATGTTTTGTTTACAGGGTCTGAAAGTGATAGATCTACAGCAGACAGATTACATGAGAACTTTGGAATCGGCAATCCAGTTTGGTCTGCCAGTTGTTTTGCAGAATGTGCAAGAAAAATTGGATCCTTCCCTAGATCCTGTGCTGAACAAATCATTGATGAGAATTGGTAGGCAGACAGTAGTACAGTCAGACCTCATTATTTTGTAATAAAATGTGTATGTGTATGTAAATATTAAAATGTGCATTTGATGGTTGAAATCTGCAATTTTATGAAATGTACGATTTTGTTTGTAGGTGGTGCCTATATGATTAAGCTGGGAGACAAAGAGATTGAGTACAACCCTGAATTCAGATTCTATATTACAACCAAACTGAGTAACCCTCACTACACCCCCGAGATCTCCACAAAGACCACCATTGTCAACTTTGCTGTCAAGGAACAGGGTATCTATTTCTAATGCATTAAGTATAAAAAGATGATTCAGCATGTACCAGTTGTGAATGATCAGGAAGGAAAATGGAATGATTTGTAATTATAGTAAAGCATGATTATAAAGAACTACTAAGAAATCTTAACAAATCTGGTAGAAGACTTTCCACTTTGTTCCTTATACAGATATTAAGAATCTCAGCTATAAGGAAGCAAAATGTGACGTCCTAGTGACTTCCTTAAAACTGAATTTTACTGTATATAATGCTTAATTAAGGTACTGAGTGTTGTGGTCAGTAATTATATGATGCTTGTTTAGGTTTGGAAGCTCAGTTACTGGGTATTGTGATCAGTAATTATTTGATCCTTGTTTAGGTTTGGAAGCTCAGTTACTGTGTATTGTGGTCAGTAATTATTTGATGCTTGTTTAGGTTTGGAAGCTCAGTTACTGGGTATTGCGGTCAGTAATTATATGATGCTTGTTTAGGTTTGGAAGCTCAGTTACTGGGTATTGTGGTCAGTAATTATTTGATCCTTGTTTAGGTTTGGAAGCTCAGTTACTGTGTATTGTGGTCAGTAATTATTTGATGCTTGTTTAGGTTTGGAAGCTCAGTTACTGGGTATTGCGGTCAGTAATTATATGATGCTTGTTTAGGTTTGGAAGCTCAGTTACTGGGTATTGTGGTCAGGAAAGAGCGTCCAGACCTGGAGGAACAGAAGGACAGTTTAGTCAGGAGCATTGCAGCAGGCAAAAAGAAACTAGTGGAGCTGGAAGACGAAATTCTGAGGTCAGACAACAACAACAAAATCCACCAAACCTTTTTTACAGTTTTTCAAGTTTCTTTAAATGTCTTCAATATATGTTCAATGTATGGTTAGGTATTAATCTGTCAGATACTCTTTATATATCTTCATTATTTTCACTGGCTGGATTATGTTTGATTTCAGGCTGTTGAATGAAACAAAAGGCTCATTACTTGATGATGAACAGCTGGTAAACACACTGCAGACTTCCAAAATCACATCTCAGGAAGTAACAGAACAGTTACAGATATCCGAGACCACGGAGGTTAAGATTGATGCTGCTAGGGAGGTGAGCTGACCCACACAGGATAATTAATACTAATGGTTTTTACTGGATTATAATTAGATATAGTACTTACTGTATGAGGGATCTCGTTTGTAGGGCTACAGACCTTCAGCACAGCGAGCCTCCATCCTGTTCTTCGTTCTGAATGACATGGGACGTATTGACCCTATGTACCAGTTCTCTCTAGACTCCTATATTGAACTGTTCATCATGTCCATTGAGAAGAGTCAGCGAAGCTCCAAACTGGAGGAGAGAATTCAGAATCTGAATGAATACCACACCTATGCTGTATACAGGTATAATCCTAACATGTCCCTCTGTACTTACTGTGTAATTTAACTGACAGTTTCACTGGGGCCTTTTTTAAAAAAAAATTTTTGCTTGCCCACTCCTGACTCGGGATAAAAAAAATTGGATAGGTAGGTACATGTAGGGGGAAAAATTTTTTTATTCAAAAACTTTTGCCAAAATGAAGTTGAAATAGTTGTTAATGGGATGAGAAAACTCCAGAATGAATAAAAAAAAATTATTGTTTCCTGGAGTTAGAAAAGTTTTGAGTCGTGCCATTTTTAGTCAGTCGGCCGGGAGAGGGCACACAACAATTTTTTAAAGATGGCCTGGACTGAATCAGTTTGTAAATCTTCAATAAATTTTATTATAGATACACTTGTCGTGGTCTGTTTGAGCGACATAAGCTACTCTTCTCCTTCCAAATGTGTGCCAAGATCCTGGAGGCAGCCAGCAAGATCAACATGGATGAGTACAATTTCTTCCTCAGAGGGGGAGTGGTCAGTATCAGTAGTGATCTTCTAGAACATGTTTTGTTATTTTGCTTAAAACACAGGTTTTTGCAGTCAAGTGTGTTCTTAATAATGTAACTCATACTTTTACTTTGAATTTGTTCTGGTGTAAAAGCTTGTGAAGTCATTTCTATTTCAGTGACCTAATATGACAAATGACTGTTTGTTTGTTCTAGGTGTTGGACCGTGAGAACCAGATGGACAATCCCTGCTCAGGCTGGCTCGGTGATGTGGCCTGGGACAACATAACAGAACTTGAGAAGCTGACTAACTTCCACGGTATCATTACAGCATTTGAGCAGTATCCGAGAGACTGGAATATTTGGTATACCTCTGCTCAGCCTGAGGTGGCTCCATTACCAGGTCGGTACTAGGCAGGATTTGTGGGAGAAAAAAACTGTGATCTGTTACACTTACAACTAGTACTGAGTATAATTTCAAATGTTACATGTGAAATCATGTTGAAAGTTGTCGTCTTTTGCATTCCATTACTATTGTCTGTTGTCTGTCTCTGTTAAAGCACCTGTGATTTTTATTATTGACACTATTGGGTAGTAAGGTTTGGAATGTTGTCGTTTATCAGGTGAGTGGGATAATGCCTGTAATGAGCTACAGAGGATGTTACTGGTGCGCTCTCTACGTCCAGACAGGGTGTCATTCTGTGCCACATCCTTCATCATAAACAACCTAGGCTCTAAGTTCACAGAACCACCGGTCCTAGACATGCAGCAGGTGGTAGAGGACTCCACCACAAGGACACCCCTCATCTTTGTCCTGTCCCCCGGAGTGGTTAGTAGCCTCAAAAATCTTAGTTTGCTTACTCAAGTCAATTTTGGATCCAAAATTGCTTTAAATCCAAAAGGATTTCATTAAAACCAAAGGATTTTATTCATATTTGCCTATATACTCCTTTTTCTAGCCAGTATCTCTTAATATTGAGTTTCTGCTTATACATCTTTTAATTCATTGACTTGTATGGTCATCATTTGAATGAAATAGTATGGATATTCAAATTGTATACACATACATGTAACTCGTTGGGTTGATTGAAAAAGTTTTTGTTTCTTTTAGGGATGGCAATCGAATACAGAATTGCTAATCGGTTAACGGCAAGACGTTCCGACCGATTAACCGGTTAACCGTATCAAAAATATACATTTTCTTGATATACCCCCCCCCCCCCCCCCCCGTATCTCTATTCATAGTATACACAAGAAGAAGACTAACAAAGTTACTAGAAGTTAAATCATTCTATTTGTCTTGATTCTTGATAAGAAAACTACATGCATATATATTTTATTTCTGTTTCAATAGACAAGGAAAAATAAAAGAAAAACACGAATCATGTCTGAGAAATCAGATATATCCAGAGCAGATGTCACATAAGTTCATTCTGCATTGTCACCATAATTAAAACTAAGTCTGAACTACATGAATGAATATACAATGTTTGTTTAGTAATTTATTCGATGGACAACTGCAAAAGACAAACATACTAACGGGGATTTAATGTCATTAAAGAATAACATGACAGTCGGGGTAACGACATGGTGTTTTAACAGTAATTAACACCTCAAACACAAAATGACCAATTACCCCACAATCTCAATCCGAAGAACCATAATTACATGCACGTCAGCTTGGATATGTGAGAACGTTGAATTATCAAAGTTAATGCAGAGATTTCTCTTTTTCCAAAAATGAATTATAAGAAATTTGCGTTAAAATACACAAGTTATTATTTTTTTTCGACTAACCGATTACAGATTTTCTAACCGATTGCCATCGTTCCGACCAAGTAATCGGTTAACCGGTTACAAATTGCCATTTCTAGTTTCTTTTATAACAATTAAATCAAACGAAATATTTGGACCAAATACAATAAAACAAGTCTATAGCAAAGTGCCAGGGACAAACAATTATGATTTCTTATGGGTGTAATTCATCATCTCCTTAATTTGTTGTATCCATTATGTTCACAATAGGCATATGTTATAAAACTGCAGGGAAAGAAAGTTACTTCACTGTAGGCAAAAATTTACTATAAGTTTACTGTAGCCATGTTTCCCATAAAAGCATTTTCATATGATTAAGTGCAGACCAGTAGAACTAGTCTCATCAGAGATTTGTGGTTTGTAAACATCAGACGTAAATTATTGTCAGTTCAGTATGACTAAGCTATTAATGTCTGCAAGTATAAATTGATCTTTGTTTATTTTCAGGATCCCACAAGCTCTCTGATTCAGCTGTCTGAGGCAAGTGGAATGGCCCAGAGGTTCTATTCCTTATCTCTGGGGCAAGGTCAAGCTCCTATAGCAACTAGAATGATCAAGCAAGGTGTTAGAGAGGTAAGGTATCAGTCATAAAACATATTGGATACATCATTCAATTCCTCTATATACACTCTGAACACCTGAGTACATTTTCTGTGAATGTGAATGACACTTTTTTTATCTGTAGGGTAACTGGGTGTTCCTGGCTAATTGTCACCTGTCCCTGTCCTGGATGCCTCAGTTAGATAAGCTGGTGGAGCAGCTCCAGGTGGAGGATCCCCACCCTGAGTTCCGTCTATGGCTCAGTAGCAGTCCCCACCCTGACTTCCCCATCTCCATCTTACAGACCGGAATCAAAATGACAACAGAACCACCAAAGGTAAACAGTATGCTTACAGGATTGTAGCCAGAGATATTGAGCTTAGCTTAATTTTGAAAAAAGAGATAAAATTAGGTGTGTATAAGTGATGCAAAGACTTTTTAGCTTTAGTGACCAAAGGTAACATGTAGTTACCAAAGGCTCAAGTGAGCTTTTTTTGAGCCATTATTGCCCATTGTCTTTCTGTCTGTTTTCTGTCTGTTTATTAACTTTCACATTTTTTAATTCTTCTCCAGAATCACTGGACCATTTTCAAACTTGCTATAAAAATATCCTTGGGTAAAGGGGATTAACAATTTTTTTTCAAATGAAGCACTGTGCCCTTTAGAAAGGGGAGATACATACGGCACCCTCAGGCAATACAGATTTTATTTTGTTCAAATCATAGGGGTAGGTTAGGGCAACAATAGGGGATCAAAATTTAGGAAAAAGAAAAATCTTTTCAAGAAAAGCAGGGCCACACTAAATCATTTTGATAGGCAAACATTTCTAATTTGTGTGGATTTTTTTTTTTAATAAATTAAGGACCCTTGGGTTAAGTTGGAGCTAAAAGTACATAATGCATGTATTTTTTCGAAAAATCTCCAGAACAGCAAAGCCATGTTAACCATATTGATATTGAAGTACCAACATGTTTTGTGGATTCAAGTTAGGTAATATCATAACCCCTTTATTCAAGGGTGGGGCCACAAAATGGAATCAAAATTTTACATGGGAATGAAAAGGGGAAAAATCTGAAGAAGTACAGAGGGTCAAGGTGACTCGTGAGTTGTGCCTCATAGGCCTCTCGTTTACTGAATATTGAAGCATACAGTCTCTGGCTACGACAATTATCACCTTAAATACAAATAAGAGTTATAAATTTTACTATGTACACATTTTAATAGTGATTGTTATTAATTTCTAGGGATTGAAAGCCAACATGAAACGTCTGTACAACCTGATCACTGAGCCTCAGTTCCAGCGATGCACGAAGCAAGATAAATACAAAAAGCTGCTGTTTTGTCTGTGTTTCTTCCATTCTGTCCTGTTGGAGAGGAGAAAGTTCCTCATGCTTGGCTGGAACATTGCCTATGAATTTAATGACTCAGACTTTGAGGTAACAAGAATTTTCATTAATGTGTAGCCAAATTCAGGTCAGTTTAACTGGTACAGTGTACTACCACATTAGTGCCAGTAGCACTAAAATTGAATATTAATGACATTTCCAACTGTTTTGAGGAGATAACAGTTATTTTTCTTGATTGTTATTAGCAACACTAAATTTAAAAAAAAAATGTTTAAATGAAGTACTGCATTTAGTATATAATTTCCTGGGATATTCTGTAGGTAGAAATAAAATCATATAATATTCACTATTAAATACTTAAGTTGTATGGTGAATATGATATTTTGACAGGTATCAGAGAGCATCTTAAGCATTTACCTGGACGAATATGAGGAAACCCCATGGGAAGCCTTGAAATACCTGATTGCAGGCATAAGCTATGGAGGCCATGTTACTGATGATTGGGACAGGAGACTGCTCATGACCTACGTTTCAGAATTGTTCCAGGACCAAGTGCTCTCTACTCCTTTCTACAAGTATGTTGTTCTTCAGTTTCAAAACTGTTTCTTTAAAATATTGTTTGTTTCATGCAAGATTTAATATAGTACAGATTACAGAAATTATGTTAGCTTTACATGAGGATAAGTGCTAAGAAATGAAATCAGTCATAAAACCTTGGCCCTAAGTATATTAACCCGGGCATTTCCACAGCATTTTAAGGTTGATTTTCTTTACAGGGTGTCCTCTGTGTCCACCTACTATGTACCAAAGGATGGACCCTTATCATCTTATAAGGAGTATGTCAGCATGCTTCCTAATGTAGATCCACCAGAGGCCTTTGGACAGCACCCTAATGCCGACATTCAGTCCCAGATTCAGGAGACGAGGATGTTGTTTAACACACTTCTATCTCTACAGCCACAGGTGTCGGCAGCTAGTGGAGGAGAAAGTCGGGAGGATAAGGTAACAACTGCTGGGACTCTCCATCATTCTTTCTGTGATGCTTTAGTTTTCAGATGATATCTCTAAGCTTTTGCAATGAAATTTAATGTCAAATTTTTTGTTTGAGAAAAAGAAGTTTGTGCATAATTTTGAATGATCATTTTGTTCTTTTAGGTTCTAGATCTGGCAGCTAACATCTTTAAACAGATTCCTGAGAATATTGACTATGAGAACACAGCCAAAATCTTGTCCATCGACCCATCCCCTCTGAATGTGGTACTGTTACAAGAGGTCGGTACAAGCTGTTATCCCACTATTGATGATCTGAGAATGTTCACAATGTAAATGTTTATTGATGGTAACATCCATGTTTACAGATTCAGCGATACAATGCCTTGTTGGTAGAGATCCGACACTCCTTGACAGACTTGGAGAAAGGAATTCAGGGATTGGTCGTCATGACTGTAGAACTAGAGAATATATTCCAATGTATTTTTGATGGCAATGTTCCTCCATCATGGTTGAAGGTATTCAAAATCTCACTAAAAAAGAGTTGCATCGTAAGACCAGAAAATTAGATTTTTTTTTATATGTTGGCCCAGTGGATCCTATTGAGATTGTCTGTTGTAGGCTTATCCATCTCTGAAACCATTGGCAGCGTGGACTAGAGATCTGGTCCAGAGGGTGGAACAGTTTGAGAAGTGGGCACTCACAGCTCATCCTCCGACTATATTCTGGATGTCCGGCTTTACATTCCCCACGGGTTTCCTTACTGCTGTACTGCAGACATCAGCTCGTTTGAACAGCGTAAGTGTCTGTTGTGTCTATGATGTTGGTCATTGTGTTATCATTCCAATTATTATTCTCCCTAAATACTCGAATATAATTTTTTTTTTAATTGTGAGAATATTTTTAGCATTTAGTTATATTTTACCTGTCACTTTAGCCAAAATCAAAAAAACATGCACAACTTTTTTTTTTCTTCCATATGCAAACATGACTACCCTTAATACCATGTGTTTTAATGATTGTGGTTGTAAACATCCTAGGTGGCTCCTATGTCTCAAAAAATAGTTCCTTTGAGAAATATTCATCAGCTTATGAAGTACACAAAATATCCTTACCACAGATACCAAAATTGTTTCAAAATACTTTAAATAGAATGGGGGGATGTAAAGTTTAACGCAACAAATTTAAAATAATTAGTTTGTATACATGGAACTAAGATTGATTAAATTCATTCAGAAAAATTGATCTTCTACGTATGGAGCTATCAGACACAATTAACAGAGTGGTATCTTGAAAGCAGACCTTATCGGGATTGTTGTTTTGGTTTATTTTAGGTTTCTGTGGACTCACTGTCCTGGGAATTCAGTGTGATGACTGTTGATGACTCCAATATCACTGGACCTCCTAAGGTACCCATGTTCTGACAATTACTCTGATAAATGGATTCTGAATTTTCATTGTCATTGAAAAATCTGACATTTAAAACATTGTGATTTTTTCAATGTCAATATACTGGATTGCTATGCTTACAAGAACCAGCAGTGTCGGATATTAAAGGAAATATGGATAACATTAATACATGTACAATTTTCAAGAAATTGTTTTCATGATTGTTCCAAATTTCAGGATGGTGTATACATAAAAGGCCTTTTCCTACAAGGAGCAGGCTGGGATAAGAAGAACTCTCACTTGGTGGAGGCCAATCCAATGCAGTTGGTGTGCCTGATGCCAACCATTCATTTCAAACCAGTAGAAAACAAGAAGAAAACTGCTAAAGGTATGTCTTCATGAAATTTTGTTTCAAGCTTAAGTTTTCTGTTCTGCGTGTGCTGGGATTAACTCTTGCTTTGTTTGTAGGTATGTATATGGCACCGTGTTACTACTATCCTAACCGTGCGGGAGGAATGGGCAGGCCGTCCTTCGTGGTGGCAGTGGAACTGAAGGCCGGAGAGAAGGCCCCCGATCACTGGGTGAAGAGGGGAACTGCTCTACTGATGAGCTTGGACTACTAACTGTGATAAAAAAAACTATGATACAACATGTCAAGTGAAAACCTTTAGAGTTTAAAGATGATATACAAGGAGATTCAATATCATAAAGCACTTATGATAAATAAGAGGACTGATACTGAACACTCTTTTGATGAAAAAATGAAAAGACATAAGTCTGCTTTAAAAAGAACCATTAATTATGTTGGTAAAACAAATGAACCAATTGATTTTTGATTGGGATTTTGTCTTGTGTTATTTTTGTCATTCTTATGATTGCATTGTTTTGTTTTTTATACCAGTATTTTGACTAATTTATTGATAAAACTGTTGACCTATTATATTTGAATTTGCATTTTTCCTTTAATCTTGAAAGTATTTCTGTGCTGGGATCTACCTGCAAAAAGGTATCTCTTCGTTTGACAAAAAAACAAGAGCTGAAGTGAGTCAACTAACAAAATTTGATGATTCTAAGACTTAGTATCATAAATATGAAATTCCAGCAGTAGGTCACTGTGACATACTTTTTAGTTGACAACCGTCCAAGGAGCCAAGATGCATAACCTGACAAAATTTAATGATTTTAAGCCTGTTATTATCCTAAATTTTGAGGTAAAAGTGTGAAATTCCAAAAATAGGTAACAATGAATGACCTTCTTTTAACTGAAACACTTCCAGGACCCAAGACGCATCAACTGCCAAATTTTAACTTTTTTTTATCTGATATATTTAGATACAAGCATGAAATTCCACAAGTACTTCATTGTGACCTACTTTATGGATGTCACAATGTGAGGATCCTAGTGACTCAACAAAGCCTCTTAGTATCTTAAATGTTGAGATACAACTATGAAATTCCAAAAGTACATCACTGCAACATACTTTTTAGCTCTTCTGAGCCAAAGGCTCAAAGAGCTAATGCTATGGTCATTTGTGTGGTGTGCGTAAACTTTTTAGAATATGGGCCATAACTCAAGAACCCCCTGGCCAATAATTGTCAAATTTGTCACAGGGTATCCTTGGCCCAAGGGCTCCCTTTTATACTAAAACTAGAGTTGTGACCCTTAAACAAGGGGAGATAATTAGGGAAATAGAAACAAAAGTACTGGTTGCTAAAACATCTTCTCAAGAACCACTGGGCAGATTATCACCAAACTTACACAAAAGGATGAGGATGTGTTGTAGATTAAAATTTGCATGGGGATTTACCCTGGGGCAAAGGGCGTGGTCTCAAGGTCACTTCAAAGTTGACCAAAAATTACATTATATTAAAATGTTGATATTTTGCTTACTATAAGGACTAGGATCATCAAATCTTGTCAGTTGATGCATCTAAGGACTTCATATCATGTTGACTCAAAAGTAGGTCACGGTGACCTACTTTTTAAATTTTGCGGCCATTCTTTTTCAAAATGATTTAGAGGCATATTTTGAACAATTTAAGGCCTGTAATCATCAAAGTTTGTCAGTTGATGTATCTTGGGTCCTCAAAGTACGTCAACTAAAAAGTAGGTCACCTTGACCTACTTTTTGAACTTTATGGCTAATGTTTTTCAAATCAATTAAGGTCATTAATTCAAAAATCGAGAGGTTTAGAATCATTAAATCTTGTAAGATGATGCATCTTAGGACCATAAAACATATTTATTAAAAAGTACGTCACAATGACCTACTTTTTGAACTTTGCAGGCATTCGATTTCAAAGCGTTTTAGAGGCATAATTTGGACATTTTAAGGCCTATGATCATAAAACTTTGTTAGTTGATGCATCTTGGGTCCTCAACAAAGGTCAACTGAAAAGTAGGTCACCATGACCTACTTTTAAATTTATATGACTATAATTAAATATTTCAGGTACTATTTGGCTTAGAATCATCAAACTTTGTCAGTTGATGCATCTTGGGTCCTCAGAGTAGGTTGACTAAAAAGTAGGTCACTGTGACCTACTTTTGAAAATTTATGGCTTTAATTAATATTTTCGGTACTAATTGGCTTAGAATCATCAAACTTTGTCAGTCGATGCATCTTGGGTCTTCAGAGTAGGTCAATTGAAAAGTAGGTCACTTTGACCTATTTTTGAAAATTTATGGCTTTAATTAAATATTTCAGATACTAATTGCCTTAGAATCATCAAACTTTATCAGTTGATGCATCTTGGGTCTTCGGAGTAAGTGGACTGAAAAGTAGGTCACCATGACCTACTTTTGAAAATTTATGGCTTTAATTAAATATTTCAGGTACTATATAATTGGCTTAGAATCATCAAACTTTGTCAGTTGATGCGTCTTTGGTCTTCGGAGTAAGTCGACTAAAAAGTAGGTCACTGTGACCCACTTTTGAAAATTTATGGCTTTGATTATATATTATCAGGTACTAATTGGCTTAGTATCATCAAACTTTATCAGTTGATGCATCTTGGGTCCTCGGTGTACAACAACTGAAAAGTAGGTCACTGTGACCTACTTTTGAAAATTTATGGCTTTAATTAAATATTTTGGGTACTTGTTGGCTTAGAATCATCAATCTTTGTCAGTTAATGCATCTTGGGTCCTTGGAGTACGACAGCTGAAAAGTAGGTCACAGTGACCTACTTTTTAAATTTTATGGCTGTATTTGATATTTTCAGGTACTATTTGGCTTAGAATCGTCAAAATTTGTCAGTTGATGCATCTTGGGTCCTAGGAGTAGGTTGACTGAAAAGTAGGTCACCGTGACCTACTTTTGAAAATTTATGGCTTTAATTAAATATTCTGGGTACTAATTGGCTTAGAATCATCAAACTTTGTCAGTCGATGTATCTTGGGTCCTCTGAGTACAACAACTGAAAAGTAGGTCACCGTGACCTATTTTTGATAATTTATGGCTTTAATTAATTATTTCAGGTACTAATTGGCTTAGAATCATCAAACTTTGTCAGTTGATGCATCTTGGGTCCTTGGAGTACAACAATTGAAAAGTAGGTCACTTTGACCTACATTTTATGGTTATAATTTTAAAAAATATTTTAGGTATTAATTGACTTAGAATCATCAAACTTAGTTGATGGGTCCAAAGAGAATGACAGGTGATAAGTAGGTCACCATGACCAACTCTCAGGTACTAATTGGCTTAGAATCATGTGGGTTCTCAGAGTGTGAATTGGAATTTCAAGGGTTTATCTCAAATATACAGGATACTTAGAGGCTTCAGATAGAAGTGATAGGTTGTACAGTTTATCAGAAGCGCAATTCAAGGTCCTTGGGCCTCTTGTTAGTTGACACAGTCAGATCAATATGTTATACAATGTATTATCTTCTTTAGTTATAGAGGTCCCATGATACATCACCTGACAAAATAACATGATTTCAAGCCTCTTTAAAATATTCTGAATATTGAGGTAAAAGTGTGAAATTCCAAAAAAAAGATCACTGACCTACTTTTTGATTGACACACTTTTGGACCAATATGCATTAACTGACAAAGTCTGAGGATTCCAAGTCACATGGTATCTGAAAAATTAAAATATAGCAGTGAAATTCCAAAAGTAAGTCACTCTGACCCACTTTTTGATAAACACTCTCTGAGAACCCAAGATGCATCATCTGACAAAATCTGATGATTCTAAATTAAATTTAGATATAGCCTTGAAATTCCAAAAGTAGGGCATGGTGACCTGCTTTGGGGTTGACTCACTTCACAAACCCAAAATACATTAACTGATAAAGTTTGATGATTCTAAGCTACTTAGTATATCAAATATTAAAATATAGAGATGAAATTCCAAAAGTAGGTCACTGTGACCTACTTTTCAGTAGACACAGTCAACTCAACTATGAGTTAATCTCTGATTCCACACAACATGGGTATTCTTCAGTACAATGTTTCAATATGACTAACATGGCCTTGCAGTTTAGGAGAAGAAAATTCTTTACCTGTATACATGCATTATGTACATGTAAAATATGGCCCCATCCTACCCAGGGGGGAGGGGGGGGGGGCAAGATTTAGAAATTCAGTTTAGAATCTACATTATGTCAGGAAGCTTTCAAATAAGATTCATCTTTTCTAGTCAAGTGTTTTTAAGAAAATTTTCTGTATATTTCTATGTAAAACATACTGTGGCCACACCCTACCCCTGGGGACCTTGATTTGAATGATTTAGAAGCTACACAACCTTAGAATACTTTCACTGGATCTGGTTCATAAGAACATTTCTGATCCCACCTCAGATGTTTATGGAGGTTTGCTCTGCTTCTGATTTGTGTTGTTTCAATGGACTTTAAGCTTGAAAACTATTTGCATCTCTGTATTTCATTCTAAAGAATTTTCCTACATACGTAAGTGTACTCTTTTTCACAGCCTGGGTCATAATTCCACAGAACCACACTATCTGTTCCATATGCCAGTAGTAAATTTGGCCAATTTTTGGGTTGTTTTTGTATGTCTTATATGAAGTTTGAGTATGCTGTGACAAATTTCTGTGAAAAAATTTGTGACCTTGTACATAGCATAAATTAATCCTACAGGGAAAAAGTATGTCATTACCTCAGAAAGCTTCCATCTAAGTTTTATCTTTTCTAGCACAGTGGTTCTTGTGAAAAAGATTTTTTAATGACCCAACTCAACTTTTGTCTTCATGAGGGCTTGGGCTTGGAAAAATTTAGAATCTCTTTTACCTATGAATGCTATGTGCCAACTTTGTTAAAGAATTGCCCCAGTGGTTCTTGAGATGAAAACATAAATATTGCATGTAGTTGAGAGTAATGGTGGAAATTTTCATCCCAAGTAATGGTGGAAATTTTCACCCCAAGTAAACCATTGTCAACCAATTTGCATTTTGACATATCCTCTGTGATATTTTAAAAATTTGAATTAGAATATTCATTGTAAGCAATTTAAGTTATTTGAGTGACCCCCAAAAAAGAGAGGGGTTTTCAAAAAATACTTTAGTGAACATTTATCTTTCTTTTTCAATTTAGAGCAAAGGTCAATTAGTGCCAATTTGAATAAGTGCTAAAGTATTTCTTTACATTCTATTAAAGATTTATGTATTAAAATTATATTTTGCTGGTAATCATAAATCAGTCCACAGAACTTTATGCTGTGACAGGAAAGGAGAAAATGTACGACTGGACCGGGAATCGAACCCTGGACCCCTGTGGTCTACCTACTGAGCTACCCAGGCCAATATCCACAGCCCAAACCATTATATTCCTCACTCCTTGAATTGTCTTCACCTTCAAAGACACAGCCCAAGTTCTTATTGCCCCTGGCAGGACTTTGACCTGTAAGTTCAGGGGTGGTCTTTGGCACCAAATTATGTAATGGGAAAGGAGAAAAATGCAACAGACCAGACCGGGATTTGAGCCTGAGGCCCCCTGAATCTCCAATCAGGTGCACTACCATCTGAGCTATCCAACAACTGGCGATTGAACCCATCTGACTGCCATTGTCTCCCTCCCTGAAGGTCTTCACCCCAGAAGATACCAACTCAGGCTCTTCCCTGGCAGGTCTTTTATCTGTCACTTCCAGGACATGGCACGGCACCAAATGTAATGGGAGAGGAGAAAAATGCAACGGACCAGACGGGGATTGGAACCCCTGCCCCCTGAATCTCTAGTCAGGGGCTCTACCGACTACCCAGTCCAGTATCCATGGCCCAAACCATTACAGTGCAAAAGGCATCAAATGTGACACCCCCACCCTAACATCCTCCCACCAATTCCTTTTTTAAATGACGTCACATCCATGTACAGAATTTATGACATAAACTCAAATTCAGTGGAACTTATTTAATTTATAACTCTATTTTCATCTGTCTACATCATTCTTCAATAGAAAAAATAAATTAAATTCAAATGAATATTCAATTACATATTTTGTGCCCTGTGTAAACTGCAGGGAATATTAATTCAGCATCAATATGACATTTGTATGTAACACAACACAAGGGGAAGAAATTCCCTCTTATTTTCTGGAATGATCCGTTCTACTTCCTGGAAGGGTTTTTGTTCAATCATGCTCTCTGTTATTTTGCTGATGTACTTATCTGCTTCTCTCTTCCCAAAAGCCCTGATAATTACTGCAGACAAAAACTCTATTCCCTTACTCCTGTCTGTTATAAAGCTACACACAGAGTTATATAAGATACTTGGTACACTATTCAACAATTCCTGATTGAAGTCCATTTTGCCTTGGTCTGTATCTGGAAAGAGAAAAAAAAAGGTTAATAAACAATTCTATAATTGTAAAATAGGAAATTTCTTCTTTTCCCATTTTTGTGAAACTCTTCTTTTTAATCAAAATGCAAAAATTAATTAAAATTGCAAAAAATCTTCCATTTGCAATCTCTAGAGCATGTGATTGAGAAGAACCATAATTAGAGGCTCCCAGTGCCTCACTTTGTTCCTGAGCTGAATTCAACTCTGTACAATGATTGGATATGAAGCAAATACATCTGAAAAGTGCAATAAAACAGCAAACTCCTTCAGATAGTAATCATGAGGTTTCAAAAATTCACAACTTAACTGATGCCTGAAATCATGTTTGTTGCAGTCAGTCATAAATAACTACTAAACAAACAAACCAGAGGCAAACCAACAAAATCATTCTTTAAGGTCAAAGGATACTTAGTCCATTACAAAGGCAGTATTATATAAATTTACTGCATGTAGTTGAGGGTATCACTGAAAATTTTCAATGTTACCCTCAACTACATGCCCTATTTATTACATTATACCTAATTCTTATACAAATATAGGTAGAATTGCATGTGCAGATTCCACCCAGTCAATAATTTTTTGGAATAACACCCATCATCAAGCAATATTGACTGTTGCTATGTTCTATGCCATGGGTTAAGTTCAGGACAAGCAACCTTTATGTCAGATATAAGCTTCTAATGATTCTCCATTTGGTTACAACAAAAAATAATTGCTTTTGTACATTGTGATCTTGATCTCCTTCAAATGACCTTGGTATAGATCAATGAAGGATGATTCTGACTAGGCTATTTTCAGTAACAAAAAAAATTAACAGTAATATGATGCAAGAAGTAATAAATTGATGGGCAAATGTTAATTTTTTGGAGTCAACTGCAGTGTTGGGTCAGTTTCAAAAAAAAAAAAGAAAACTAAAAGAGGAGTGGCATTTTGAAATGATTATGGGATTGTCTCAATTCTTAACAGTGCCAACAACATTCATCAAAATTGAAGCAAAAAAATCCTAACATAGTCCAGCATTGTAAAGTCAGAATTTTATTAAATTGAACAAAAACTGTTAGGAGGTGTAGAAGGTGGAGATAATGAACAGTGATCAATCCCATGAGTCCAGTGAAGAATGTGAAGAATGTGAATCATATGGGCAAGGCAAAACCAAGGACCTCCAGAAACACCAGAGGTGGAATCAGGTACGTAGGAGGAATACGCATCCACTTATTAAAGAGATTGTTCTATTTCAGTAGCACCTGCAATATTCTGCATTATAATTGAAAGAGATGGAGAGGGGTTCAGATCTTTATAGTTAGCTTGGTACCATTATGCAGATTCAAAAAAAAAAATGTAGGGAGCAGCATTTTGAAGAATTGTTTCCATACAGACAAACATAGAGATAACAGACCCATTACCACACAAATGCACAGCTCTTCATTCACTCACCTTTAGAGCTACAGTCCTACTATACTGATTCATTGACCTTTAGAGCTACAGTCCTACTATACTGATTCATTGACCTTTAGAGCTACAGTCCTACAATACTGATTCATTGACCTTTAGAGCTACAATCCATTGACCTTTAGAGCTACAGTCCTACTATTCTGATGATGATGACAAGGTTTATACCTTTGTTCCCTGAAGGCATAAGAGATGATGAGATATTGTAGGTATATCCATCTGTCGACAGCCTTTTGATGCTTCCTGCTGACTTTGCTCTTGGGATTGAACCGTCATTATGGTTCTGTTTTTTGTCCACAAATACACAGTCATAGGAACTTGATCTTCTTACTTTCTTGGGGCTGTTGATATTGTCAGCAACAGTTGTAGGTTTGATTTCACTTTCAGTTACACCCTGATCCAAAAATACTTCATTTTCTGTTTCTGATTGGTCAGGTTCATCATTACTGGCACGGCATGATGGGTATTTGTGTCTTGAGAAAAGTTTTTTGGTCACACTTGAACTTTCAGACCCAATAGGAGTAGGTCTTCTGTCAGAGGTTCTGTGTTCCATGCTAGGAGTCTTAAACCTTGGTTTTGCCTGACATTCACTGCTGTGTATCCCAGAGCTTCTCCTCTCACTGTTAACTCTCTTCATCTGATTGGACTCTGCTGCGTGTCCTCTGAAATTATTACCTCCTTCCTTCTGAAATGCTTGAAGACTCTGAGGCTTGGAATCCAGACTTTTGCGTCCTGATGGTGGTTTGCCAATGTTTTCACATGATTCAACACTTTGTTGTCTTCTTGAATCCTGATCTCTTTTTTCAAGTTTCTGTCTGGGTATTATATCATTAGACTGCCAGTTTTCTTTATTGTTGATATCAGTTTGGAAATCAACATTTTTTGTGGATTTTTTTCTTTCAATCACTGGCTTGTTTTCAGTGTTAGTGTTGGATGAACTTCTTTCCACTCTGCAGAACAGAGCTGCCCTTGAAATGGACTCTTCCTACAAAAAAAACAAGTCTGTCAGATACCATGCTCCACAAAGCTCCATGTTCTTCTAAATGGAGAAATTGGCTGATAATCATTGTAATTTATCATATTTAAGTGTATTTGAATGATAATGCAATGAACAAACTTAACATGAAGACAGATAAATTACCTGACTGTCAGATTGCCTCTTCCTTTGCTTGGCCACAATATGTGAGATATTTGGAGTATTTGCCAGTTGCTTAAATTTTGGGTTCTTAACCAAGTATGTCTTTCCTGCCATCTTTGGGTCCAACTATGAATGAGAATTAAGTCAAATACCCAAGTTCCAGTCAAATTTTGGATTCAGTGTCTTTGCTGATAAGACAATTTTACCTACATTTTCTTTGTCGACTGAAGCTATGCTGTTTTTTCTTTCTTTTTCTTCCTTATGCTTTGTTGGTATGTTTGGGAGACTAAATCGTCGCTCCTTTGACTGAAGCTGTCTGAGTTGTCGGCTCTTTGGGTCATGTTTCTGTATATATGGTTTAAGTGCAGACAGAGACAGGATATAATCTGCTGAGGGACGATTCTCAGGGTTTTTATCTAGGAGCTTTTTAATCAGAAGACTCAAGGTTGATCCCAAAAATCTGTAATTCACATAGTATTTTTTTCTTTTGAAGTACAAGATAAATCATTAATTTCTGCTATGAAAAAAAATGGAAATATTCTTTAAAGAAATGTTTCTAATTTGATATGGAGATACACACTAACATTCAGCTTCCAAAGTGAGGATATCCAGATACTGATCAACTAATGACAGCTAATTTCTTCAGAGTCATCTTTTTATTGTTACATTTATAATTACTGTAATAGATATTTATAACTATCTTATTTTTATTTTATGATAACTAAGAATAACCTTGGAATAGCTTTGTAATTTTCCTGCAGGATTTTTAAGATGAGTTCCTGTAGATCTTCAGCATTAAATGGTACACTCAGACAACACATCTCATACAAGACACAGCCCAGGGCCCACATGTCACTCTTGTGGTTATAGCTAGGAGTTCAGGTAAGGAATTCAAAAATAGGTCTCAAAAATGATCAACACACTCTCAAAAAGATTTGCTTATACATATTCATTGTATCGGTACATTCTAAAATAATGTTAATTCCCATCTGCCCTAATCTAATACTGCATACTGGAATATACTGTTCTTGCAAATTTTTGATTCTGGCAAATTTGTACAGTAAATGTTGAAGCAAGCACGATTTCATGTACATAATTATATTAGTAAAGTGAACTCATGACTACTCACAAACAAAAAAGACATATTCTGTCATCAACTAACAGAATAAAATAAAATATTTTTAAGTTACAGCTAGGCTTCTAATAAATATATTTTCACTGCCCTTGGAGGCTTGAAATGACCCAGTTTTATTGTACAAGTTATATTTACAATATAGTGCACCATCACGATACAATATACCCTGCATTTGTATGGATTACCTCCCCTATAAACATAATTTGTTTTTTAATACTTGGCTTTTTTTAAGTTTTAATGTTACAACTCAAATTTCTTAAAAATGCATCTACTGACTAAGTTTGGTGATTCTAGGCTTCAAAACTGCACAAGCACCAAAAGAGTTTTGCCATATATGGCCATATCATCTTAATTAAAGGTCAGTGATGTAACTTTAAAGTGCAACACACTGTAGTTGAATCAGCTGACAAAGTTTGATGATTTTCGGCCTCAAAGTATTCAAGTTATGAGCCTAACAAGAAAATGTTAAAAGACAGTTGGATGGACAGATGCCATACCATAATAAGTCCCATCTTAGACCCATGAATTTTATTCAAACATATTTCTGAGATCACTCTGAGCTGACACTTGTGAAGGATACGGCTTTTTCTGGCATATTTCTGGACTGAGATAGAAGGGTGTACCTATGGTGGTCACAGCCAAATCCGAACTGTCCTTGAGTACTCGAGCTATTCCAAAGTCTCCAACTTTTACAATGGATTTTGAGGTTAAAAATATGTTCTGAGACTTTAGATCTATGGAAATCAAATAGATTCATGGTTAAGGAGCCTCATCTTATCCACACCAGTATATCATAAGCAGACAAGCTACTGGGCCATAAAGCTCACCTGGTTCTGCTCATGAACTGCTCTTTTGAGTCATTCTCCACAATATAAAATTTTTCATTTTCTTTGAAAAATTGATAACCATGTATACAGTATATATAAAGCTTTGAATGGTTCTTATATCCCAAACAAGACCTTTTGGCCGATTATGCAAATCATGGCAATAGGAACTGGGAAGGGAGGGCATGAGGGGGACACGTCCCCTCCCCAATAATTTTGCTGATATATGGTACACTATAGAAAACAAAATACTTTATGGAGAAGCCCCCTCAATAATTATGCCTGATGACCCTTTTTTTTTAACTTGTCAAGAAATGTTTACTTGTAAAAAATTCTTTCATCAAAAAGAAAACAAAAGGCTCCTGGGATGCAATGCCCACCTGAGTCACTGTGCTAATAATAATGTCCCAACCAGATTCAAATCATTGTTTTTAATAAGGGGATGACTGTGGTGAGCAGCATGGCCCAATGTGCCTCATGTATATAATACATGTACCTCTGTGTAGTATGTTCTGTTTGTGGATGTACTGAAGTGCCATGCACATCTGAACAAACCAATCCATGATCACCTACAACACAAACAAACAATAAGATTACTACAATATTAAAACTCTAAACCAACCAAGCAGAACCCATGAGCACTTACATCACAAACAAATTAAGAATTAATGATACAAAAGTTATATCTCTAAACATGTAGAGAAAAAAAAATAATAAAACTGAAGATGAAGATCCAAACAAATTCATAATTGGCCTACAGAGAGAGAGCGATCATTGCTTCTAAAATAAAAATTGCAGACAATGTAGGTTTCTTGACATCTGAGGTCCAATTTGACAGATACATGTAAATATGTCCCAATTCAATCTTTAGATACACACCTCTTTGTTGAACGAAACTCCTTTTTGGTCACAAATCTTCTTATGAAGATCACCTGAAATGAATGAAATATTAACATCATCAACTTCACTGTAAAAGTAATTTTATCTACACCTTGAGACTAGAAGATAAAAGTGGAATATTAATTACGACATAGAGAGGGAAAGTTGATGGTGGAAAAGTTGAAGTCATCCCGTTTTGTTGAAAAGTTAACTTTTCAATTGGCCATTAACGTCTACAGTCAGCAAAATAACCAAAGATGTGCCAGACTCTGTAGTGCCTTTTAGGCCAAGGTCACTGGGATATACTGAGTTGACATATGAATGAAGATTACTATAATTATTTATTGATAAAATGTCATTAACATATTGAAATGTTGAATTGAAAGCCTCATGAGAATATAAAAACTCTTATATCCAAATGGAAGAGGCAATATGCCCAGCTTTTTGCTCCAAATGACATAAACATGTGCTGTGTGGAGTGTAAGTGGACCTAGTTCAATTTTATTTAAAAACAAATGGAAGAAACATTTACTGATAATTATATTTTTGCAATCCAACTACAGCATCTCATTGACTGGCTTGGGCAAATTAGATGGAAATGGAAATACAGTTGACCTTTGATATCTTGAACAGGGATATCAAGAATTTCATAGATAATGGTCAAAATTTAGCTTCTTCTCTTCTTCTTCTTCCCTTAATGGAGTGATCTCAATTTGAGTGTTAATACTCCAGCTGAAAGTCTTTTGACCATTTTTTTTATGTATTTTAGCCTCAATATCTCCATGTAATCCTTAGATATTTCGAAGTTTTTTCTCTGCCCCATCAAGTTTGAGATAACAAGGTTTGACTGTACTTCAACCAGTCCTTGACAAGGAATCCCAAGTTACAATGTGGATTGCACTCTGTTGCAAATGTCCATAAGATGTACTGAGTAAGACCTAAAGACCTATGGTTAAACGGGAATTGGAAGAAAGGGGTTAAGGGTGAGGAAAGAGAGACAAAGGCATAATATTTATTTAATATCTCATTTGGGATTTTATATCCCAAAACGGGCCATTTTAATTTTATCCCATTTGGCCATTGGGAAAATTTGGTCCCAACCTATGGTCCCCATCTTCGTAGTATTGGATCGTTAACCATACAACTAGTTTAGTTAACTAACATTAAAATTGAATACACATACCACCATCAGCATATTCCATTGCAATATTTAAAGCCCCGTCGTGAACATAGGCGTCCAAATACCGCACAATATTCACATGGTGCATTCGCCCCAGAACGGATACTTCGGTCAAAGCCTGGTCAAGTTCCCGCTCGGATAATCGGAGAATATTTATCACTTTCACCACACATCTCATTTCATGTTTTCTTGACTTTGCAATCCATGCCTCTCCAAATGTTCCCGTTCCTAATAATGTCAACAGCTGGAAATTATCGGCCATTTTACTGGACAGTCTCTCACCTTGACCTTGTCAAGGGCAATAAGCATGACAAGCGACAGTGAAGGTCAGATTATTTATTTCTAAGGCGAATGGGCACAGATTCTTTATTTCCTAAAGTCTGACAAGCAAAAAAAAAAGGAAGAATGCCAAACACCAAAGCTCTATTTTAGGGGAAGGGGATAATAGGCAAGGACAGATTATTTGCCCCCCCCCCCTTCAGAATGAAATGGTCGCCCCCCCCCCCTTATCAGCTGCTTATCATGCCAGCAAATCATAATGTATGTGCTAGGAAAAATGAACAATCTATAACTTTAAAAAAAAACTGGCTTAAGGGTTCACACTAAAAAAAGAATAAATGTTTACTGTGGTCAGGCAGTATGTTGACAGTCTCTCTCTCTCTCTCTGAAAAACTCAAGTTTGATGCTTACCAAGACACGCATAAGCGTCGGAACCGGGGTGGGGGGCTAAGGGGTACTTACTCCCCCCAACTTTTTGGGGCGTAGGTTTAGCCCCCCCCCCCCCCATTTCAGCAGGCACATTGCAGTGTAATCAAAGAGCACTAGAAAGTGGTAGCGTTTGAAAAAAAATTGATACTGAAAGAAGTCTGATCCCCCCCCCCCCCCGGGTTTGGATTTTCCTTTTTTTTTCTTCCTTTTTGTTGTTGTTGTTGTTGTTTTTTTCTTTTTTGTTTTTTATTTGTTTTTTGCCTGTCAAGTTTTTTTCAGGTTTGAATTCCCTCCCCCCCCCCCAAATTGGCTAACAAATCACAATTTGTTATTCTATAATTTACCCCACGGCTAAGTGTACAATCCTCTTCCATTCTGGAGACAGCAATATGCGGACTCCGGATTAATTCGTGTATATAAATATATACATGATCAAACTGAGAATAAATGCTCAGGTGAGCATGAGGCCCATGGGTCTCTGATGTTAGTTCATATATATCATTAATTTGAGCTGTAAATTAAATTCTATATTTTGCATGAAATCTAATTAAATGTTATTTTCTGACAAGACTCGGGTGCATGTATTTCTGTTCAAAATCTACTGATTCATACCAAAATCACCCATATATATACTAGTATTGCGAATATCGTTTTGGAATCACCGATCGGATAAATATATTGACCGTCAAATACCAATTCTGGGTCAACTGTGAGTTGTCATCTTATTGTTGAACCCAGATTCATAAAACCTCAAACAAACTAACACGCATTATAATTTTTGTACTTTTATATAGAATCAGCAAGGAATCATCCTCACAATGTCAAGGTTTTGTGATTTCGGAACTCCACACAAACCCTTGACATAAGTCGCTATTTAAAAGTTGGGCTAGAAAGCTACTATTTCATTTGTTCCTGGTCTAAGACTGGAACCAATCAGAAAACAGCTTTTATTGTTGGTAAGTTCTGTAAAATGGAAAGTGTCGATATTGTAGAATTTGTGACTAGTTACATTATACGGTGGTACATTTAGGACACGTAATAATTTTTTTTTAAGATACCAGGAAATATTTATCTCGTGAAAACGAAAAACTATCTCGTGAAAACGACATAATATCTCGTGAAAACGACATATTATCTCGTGAAAACGACATAATATCTCGGGAAAACGACTTATTTTCTCGTTTTAACGACATAATATCTCGTGAAAACGAGATATTATGTCGTGAAAACGACATAATATATCGTGAAAACGACTTATTTTCTCGTTTTCACGACATAATATGTCGTTTTCACGAGATATTATCTCGTGAAAACGAGATATTATCTCGTGAAAACGACATATTATCTCGTGAAAACGAAATAATATTTCGTAAAACGACTTATTATCTCCCGGAAACGAGAAATTATCTCGTGAAAACGAGATATAATCTTGTGTGAAATAAATTTTAGAAAATCATATTTACCAAAATTGATTATTTTTCCCCAATTTCACTTACATACTTATTATATATGGATCATGCTTTCTTTCATAACCAAGTAGTTTTCTGCTAGATTTGAGAAACTTTTTCTTCTGGTATATTGTATTGTGAGCTATATTAATTAATGTCCTTCTGACAAGACAATGTGCTTTCCTGAAATACTTATTATTGCCTTTTCAAATCTATTTGTCAGTGATTGAGATAGATGACAATAAATATGTTAATATAATATTATATTTTATTAAATAAAAGTTGCATTGAGCATGTATACTAAGTTATACATCCATAGTTACATTATAATTATACATTATATTGTGTAACCCTGTGCAATTTCAATCAAAATGTCCCCTATAACTGAGCTTAAGATACAGATCAAGTTTGAGTTTCATTCCTGTTGATCGAATTAAAAAGAGTTATGACCATATTTGCCATTTTTTCCAAACTGTTTTACATAACATATATTTGCTGAATATCAACGTTGGTTTGGATCTAGTCTCCTTAATGCGACATTTTTTTTTATCTAGGAGCTGTAGTATTTGTATTCTGAAATTTCTTAATATTTTTTTAATGATCTTTGAAACCAAAATGAAAGCATTCCTTAATGACTTCCTCTCTTGTACACTCTTCAACCCTATTTGACAACGAATAGCAAAATACTAAATCAGGTTGTTCAATGTATGTAACAAAATTTAACGTCGAAAAAATATGTCGTTTTCACGAGATAAGTCGTTTTCACGACATATTATGTCGTTTTCACGACATATTATCTCGTTTTCACGAGATAATATGTCGTTTTCACGAGATATTATCTCGTTTTTACGAGATAATATGTCGTTTTCACGAGATAATATCTCGTTTTTACGAGATATTATCTCGTGAAAACGAGAAAGTAAGTCGTTTTCACGAGAAAATATCTCGTGAAAACGAGATATTATGTCGTGAAAACGAGATAATATGTCGTTTTCACGAGATAATATGTCGTTTTCACGAGATATTATGTCGTTTTCACGAGATAATATGTCGTTTTCACGAGATAATATGTCGTTTTCACGAGATAAATATTTTTCCTGGTATATTAAAAAAAATAATTACGTGTCCTAAAAGTACCACCGTAACATTAAACGAAACATCGAGGATAAATTTTTGGAAGATTGTCCTCCTAAAAATCACAAAAGATATGCTCTGGAGTTGGGCCATTTGAAAACGACGGATTTGAAAAAATATATGCTAATTGGTTAGTTTATAATTACCCATTACGTCATGTACAAACCCAACTTTTAAATAGCGACTTATGTCAAGGGTTTGTGTGGAGTTCCGAAATCACAAAACCTTGACATTGTGAGGATGGCAAAGGAATATACTTTTACATAAGTTTGGGATGTATCAGCACCGAAGGTCTGATTCCAACTAACAACAAAACATACATACTGAACAACATGAACAAAGAAAGAGTAAAATAAAAGGATTAACAAAAAGTATAAAGAAATCAAGTATCAAACAATTTTTGAGCGAATGATGACATTTCAGCGGCATGTTTAAAATAGAATTAAAGTAGATGAAAGATTAAGTGTCAATAAATATAAACAGAAGTCAATTAAGGGATTAAGTGTCCATCTCTGACTGTGCCTCGGGTGGGATTACGGCTGTGTGGAATTTATAAAATTTAACACATTTGTGGAAATATACGAAAGTTTTAATAACAATTTAAATAAAGTCCGAAAAGTTAATTCACATAGTAATTTATGATAATTCCAAAAAGGTCGTATTTTACACCGTAACAAATAGTTCTGGTACTAAAATTGTGAGATGGCACCAACATCGCGCATAACGTCATAACAATGGGGGAGGGGAGGGGGGTGGGGTACCGTAAGGTTTTTAAACTTAAGACTTAGATAGACTTTGAAATAAAAATGATGTAATTTTTGTGCTTCATAATATTAAGGCAGACATCATGATATAAGTTGTGACTTGAGACAAATTATTTTCTGATGTTAAATTCATAAATATATCTTTAGGATATTAAGTTCTATTTGAAATTTGTATTGATCAAATATAAATTGATTAGTACATAACTGGTGAGTTCAATATTTTCTTTCACAAGAAATTTTCTTTCCCATCCGTAATCATGACAGAATTTGACCTTACTACAAAAAAGTGGAGATAGAGCAACCTGCCTTCCAATGAACATTTCATACTAAATTAACTGTAAAACATAATGTTCAGCAAAAAAGTGTGGGGCCAGCCCCCCCCCCCCCCGTCCATATGTACACTGTACGTGCCTCAGTGCTACCACAATAATCAAGTCCATACAGTCACTTCGTGGTAAAAACAAATTCTGAAAGCCATATTTGAAACGAACTTGTTTGAGTTTAATTCAACAAAAAGTTGTAGGGTCTTATAAATGTGGCAAAGAAAACCCAGTTTTGAAGGTGAGTGAAAAACGTGTTTGAATTGACTACAGCTAGAATAATAGCTACGACTTCCTCTCAACTCAATAGAGTTCCTGAGTAAAAGAGGATCCAATCCCTATACCTACCCATTGACTTCTCCTGTCTATTTATAGTTATCACTGAGACACTGAGACATTTTATGCTTGTTGTTAGTTTTGGTATTTATCATTAACGAAGAAATGACAATACCTTGCAAATGGAGGAGGGACATATTGTATACATTTTCAGTTGGGAGGGGGTGACTATCAAATACCAAAATTCCTTGACAAGCAAAAAAAAAAGGTCATCAGACGTTATTATTGAGGGGGCACAAGCATATAGTAGCTATGTTTTCTATAGTATTCTATATATCGGCAAAATTATGCCCGCCCCCCCCCCCCGTTCCTACGACTATGTCTAGTGGAGATATTAAGGGGGGGGGGGGGGCTTTTGCTGATGACTTTGAGAATTTGGAGAAACGCAGAAATATTAGCCATTTGGGGCTGATTTTTTTTTTCATAATTTTGAGAGCCCTGGCCCCGGGATCATGAAACATCTTAAGCTTAAGTCAAAATCTTTATGATGGCACCAACATCTTGTAGAAGTCAAGCAAACCAAAATAAAAATATATTTCAGTATTGCTTCACAGAAGTGTTGTTATCTATAAATTTAGAAATTAATACAATAATTAATAAACATTTTACAGGTGATTGAAAAATTGACTTAATTAAGTCTAAGTCTATTTCATGATCCTGGGGCCTGGTTTTTTCCCCTTATCTACAGTATTTATGTCGGGATCAAGATTCCTAATTTTCCAGACTATTACTAGACAGGGGCTTGGGGGCTGAGAAGGGACTCGGAATCGGAGGGACAGAGCTTTTGCTTGTTTTAGTCGTAACTTAAGCTTTCTATGTGATACAGGACCATGTAAGTACTATACATTGAAATGATTGAAAAATCGTGTGATTTTCGCTGGGATGGTCTAGCATGACAAACGAAAAGTTGCACTATCTGTAAATTGATCTGTAAAATTATGTCGCTACAAACTTACCAGGTCCGTTACAATCATTAGATTTAGCTACATAGCTTGAATTACCTACATAGCTTTATTTACCTTCCTGAAGTAGCTTTATTTAGCTACTAAATCAAACTTATTTCTTAAATTAGCATTTTTCCCAGAAAGTGCAGAAAATTGCATTTTGATGCAGTGATAATTTTCTACTTTGAACTCATCTGAAAACAATTCATGAAAAAATCACCCTTGGAAATGTGTCTTTTTCTGTGCAATTGCAGTCAAAGTTCTAGAAGTTTTGGGGCTATATCCAACAGTTAATTTGTGACCTAACAGTTACTTCTCGAGTGAAATAACAAAGAAAACCAGTTTTGGTCAAGATGAGCACAATGTGAAGTAATCATACTTATCCATGCCTCATCGCACACAAGGTGGTTACAGTTACTCAAACAATGGAAATACATATTTTCCTTAAAAGTGTTCAAACGCAGCAATGTTAAAACTATCTCTGCTTTAGATTGCTTTTTAAATAATACATAGAATAAATATTAGTAGTCATTTACTTGCGACTTTTTGTCTTTTAAAATAAAAAGCAAAATTGTGAAAAGTTGCTTTGAAATAGTTAAATAAAGCTACCTGAGGTAGGTAAATAAAGCTACAGTAGGTAATTTTAGCTATGTAGCTATATGTACTGATTGTACTGGACCGGCCTGCTTACCTCACAAGTCTTCTGGTGTTTTTTCAAGTAAAAAAAAAATAAAACGAATTGTTTGTCACATCTGTTTGATAACTTAAGCCTGTATTGCCTAATATTGAATCTAAAAACATGTCTTGTATCGTATACGTTCATCACGTTGTAGAACCCAATTATGTTTTTTTTTTATTGTACAATCACTAGATTTAGCTATGTAGCTTGGATTACCTTCATAGCATTATTTACCTACCTAAATAACTTTGTTTAGCTACTTTATCATACTTTTTTTCTTAAATTAGTTTTTTTTTTCCAGGATATGCAGAAAATTGCACTTTTCAACTTTGAACTGATTGAAAACAATCCATGAAAAAAAATCACTCTTGAAGATGTGTATATTTGCCTTGGATTGCATTTTTAAAACTCCCTAGTATAAATATTAGTAGTCATATTAAATAAGAAGCAAAATTGTGAAAAGTTACATTGAAATAGCTAAGTAAAGCTACATCAAGTAGGTAAATAAAGCTTCATAAGGTAATTAAAGCTACATAGCTAACTCTAGTGATTGTACCAGACCTAATATACACAGGCAGCCTTAGAGCAAGTAGAAAAATGAGCAGTGGAGATTACAGAATGGTCCCTTACACATAGAGGAGATTTCAATATGGTCTAAATTTGCCGTTTAGTTGTGGAGATGTAAAATAAAGAGTATTTATTACATTTTTAACAGTGAAATACTATCCAATTATTGCTGTTTCTAAAGTTAATACAATGATTTAGCTACCTGAGGAGTACATTATTGTGAGATATGGGATTGTTTTTATATTTTTAAAAATAATTATATTGACCTAATTACAGAAGTAGAACAAAACTATACTAAAGCTGTCAAATTAATGTCTGCATGGAATCATGAAGATAGGGTCTCATTTATACATATTCATTTGGCAGAGAGATAGAGGGGGGGGGGGATCTGTATGACTTAAATAATAATTTAGCCATTAACCAACAATTATAAAATCTCAAAAGTATTTTTTTAATCTTCAATCGATGCTTTATGGGGGCTGACCTTTTTATTTTTAGGGACCGTCTCAAAATACAATTACATTTATTATAGGATTGTATGGGGAATGCTTTTTTCACACTTCAAAGCAAATTATAAAAAAATTTACAATAGAATTTTTGCTCCAATTAAAATATGTGATGATTAATACTATATTGTACATTATATGTAAAAAGCATACCGTCTGGTTACCACACATACATGTATATAGATATAAGCTTTCACATATGAAGTGCTCTTTATACCGGATTGATTTGGGCAGGGTCTTTTATGTTAAATTAGATGGAGTTCAAATCAGAGATAAAATTTTTTAGAGTTGCTGACTTAATTGATTTAGCATGATGTGAATTATTCAGATTAACCTACTTACAATGTGCCTATGTTGTGAGAAAAGCTTAATATTTATTTTCTTTGAGAGATATTAGATAAAATGTATAAATTCTTTATTATATAGTGGAATGCTTTATATGTTTAGTGAGTTCTTAGTTGCTTTGATTAAAAAACTAAAAAGAAATGCCTCCTTCATTATAACCAGTAAACCTTACATACACTCTGAAGATTTTTTTTCCCAGTCAAAACTTAAGCAAAACGTCTAAAAATAAAACTGTAATTTTTATTAAAAAAAATCTTATACTTTTTATATGAGAAAATTAATGCTAATAACCATTCTGGAAGAGTTGAGACATGTAATTGTTTAATCTTAAATTTTTTTAAATGACCAGTCAGGGTGTCAACTTCCACCTATTCTGACTTTCTGATAATCTAATTCCTTCTACTCATCGATTAATTAATTTGTTTTTTATAGCATTGAAGGTTAATTACAAATCACCTTAGCGTGAACTGTATTTTGGAAATCTTGGAAATATTTTTCATAACATTTCTATGTACCCCTGGTAATATTTTTTTTTCTGTAAGGAAATAAAAAAAGTAAAAAAAAAAAAATGGATAAATAAATTTTTAAAAAATAATTTAAAACTAAAAAAAAAAATTCAGCTGAAAATGTAAACTTTAACAATTTCATCTGATAAATCATTTTAATAAGATTTTTCATGTCAAGAAAAATGGTACTGAAAATTCTCAGCATATATTTTATTGTTGATAGACTATGAAAGGGAAATCTGAATCTGCTTATCATATCTCAAATGAAGATTAATCAATAATAAAACAATTATGTGTATGTAAGAGATTGTTTAATTTTACCTGCATGAGAAGATTATTTCATGCTCATAAAAGTTATTTCAACTACAGAAGGGGAGGCAATTATTGAAACCCTGCAATCGTTAAATTAATTAATCTGACAAGAAGTCCTGTTCCACATAGAAACTTACTTTTTTCAGGATTTAATTCAACATACTTGTGGAATGACTGGCAGTGATATATCATTAAATGGAAGTGCAATTTCATTGAGTGGCAGTGAAATATCATTGAATGGTAATGTGATCTCAATGAATGGTAGATTTATCTCATTGAATGATAGATTTATCTCATAGAATGGTAGATTTATCTCATAGAATTGTAGATTTATCTCAATAAATGGTAGATTTATCTCAATAAATGGTAGATTATCTCATTGAATGGTAGATTTATCTTATTGAATGGTAGATTTATCTCATTGAATGGTAGATTTATCTCATAAAATGGTAGATTTATCTCATTGAACGGTAGATTTATCTCATTGAATGGTAGATTTGTCTCAATGAATGGTAGATTTATCTCATAGAATGGTAGAGAATGATAGATTTATCTCAATGAATGGTAGATTATCTCATTGAATGGTAGATTTATCTCATAGAATGGTAGATTTATCTCATAGAATGATAGATTTATCTCAATGAATGGTAGATTATCTCATTGAATGGTAGATTTATCTCATAGAATGGTAGATTTATCTCATAGAATGGTAGATTTATCTCATAGAATGGTAGAGAATGATAGATTTATCTCAATAAATGGTAGATTATCTCATTGAATGATAGATTTATCTCATTGAATGGTAGATTTATCTCAATGAATGGTGGATTATCTCATTGAATGGTAGATTTATTTCATTGAATGGTAGATTATCTCATTGAATGGCAGATTTATCTCATAGAATGGTAGATTTATCTCAATGAATGGTAGATTTATCTCAATGAATGGTAGATTATCTCACTGAATGGTAGATTTATCTCATTGAATGGTAGATTTATCTCATTGAATGGCAGACTGAGTGTAATTGAATTGATTGGCATGATTGTAATGTCACTTAATTGCCATGTACTAGTAATTATATTTACAGGCAGAGATAGGTTTCTTTTTTCATTCCTTCAAGAATTTTTCAGTTGGAAGCATTGCTATGTCATTATAATCTATGAATTTCAGTGTGATTTATTTAATGGCAGTGTAATCTCATTGAATTTTAGTGTAATTTATTTAATGGCAGTGTAATCTCATTGAATTTCAGTGTAATTTCATTTGAATCTCAGTGTGATCTTATTAAATGGCAGTGCAATTTCATTGAATGACATCTTGTTAAATGGCAGTGTCATCTCCTAGAAAAGTTTCATGATATCATGTGGTCATCATTATATATGTAACAATTATACAGCAGATCACATACACAAACATGTTTATTCAGATGTACAGGATTTGCAGTACATGAAGGTGCTTGACAAGGGTATTGGTAATGTTATGAAAACATGAATTCTTAGATTTTATGGAGCAGGAATAGCTGGCCTGTCAATCAAACTGGAATTATTGGTAATGATCTCAAAGCAAGTGCACTTTATGGATGATAAAGTTTTAACTCTAACACTGAACAGTAATAAATGTACATGTAGCAATAAAATTTACAGTAATTTTTTCCTATTTCAGGTCTTAAAGAATATTTCAGAGCTTATGAAAGTGATGTGCATGTGTAAAAATGGAAACATCTCAAAAACATCCAGATGACGCTCAGGATTTTCTCTCCCAATTAATGAATGCAGAGGAAAAATGTTCAACTCTGGAGGATATAGATCCCAATAAAATCCGCAATGATCGACATGAGAGAAATTTACAAACCATGATGGTAAGTTATTTATAATTTCAATTGTTTTCAGGATTAATATCTCTAAGGTATGGCAAATTTTATTACAGAGTGGTTTGATTTGCATTTTGTTTCATCTTGTTCATATCAGATCCATTTTTGTTGCATTTTTTTTAAGAGTTTGTGAAACATTTTTAATTTTCCTGGCTACCTTAAGGCACTGAAATATTTGCTCCCACACTTCACATAGCCTTAAATGATAAGAGTTCTGATGATATACTACACCATCAAATATTGTTGGTAATTAACACAAAGGTTTCTGTGATGTTTACAGTGCATGGTCTCAATTTGATGTGATGAATTGTGCTTTTTTTCTTATAGGCTGCTGATTCTGAAATTGCAAAGAAGATGTTTCCACAAGTAAGAGCCAATTGTTACAGTAAAACACAGCTACATACATGCTTAATATAATGAATTCCTGCTTACAGCAATGTGATTTTTAATTTTTATTCCTAGTAGTTTTAAGGTTTTTCACTATTCCATTACTAAGCAAGCATCTTCATGAGGAAAAAAATGTCTGTTTTGATAAGGTCCAGGTTGGATTCATAATTACCAATTTCTTTATAGGTGTTTCAGGTGTGCATTGTGGGCCTCATGTTTTGATTTTTATTCTAGGATTTTTGTAAACCCAATAGTCAGACAGAAAAAGCAGCTGTAACTATACAAAAGTATGCAAGAGGTTATCTTGGAAGGAAGAAATATGTGGAGTTGCTATGTGATCAATTTGAAAAAGTATGAGTTGATCTGTTCAGGTTCTATTGTTATTGTAGAGGAATTTTATTTCAAAAAATAAGTTTTCCTTTCACAGTGTGTCTCTGATCAAATGTTCAAACAAATTCTCCCAGTTTGCTGTCCTGTACTAAAGACAAATCATATATGTTAACAATTGGATTTTCATTCTTCTACACCTGCTTCTTTTAACAACAAGACCTGTGGGGCTTCTAGGTTCTCCTGATAATACCTGCAGCTTTTAATTCATAGTGATATACAGTAAAACATACTTATAGCAAACACGCTTTTAACAAAGTGATGTTCATTCCCCATGACTTTAAAATATATTATAAACTTATTGAATATAATGAATTACACTTACAAAGATGCAAAATCGCCCTGGCACTTCATTATAAGCATGTTTTACTGTACATGTATGAAGAAAAAAGTCTTTTTGCTCCCTCCCCCAACTTTGAGAGATGTTGCTATGGGCCTGCTTAATGCCAAGTTTGAAATTGGCTAAGTGGTACTAATCAAAAACATAAAAAGTTAAGAATGACAAATGACAGACAGACAGAAGGCCATGGAACATTTTGGTCAGAAAAGTACATCTCTTGAGTCTTTGGCTTAGTTAAACTAAATGGAATTAGGACAACAAAAATTCAGAGAAAGAAAAAACATGAAGGGAAAAAAACATTCTCAGTGTGTTTGCAAATGAGAAGTAGGGGAAATGATTGCTGGTATATGTATTTCAAATTCTGTTGTAGGATCAATCAATTATGCAGCTTAAAATAAAGGAACAGGTTGAAGAAGGAGAACTCCTAGTAGAAAAGTAAGAAAATTTATATTCTTTCGTTTTTCTCAATACTGTATACAGGGTTATTTTCACCCATTTTATTTTTTGCCCTTTATCACTTGTAAACAATTTTACCCCATCTTAAATTCACCCAGAAAAAGTTTTGCTTAAGAGATTATGCTGTCTTTTTTGATTCGCCCCATTTTGAATTTGCCCACTACAGGCCTCTAAGTGTCCTCTAAAATTTAGGCGCCAGCTGGCGCCTAATCAAAAATATTTAGTCGCCAATGCAAATTTTTAGTCGCCAGGCAATTTTTTTTAAGGTGCCAACTTTAAAAGCTAATATAGGGACCCATGACGTGACTAAGAAAACACAACATGTCCATTGCTAAAAATAATATCCTCTTCTTTTTAATTTCTTTTCGCTTTTTTAGAAAAATTGTTAAAAATGTTAAAATTTCTGGAATCCGGTGATCCCCAAGTCAATTTAAAATGGTCTCCAATTTGGCGACTTATGGAAAATTTTTAGGCGCCAATCAAAAATTTTAGGCGCCATGGCGACTAAATTAGTCGCCAATTAGAGCCCTGCACTAGCAACGAGGGCTTCATTGAATGCAAAAATTTTTCATGTCTACAAAGAGGGAACATATTTTAAATCTCCTTCTCAACTGTGACTCAGTTGAGTGTTGTGGCCCAAGGACCTCTAGTTTTTAGGTCACCTGAGTCACTCAGGTGACCTATTGCTATCTGTTTTCGTCCGTAGTCGTCCGTCATGCGTCGTCCGTCGGTCGTAAACTTTTGAACATTTTCAGCATCTTCTCTTGAACCACTGAACCAATTTCAACCAATTTTGGCATATAGCATCAATGGGTGAAGGGGTACAAAAATTGTGAATTTCATGGTCCCTGCCCCCCTGAGGCCTGAGGGGTGGGGCTAAAACCATCAAAATTAGTGCTATCTTTAAAAATCTTCTTCTTTACTCCTGGGCATCAAGCAGTCAAACTGTTGGCATGATTGTAATAAGCATTGAGCCCTCTACCAAAATTGTGAAATTTGTGGCCCCAGAGTCAGGGGTTCTGGTGCTAGGGCGGGGCTATATAGATCATATAGTGAAAGTGCATTATTTCTTTGAAAATCTTCTTCTCTGCTCCTGAGTATTATTGAAACAAATTGAATACATAGTTATGATAAGCAAGGGTGATACTACCAAAATTGTGAAATTCATGGCCCCAGGGTCAGGGGTTCTGGTGCTAGGGTGGGGCTATATAGATCATATAGTGAAAGTGCATTATTTCTTTGAAAATCTTCTTCTCTAATCTTGGGTATTATTTAAACAAATTAAATACATAGTTATTATAAGCAAGAGTGACTCTACCAAAATTGTGAAATTCATAGCCCCAGGGTCAGGGGTTCTGGTGCTAGGGTGGGGCTATATAGGTCATATAGTGAAAATGCATTATTTCTTTGAAAATCTTCTTCTCTACTCCTGGGTATTATTGAAACAAATTAAATATATAGTTATGATAAGCAAGAATGACTCTGTCAAAATTGTGAAATTCATGGCCCCAGGGTCAGGGGTTCTGGTGCTAGGGCGGGGCTATATAGATCATATAGTGAAAGTGCATTATTTCTTTGAAAATCTTCTTCTCTACTCCTGGGTATTATTGAAACAAATTAAATATATAGTTATGATAAGCAAGAATGACTCTGTCAAAATTGTGAAACTCATGGCCCCAGGGTCAGGGGTTCTGGTGCTAGGGTGGGGCTATATAGATCATATAGTGAAAGTGCATTATTTCTTTGAAAATCTTCTTCTCTACTCCTGGGTATTATTGAAACAAATTAAATACATAGTTATGATAAGCAAGAGTGACTTCCAAAATTGTGAAATCCATAGCCCCAGGGTCAAGGGTTCTGGTGCTAGGGCGGGGCTTTATAGATCATATAGTGAAAGTGCATTATTTCTTTGAAAATCTTCTTCTCTACTCCTTGGTATTATTTAAACAAATTAAATACATAGTTATGATAAGCAAGAGTGCCTCTTCCAAAATTGTGAAATTCATGACCCCAGGATTACGGGTTCTGGTGCTAGGGCGAGGCTATATAGATCTTATATTTAAAGTGCATTATTTCTTTGAAAATTTTCTTCGCTACTCTTCGGTATTATTTAAACAAATTAAATACGTAGTTATGATAAGCAAGGATGCCTCTTCCAAAATTAAGAATTTCATGTCCCCTGGATCAGGAGTTCTGGTATTAGGGCGGGGCTCTATTTATTATAGAGTGAAAATGCATTTATGTTTAAAAATCTTCTTCTCTGCTCCTGGGTATTATTTAAACAAACTAAGTAAATTGTTATGATGAGCAAGGATGCCTCTTCCAAAATTGTGAAATTCATGGCCCAAGGATCAGGGGTTCTGGTGTTAGGGTGGGGCTATATAGATCCTAAAGTGAAGGTGAATTATTTCTTTGATAATCTTCTTCTCTGCCCCTGGGTATTATTTTAACAAATTAAGTACATTGTTATGATACACAAGGATGCCTCTTCAAAAATTGTGAATTTCATGGCCCCAGGGTCAAGGGTTCTGGTGAAAAGGGGGGGGGGGCTCTATTGATTATATAGTGAAAAAGCAAAATTTCTTTGAAAATATTCTTTTCTTCTCCTGGTTAAAAAGCAAAGAAGCTAAGTGTATAGTTATGATGAGCAAGAGTGCTTCTTCCAGAGTAGTGAATTGCATGACCCCTGGGTCAGATGTGCTGGAATAAGGGTGGGGCTCTTGATAATATAGTGAAAATGCATTAATTCTATTAAATAATCCTGTCTGCTCTTAGTGGTAAGCAGATAAACAAAGTGATTACTTATGATGGGCAAACTTCTGGTCCCAGGGTGAGAGGCTCTGGTGTTTCTTGCCGGGGGAGAAGAGGAGGGGGGGCTCTATTGATAAGTTTGTTAATATACTGTATGGTGATAGTGATAAATGGGGAACAGATTAGAACCTAATTTATGAACTGTTAATGAATACTAGATTAATTATTTTGTTGATCCTGATCACTCTATTTTTCTTGCTTTTGGGTAACAAAGCTTCACCTTTCAGTTCATTTTATACTCTATGGATCCTCTAAATTGTTGCATTATACTCAGGTGACCGTTAAGGCCTTGGGCCTCTTGTTATTCTGATCCTGTATCATAAGAGTAAAAAGTTACTTCAATACAATAAAATATATAGCAATTATTAAGTAATTAAAAAAAAAATCCTTGCAGTCATCGTCTTGAAGTTTTGCTGGATGATAACCTGACAAGAAGACGAAATAAATCCAGACAGTATATAACCGATATAATAACGTGAGTATAAATCCAGACAGTATATAACATATATACATGTAATAACTTAGGTATAAATCCAGACAGTCCGATATAAAATCAAATATAAATCCAGACAGTAAATGACCAATATAATAATGTGAGTAGACAGTATATAAATGATGTACATGTAATAACTTAATTTTTCTGTTGAATTAAATTCCGATCAGATATAATACATTGTACTTATGAAAAATAATGTCAGTTCAATATTTTCAATTTTGAGAACTAAAAGATTTGATATAAATGATGTAAATTTCATTATTTATTACCTCTAGGAGACACAAAATCAGTTTTGCTATATTCGTAAATTCATTTTATCAGAGTTTGTTGTAACCTTAAAATTTTACAAGGAATTGATAAGAATTTGCTGGGGATCCCAAAAATCCTCACTATATCCATAATTTCCCTTTATCTGTGTTTATACAAAACGAGTTTTACTGTATATGGTTATTTTTTATTTTTGTCATCTAGTATACAGCGAGCATGGCGTTCATATCTAAGAAGAAAAAACAGAGATCATGAAGATGACACTAAGAAAGATAACTCTACAGAAAAAGGTAAACAACATCTACCAGAGGCTGTCCAACAAACTCTTACAACTGTGGAGGAAAGTGACTCCATGTCATCGTCTTACTCTGAGGTGTCTTTAGCAGATAGCAGACAGTTCAGACATGTGGAAAGTGGAAGGACTGAAAATAATCCAAATATTGTACAAAACCCAGGAGAGAGTGAGGAGGACTTCAACAGACGCCGACGTAAAGTCAATTATCTTAGTCTGGCTCAGGAGTTTGCTGAACTCCAGAGGACAAACTCTGATTTTGTTGCACCTGAAAATGGACAGACTGAAGGAGTATCTGTTGGTTGTAAAAATATCTGTGATGAAAACTCAGGTGGTGAAGATTCTAGGAATAAAGCACAGTCAAAACAGGAGGTGAAATCTAGGTCAAATTTTAATTCTGGGGAGACGGAGGATTTTGAAGTGTATAATATGGATACTGCCCTACCCTCTTTTGACTGGGAGGATTTAGAACAGAAGCTACAGCAAGCTACACAAACCAGTAACAAAATGGTAAGCAATAGTATATGATGCTGCTAGTTTCTAATTCTACTAAGGTTATCGAAAAGATCAAAGAGATGCAGTGGCCCTTATTTAAACAATAAAATGCTTTCTTTGGTTTTTAGTAGAGGAATTAATCTTGCAGCTGTTGCAGAAAAAAATACATACTCGTGTAAGCGGGTTATGTAATTTTTTTCTGCAATAGCTGCAATGTTAATTCCCAAACTAACAAAGCAAAGAAAGACATTTTATTGTTTGTATTTATATCTGTACAAATAATCAGTTAAAGTAGGATTAAGAAGATTAGACATTGTTCGTTTAATGGAGGGAAAAACCACTGCTCAAGAAATCTGTATGGGTGATATGCTTAGTGGTGTTTACTGACTGATAAACGACAATGGTTTTCTTAAGAAATAAAAGAGATAATATTTAGTGGATGTAAATATTTTCCAATATATCATGAACGTCAGCAAATTATCAACAAATTTAAATCAATATCCTCCAATACTGACTTTATTTACTAGAGAAGGATAGAGGTATCTTGATTGTGACGCAAATTGATGGGGAAAAAATTAACTTTGGGTTCTGATTACATCACACTTTTTCTAAAGCTTAAGGTACAAACCAATGACGAGTAGGATTCATTGTGATGTCAAAAGACACTTTTGATTCTTCTGTTGAGGTGGCAGGCAATTCCAATCAAACAATAATTTTTAATTCTGATCACATTTTGTCTGGCATTCGTCTGTCTGTCTGTAAACTTTTCACATCTTCAACTTCTTCTCAAGAACCACTGGGCCAATTTCAACCAAACTTGCCACAAAGTGTCCTTAGGTAAAGGGGATTCAATTTTATTCAAATGAAGGGCCACACCCTTTTTCAAGGGGATACTGTATGTGTACTTAAAAAAGCGGGCATCATATTTTAGCGGCTTTGGCACAGACAACGATGCGCTAATTCATGAATACCGCTAAGAAATCATTTTAAAATACAATATACGTCATGGACATGTATAGCGCTAATTCATGATTTTGTCAACAACTTCATACCCAGTGATTGTGCTAAATTTTAAATACGCCAATTTATGTACAAGTATACAGTAATTAACAATTAGTGAAAATTTGGTGGCATCATTTAGAAATCTTCCTCTCAAGAACCACTGGGCCAGAAAAGCTGACACTTATGTGAAACCTTCATTATATAGTGTAGATTAAATTTTTTTTCAAATCATGACCCTGAGGGGTAGGGTGGGACCACAGTGGGGGATCTAAGTTTTACATAGGAATATATAGGAAAAAATATTTTAAAATCTCCTTCTCAAGAACAACAAAGCCATGATTAGTCATATTGATATGGAAGCATCCTCAGGTAGTGTAGAATCAAATTTGTTCAAATCATGACCCCTGGGGATAGGGTGGGGCCACAATGAGGGATCAAAGTTTTAGACAGGAATACAGTGTATGTAGCAAAAAAACATTTAAAATCTTTTCAAGAACAACAATGAGGGATAAAAGTTTTACACAGGAATATATAGCAAAAAAAACCACATTAAAAATCTTTTTTTCAAGAGCAACAAAGCCATGATTAGTCATATTGATACAGAAGAATCCTCAGGTAGTGTAAATTCAAGTTTGTACAAATCAGGGCTCCTGAGGGTAGGTTGGGGCCATAATGGGGGATATATATATATATTATATATATACTTTGAATTTATCATTCAAGCAGTTCAAACTACTCATGTCTCTTTTTTTTTAAGGCACAAAGAAATGATAGAGAAGCAATACGCAAGAAATTAGCCATGGATGCTGGAGTTGATGATGATTGTAACACTCAGAAATTTTACAAGAAACCATCAGTAACAAAGTCGTCTAATACAAACCTACAAATCTGCTTCATGAATGAAGAACAGGAGATGGCCGATCCTCCATCTCATCAGGTAACTTACTGTGTCTGTTCTGATCTACTGGGTTATTACCGTCATATATAATAACTTATTGTATACTTGGGAATATCCACACAAGGTAACTTACTTTGTATTTAAGAATATCAAAACAAGGTAACTTACTGTATATTTGGGATTATCCACACAAGGTAACTTACTGTATATTTGGGAATATCCAGACAAGGTAACTTATTGTATACTTTGGAGTATCTACACAAGGTAACAAACAGTATACTTGGGAATATTCACATAAGTTTACTTATTGTATACTTGGGAATATCCTCAGAAAATTACTTATTATAAACTTGACAATATCCACACAAGGTAACTTGCAGTATACTTGTGAGCATCCACACAATGTTACTTATTGTATACTTGGGATATACAAGGTAACTTAGTACACTTGGAAATGTCCAAACAAGGTAACTTACTGCATACTTGGGATTATCCACACAAGGTAACTTAATGTATACTTGGGATTATCCACACAAGGTTACTTACTGTATACATGTACTTGGGATTATCCACACAAGGTTACTTACTGTATACTTTGGATTATCCACAAAAGGTTACTTACTGTACACTTGGGAATAACCACACAAAGTTACTAACTGTGGATAAGCCAACAAGACACAATTATCAAACTGCTGAAATTTATTTGGGGTATAGAATATTTTCATTTTTGACAATTCAACAATGAACTTCTGATGAACATCCAGACATTGCCTTTAAATTCCTTGTTTGATTTTTCTCATAGCTTGCTACATGAATTAAGCCTTCACACTTACATAAAATATAATTGAGATGATTTTTTGAGGCATATAGTAAGAGATTTATGAAATATTTGAAAAAGTGAGAATATATTTCTTTGATGAATTGGGTAAAAGGTTTATAAAATATTTGTCACGACAAAAAAGACCTCAATTTTTGTTTAAATATAGGATTTTGTCTTGCCTAAGCTTAATCCTCAAGAGACTCAAAATGGAAGAGAACACGGCAGAGAAAAGAAAAAGGATGGAGATTTTTTAGTTCAACAAGCCAAGCTACAGCAAGAGGTCAAAATAGCCCTTGTACAAGTGAGTACATTGTCACAACATGTGTAATGTTAAAACTAGCCAACATGTGTAATGTTAAAACTAGCCACCTCAGATCCCGTGGAAAATTGCCCTTAATGAATCGGCTTCAGTATAGAGCAAATCATAAATGTATGAGTGAAAAGTATCAGTGCACAACTTCTTGAGCATTAAAACTGAAATACATGTATTTTTTTAATTGATATAAATAAAGATTTTTAAGTGACTTGGATGGTCCAAGCATATTGTCCAAAGGATGAAATATTACATCACTGTTACAGAGAAGAGTTAAAAGAATGTGTGTTTAATTCCTGTAAATCACTTTTTCTTTGTGAGAACTTTGTTTCTGCATAATTATGTGAGATGGCCTGCCTGCAAAAAATTTCATTCTCATTTAAAATTCTACTATTTAACATTATATAGAGCAGTAACCAGAATTAGTGAAAATTTTGTTTCGCTTATAAATGCCAAAATAAAACCTTATGAAAATACAATTAAAGTGTCATGAAAATTTAATTATCTACAGTATTTCTCTTTTTGACATTATATTCTATTTTCTTAGGCAGGAACCATGGCCCATATGCAGTTAGAAGTAGAGAAACAAATCAAAAAGAAATCCCCTAGTGCAGATTCAGTAAGTGTGTTGTTATAGGTGAATCTATTACTTCATGTTAATTTGTCAAATTTATCTGACAGCCAAAAAAAAAACATCAACATTTACTCTGTGTCAAAGCAGTCTAAAAGCAGCAAAGCACAGAATATGCCCAGCATACACTGTTCAGTGACGGTATGCTGGTCCAGCATTTACAGCATTGTTGCTTGCAGTTACATGTATTACCTGTCACCCTATCTTGAAAATCAAGTGAGATTTTCTGATCAAAGTTTGCTCTTTGTCTGTTATCAGACATCTTTTAAGGAATCACTTTGTGACTTTCAACCAGGCTCAGCTTAAAGGAACTCAATGAGAAAAAAAAAAGGGGGGGGGGTAGATTTAGGCTTTAATAGGGGATCAAAGTTTTGCATGGGAATATACAGGGGGGAAAATCTACAAAAATCCAATCCAATACAGATTCAAATATGTTCTAATCATTGCCATGAGGCATTAGGGTAACATTTAATAACCAGTAAGTCTGGCAAATATAGGTAGTGCAGTTTGTTTAAATCATGACACAGAGGCCATGATTTGGCTAATACAGGGATTCAGTTTTACATAAGAATATCTAGAAAAAAATTTAAGCAATTTGTTTAAAGAAGAAAAGGACAATTCTTAGCCTTTTGTTATGCAAACTTTTTCAAGTTGTGCAATACAGAGCATGTCAAATCAATTAACTTGTACCGTACATAGTTTAGACTTAGTAGAACAATATTCTCGTTATGTCAGAGACAAAGTTCAACCAACTATAAAATAATGAAAACATTTCTGTTTATATGTTCTTTGTTACAACACAAAGTTGCAGTGTGTCTGGAGTTACTATGAAGCTAAAATCAGTGTCTGATCAAATTTTACAAAATGCATGTACACATATATAAAGGGGAAAAAATCTTCTCTGAAAAAACAAGGCCACATTAGTCATATTGATAATGAGAGATCCCCATGTTGTGTGAATTCAGATTTGGTTAAATCATGACCCCATGGGGCTGTGGGTGGGACCATGGGTATAAATTTTTTCAAGAGAATTTATATCCAGTAGGGATAAATCTTTTAAAATCTTCTGATGAAGAACATTAGGGCCAAGGTGACTCAGACAAGCCTCTTGATTTTATTCTTTTGTTTTATTGGCTACATTCAGGAGAGCAATTCTGGCTCCTGGAAGTTTGTCTACAATATATTTTTCTATTCTAATAGAACTATAAATTAAAGGAATGACTAAGGAGAGTTTTCTGGCTTACTGACCTCTTCTTTCTGTTACAGGTCAAAGTTTCATTTCTTGAGTCAATTCATCAGAGTAGAGTGGGAAAGCAAGATCTGTTTGTGATGAATTTAGGACAGCTTCAAGTCTTAGTGAATGATCTTCACACACAAATTGAAAGTAAGTTAAGAGATAAGTACATTACCATCATCACAAAAAGCTTACAATAATTATCCTGATTTCAATATTTTTGTTCAAGAGTTTGTAATAAATTGTTGAAATAAAACTTCAACACTCAGGTGATTCTTGAAAACTTGGAAATACTTTAGGAGATAAGCTCTGGTATTAACTTTAGAGAGATCCTGTATTAACATATGACTTAATATGTACAGCATTGTGCCAAAAGTATTCATGAAAAAATGGCAGACTTGAAATTTTCACAATTTTTAAAATATTCACAATTTAAAATTTTGTCATAAATTTTCATTTTATATCTATACATTGAAACTGAGTCAGATCAAAGGTTATTGTGATGTCATGATTGAAATCTGGCCCTCGCTGACAGATCAAGTAAATAGAAATGAGAATTTGAGAGTAGAATATAGAATGAAATGTAAAGATAAAAAACAGTAATCATGATCAAAAGTCAAATTAAACAATACAAATTGTGAGTAGAGCAAACATGGACCTCTGAAAACAGATGTGGGATCAGGTGCCATGGAGGATTGAGCATTCCCTGTTGACAGGGCACACCCTGTCAACAGTGTCATGATCAGGCAAACGAAAAATCCATAGACAATTTAGTGTGGAAATAATGTAACAATTTCACCAGTCAAAATTTGACCTAAAAATAAATTGTATCAGCAAACTAGGTCATTTTATTTACCGTAGAATTTGTAAATTTTCGACTTCAAACGAGATTGTTGTTACTGTTATATCATCAACTTATTTGTCAGTAGCCTGTAGAACATGTTCTTGCCCATCAAATCAACTGGGAGACATAAACCATATGCAGGTGATAATGGTATATTGCTACATAAATAAGGGAAGTTGATGATAGAAGTGTCGTAGTCATCATGATTATCATAAAGATTAGTTGTTAGTTTGCCATCAATGTTTTTCTCTAGTAGAACTTTTTTAAAAAAACAGATTTAAATGAGGAATTGATGAATCTCCTTATGGAGAGAGATGAGTTACACATGAGCCAGGACTCCATGCTTGTGGATATAGAAGACCTCACCAGGTATCTGTATTGGTTTCTTTATACCCGTGTGTTGCACTGTAAGAATTATATGGAATAGATTTAGCTCACCTGAGTCAAAGGCTGAACTTCGCTTTTCTGATCAAGGAGTGTCTGGCATGTCTGCTATGTGTAGTGTGTTGTCTATAAACTTTTTTCATTGTCAACTTCTTCTCCTCCAGAACCACTTCCCATAAATCACCCTATGATGAAGGAACTCAGTATTATCTTTTTTAATTAAGGACCACACCCTCTTTCAAGGGGAAATAATGTAGAAATAGTGATTTGGTGGCATCATTGAAAAATCTTTTTTAGATAAACCATTTATGAAGTCTTCTTGAATAGTGGAGATCAAATTTTTACTTGGGAATATGTAGGAAAAAATTTTAAAATCTTCTCTTCAAGAAAAGCATGGTCATGGCAGTTTATGCTGCCGTATTAAATTTTGCTATATATTCTTACCAAAAATGCACAACTTTGAGTAGTTGGTCTTAATTTAAAACACACTTTGGAGAGGTTTCCTTTGAGATCTTGTTAAGCAATTCTTTATAAACATTTTAGTACCAAAAAAAAAACACATCCTGCAAGGCACGCAAGTTTATTTCAGTTGAAGTCTAGCTGGTGCTTGAAAATCAAGTGCATTGGCCTAATCACTCCCCCACTCTCCTTCCCTCTCAAATACAGTGTACAAAAAATTAGAGTGAAAAAACTTGGAGGGAAGATTCAGGAATTATTGCATCAGCCATGTTTTGATGTGAACCTCAACCAAATTACTGTTATGACACCTGCATTAATCACATTATTGCACAAGCATCCCAAGGAAGTGCAGATTCAAGTTTGTTTAAATGAAAGCTGCCTGGGTATTCAGGAAAAAAATCTTTAAAACTCTTCAACTCAAAAACAGCATGGCCATGATTATAGTCATGTTTTAAAAAGGCATGCATCCTCAGATAGTGCAGATTCATGTCTATTCTAACCTGGGGTAGAGTGTGGCCACAATTAGGGATCAAAGTTTTATTTTGTAATAATATTAACTTCAAAATAAAGATTTCTCATGACAATGAAGCTATGAATGACAAAAATATTTTTCTTGGGAAGTGTTTAAAAGAGGGAAGAGAATTACTAGTATTTTGAAATTGCCATTCAATCACTCTCTAAAGAAACTTTACTAAGGTCAATCACTCTCTAAAGAAACTTTACTAAGGAAATGTTTTTGCCTAATGTGACTGGGTTTGACCATGAAAAGTGCTTGAATTTTTTTACTCATGCAGTCCTTAAAAAAGGGCTTGAAATGTTTAAGCAGCAAAAAGTCAAGGAAAAGGGCTTAAATTTGCATGCCAAGTGCTTGAAATTTTTTTCTGTGGAGCTTGAATTCTGATCTTGAGTAGCTATATATGCAAACAAATTTCAAAAAAAGGAAAAAAAATTGTATTGATACCTTTTTATAGCAGAACCCATTACAAAATGTTGAAAAAAACATAAATAAGAGTTTAATGAGCTAAAAAAATTAATACAATCCCAATAAATATATTGTGTCCATTTTTTTTATTTGTGTGATTGTATTGTCCAAAAGTGCTTAAAAATGCTTGAAAAATGGTCTAAAAATGCTGGAAAAGTGCTCAAAAATAATGTTGCTGGGTCTTTACTAACCCTGTCTGATATATTTATGTAGATATTATAATTTGCAGGAGAGCAGAAGAAACAGCAAAAAAGCATTAGGAAGTTCCTCTCCAATGGTTACTGATGTCTCCCCAACAAGCCACAAAATGCCTGAATATTAACTGAGGTGTGTCCCAGTGATTCTCCTAGAGACAGTTTCAGTTTATGTTATGATGTATTTACATTTAACCGCCATGTTCTACAGAGACCTGATCAGCTGTATTGGTTTAACATGCTTGCATTGTGATGTCACCAATATATAGAGATTAACTGCTTTACAGTCCAGGTTATTGTATTGTATAATTTATTGTATAATGCATTTATTAATAATTATATCATAAAATATGTAATATATTGGTGTGGCTGATTATTGACCCCTACTTTTGCTAAAAATTTTATATTTAAATATTGATTTGGATCTGTCCATCTGTCAGTCTAAAACTTAAGCTTCTAGGTGATATCTTTGAATGGCCTTTAATTTTTTTGCAGTGAAATTTTTGCAGTGAAATATTATATAACCCCTACAACTGAGGAGCAAGATCAAAATTTTGATGCCTGACAAAAAAAAACAAACAAACTAAAGTTACATAGTTTTACTCAATTCCAGCCAAACTCTACCCTTAAAACTTAATTTGAGGGATGTTGATCCTTTGTTTATCAAGTACCTAGCATTTATTACACTATATTTCTTTTGTTAACTCATAAGCAGAAACATTTCAATTGCCAATAATGTAATGAAGTCCCATGTACAATATGCACATTTTTGATGTCATTACTGGTGTGGGATGACAAAAACTTGAGGCTCTTTACCCCCTCCCTCTAACTGTATAAATTTAGTTTTTTATCAGACATTGATCTTTTGATCTTACCCTGATTTTGAGGTCAAAGGTCAAGGGTCAGAAATTCATAATATTGCATAAAATGGTTCTCGGATTGATAACTGCAGTTCTTGAACTTTTGATATGAAGTGTTGTAACTATGACTAAAGAAGGCACCAAATGATTTTGAGGTCAATGGTCAAAGACGGGGGTAAGAAATTCTACATTCATATATCCATTATATTGCATTAAATGGTTTCAAGGTGATAGATTTTGTTCCCCTATAGCTTTTGCATTGAAACCTTTATAGATATTGAGGCCAAAAGGTGAAAGGTTAAGGTCAATTTTACTTTCTCTCACCATCTGCAATTATTAGTCTTTGATAAACTTGTTCTGTCCTTAAGCTGGGGTCAAATATTCCCTGAATAAGTTTGTATTAATTCACTTGGTTATAATTTACTAGTAAAATCAATCATGCATCTACTTCAGAATTATCTAACTTCTTGAGATTTAATCTCTATGATTGCTGATAATGTACAGGTTTGTTTGGAAGACTTTACCCATTTATCAATACAGTGTATTCATTGAGAATGTAAATTAATACATGATGAAAAAGCACCCTTTTATCATGAAACAGACACAGAGTATTATGAAACTGCACTATTTTAACTTGAAACAAATAACATGAGACAGATATGGTGTTCCAAGTTTGGTTGAAATTGGTCAGGTGGTTCTTGAAAAATGAAAATGTGAAAAGTTTACTTAACAAGACATATTTGACAAACTTTGATCAAAGGAGCTCATTTGAGCCTTTGTTGAACTATTACAAACAAGACAGACAAACAGACAAAACAAACTCAACATTTCTGATGAGACTGTTACTGGTCTGTACATATAATAAAGGAAGACAAAAGTATCACCTCAATATGAACTACTTCTTTTAGATTTGCTATTATTTATTATATGTCTTGATGCTTTCTAAAGTTGTACCAAATTTGTGAAATCATTATAAGTGCCAAATTCAAGTCTTTTATATATATTTAAAAATGAAAGTAAAAGAGTTTGGCCATGTAAAAAGGGGAGATAAATAGGGAAATATAAAAAAAAAAGTAGTGGTTGCTTAAAAATCTCAACAAGAACCACTGGACAGATTATCAATAATCTTATATACTGTAGCATTTTGTGTGTCTGTCCCATGGTACATCTTACCATCGATACATAATGTCAGATGGTGGGATAGCTGCAAAGGCCTCTTCTACATTTGGATGCCAGAGAGAGTGGAAGTGCTATGAACAGCAGCAGGAGTCAGTCCGTGGCCAGAATCCACAGATACTGATTGTGTTTGTATTTATATTGTGTAAATAAATTAGTAGTCTTATTCCAGACAAAGACTTCAGTACATAAGGATGAGGATAAATTGTAGATTAAAATTTGTTCAAGACATCACCCTAAGACAAAGGAAGCTGGTCACAGATCCTTTGATCCACTTACATACTGGTCACAGTGACCTATTTACTTAATTTGGAAGCTTGTCATTTTCAAATGAGCTAAAGTTAGAGGTGTGACAATTTACACATATATTGGTATACCGTGATACACAAACAAATTGTATCTTATCGCAGTACGTAAAAAGTATACCTGCATATCCCAATCTGTCACATTTTCTGAAGGACTGTAATGAAATTAAAGTTATAGCCTGGTGATGCATGTATTGCTATAGACGCTTGTAATGATGAAGTGTTTGTGGGACCTTATATTACTTGTTCACAAAAATGGTGTCTGATGAGCCTACGGCATTATTTCTTTTTATTTGAACCTAAATAAAGCGTTTTTCTTAATAAATTGTGCCTTGTTAATCCCGATACTTGTGTTCCCGAGCATATTGTCTCCAGATTAGTGAATCGTCCAGATTACAGAAACGTACTTGGTGTATCTAACTTAAATTGTTCCCCATACATTGTCATCAGGAAGGTGAAGTATACAGATTATTGGTGTCCAGATTACTAGTAACTAGGTTCCACTGTAAATTACTCTTTATTCCTTTGTTTCCGAGTTAATAGATTTTTTTATGCTTGAAAAATTATTTATATCTTTTATCTTTTAACATTGTGATAAATTAGTTTCCCATTTCAGAGCAGAAGGACACAATTCATTTAAAACTGTATGAGATGTGAAATATCTGGTACATGAATTATCGGTATATATGGAGATAACGTACATGCAGTATTCAAGCTCAAAAGTCCAAACCTCTAAAACATCAGAGGTGGGATCAGGGGCCATGGAGGAGTGAGTATCCCCTGCAGATCAGTCACACCCGCCGTGTGCTCCTTGTCATGATCGGGAAATAACGGAAAAATCCGTCGACAATTCAGTGTGTAAATAATGGCCTAACAATTAGTATGAAAAACGTCAGTCATGCAGCATTTGATTTAGTGATAAATTGTATTTGCTGACAAGGTCATTGTATCGATCATAGAACTTACGAAATGACGACTTTAAACATATCATACTAAGTATTTATCATATCATATTTACGTCACGATAAAGTTGGCAGTGTATCACAGTATATCATGATACGCTTCAGCTGTATTGTTACACCCCTAAATAGAGTATCAAAAGAGAATGGGGAGAGAGAATTAACAAAGTATCTTGGAGATTGTGACACTTAGGATTAACAAACCTTGTCAATTAATTGGGTTTTGGAGTGTGTCAACTAAAAATCAGTTATAGTATTATACTTTCACAATTCAACAGCTATTCTGAGGTTTATTATCATCAAACCTGATGCATCTTGGGCCCTGGGATTAGCCAACTAATTAAGAGTAAATAGGTCAAGGTGACCTACTTTCTGAATTTTAAGCTCATTGTTTATATATACATCGTCTATACTTTACTATTAGCCTTCTATCCCAAACACTTTATGTCTTATGTCTCCTTTTACAGTCTCATCCCTCCAACTTCCGGAACCCACTCTCTTCTCTGCCCAGAGACCTTTTCCTTGTCACTGTCTATTCTCTGTTTAATTATCCATTCTGTCTCTTTCTACTCTCCTCTCCCTGCACTGTCCCCACACCCTCTCCTTTCCATCCTCACACTCACTTTCCCCATTCTGCATACCCTCAATCTGTCTCCCCTCTCTCTTTTACTCGCTGTCCTCTCACACTTCAAGCTCTCCAATTTCACACGTGCCTTGTGTTGTATTAATGTAATGATTCCATTATTAACTTCCTAACAATACATATGAAATTTTAATTTAAAAATTAGGCGGGACTGAAATCCTACTTCGGACACGAATTTCACAATTAAATATAGGGCTAATTTCTCAAAAAAATAATTTAAACATATTGTAATTAGATTTCCAGGAAAAAGATTTTTAAATGTGTAATACATTTTCAATGTATAACCAACTTAGTCCTTCTCTGATGCCAGACACCTCTACCAAGGGTCATTGATTTCACAAATCTGGTTGAAATCTAATTGCTCGTTATACCCATGCAAATAGTTTCCCTGTTTTTTTCCACGAGAAGGGAAAAACATTTTAAAATTTGACATGAATTTTTAATACATGGCCAGCAAAGCCCCAAGCTGCATCTGCCTATATAAATCTCACAGAGTGTTGAATTCTCTTAATACGCATGCAAACAGTTGTCTGGGAGATGTGCATTAATATAGAAATTCCTTTTAAATATTACATAAATAAAGATGGCTTTGATTCAATCTTTCGTATATTTATTAATATAAAATGACGCCTGTCCATTTTCGGATATGACGCCTTTTCAAACAGGACGAGGGGGGGGGGGGGTTCCCCACTCCACTTTTTGGGAGAATAGTCTTGCTATACTTTAAATATAAAAATTTTGTTGCATTATGGTTAAACTATAGCAAAATATTGCATTTTTGAAAAGTTTTACCGAAAAGTTAGAAAAAGATCCCCCTCGAGTTTAGGCAGTTTAGTTTTTTCCGGGGGGGGGATTTCTTGTTTGGGGGAGGCTGTCCCACCCCCCCTTCAAAAGCACGGGCCTGTCAAGGACATAATGATGGCTCCTTTTGGAAAGGAGTTATAACGCCTTTAATTTTTCTCTATAGATTGATCCTAATAGACTTTCGTAGGGTACATAGCTTATGCCTGTACGTTTTTCTTTTTTTTAGGTGGGAAGTGTAAATTGATGAATGATTGAACTAATCTATTGCAGAACCCTCAAACCATTTTCATAATTTCTGAAGTTGATGAGAAAACTGATATCAACGTTTTTTGGTTTATTTATTTATTTATTATTTTGTTTTACGGGATTTTTAGAAGGGAAAAAAATGTGAAGGGGGGGGGGGCAACGAAAACTCGGTCGACCATAGAGAAAATAAAACTATGACGATATTTTTTGTGGTGAACTTCAATTACTTGGTATTTAGTTTACAGAGGCTATTTGACATAATATTAAATTTTATCAACATTCGAACGCGTCTTCTTTCAATTTTTATCTTTCTCACTTCCTAAAAATTATCAAAGAAATGTACATGTAAATAGCAACGGATTA